GGCCCAGCCACTGATTCTCAGCCTAACCTACCTCAGAGAATTGTTGTTGTTTGGATAAAAAGGAGTGGAGAAAAACCTTGTAGGCCAGCTTGGGTTCCTAACAACAGGAAGACTGGCAGAGTATAAATGCAATGCAATAACAACCCCTGAATTTGCCTGACACATCTGTTGAGAATAGATTGATCCTCAAGATTTACCAATACTTAAAGCAAGTTTAAGAAAGAGGAGCTGATTTACTTTCTCGATAGGCCTTCCCCAGCCTGGTGCTCTCTAGATATGTTGGACTTCAACTGCCTTCCAAACTCCCAGCCAGCATGGCTAGTAGTCTGGGAGCTATAGTCTAAAATGTCTGAAAGGGAACAGGTTGGGGAAAGCTGCTCTAGAAATATTCCTTTTAACTGACAAAACAGTTAATTTTTCCCCAATTTCATGTAGGCTGACAATTCTGAAAATCAACAATTTGTGTTGCAAAAAGCTGCTAATTGATGTGACGGGTGGAAGTTGTTCCAGCACAGAACTGTAGCTGCTTAACCCTTACCATCCATAATACCTTTTGGCAAGCAGCTTGTCCAGCATGCTGCCAGCTCCTGTTCCACTTTTCAGCCTGCTACCTGCTCTTTATCAAGACTGTATCACATAGAGATAGAGCTTATTGAGTTGCAGATCTGGGTATATACCAGATACGGGCTTTTCTGGTACAGTGTGGGTATGTGTGTGTGGTGCTTATACCAGTGCTTTTTTTGTCATAGAACGCACCGGAACAGAGTTCTGGCACCTTTTTTCAACAGATTTTCCAAGTTTTAAAAGGAACTTTTGAAAATTTGATGTTTGGTTCACATGGATTTTAATTGCCCTGTTGAGCGTAGCAGGTCGGCAGCAAAATCATTAAAATGGTGCATGTGGGCTGCTTGTGTGTTGAATCTGATGCATGAGTACTTTGTCCACGCTGGTTGTGATGGCGCTGCTCGGCTTGTGGCACTGCTTGGCTTGTGATTGGTCGTGCGGTTGCACGCTGAGTGCTTACTGCGGGCAGTGACCATTATGTTTGTTACACAACTGACGTGTGTGGGTAACTGATGTGTGTGGGTGTGTGTACAGTGACTGACTACGTGCAAAAGGTAAATAATTTCATGAGTTCCGGCACCTTTTTTCTAACAAAAAAAGCACTGGCTTATACTATGTATACCCCTTGGACCATGCTGATGTAGGTCTAATCAGATCTGTGGGATGCCTGACACAATTAAGTAGACAGTACAGAAGCAACATGATAGTAATTATGCACCTGCTGTTTGAATGAGTGGTGCTCTTATTAAAGCATTAGGGATTCTGAACTGAGCAGCAATAAAAAGGAAACATTAAAAGTGAAAATCCTGTTCGTCATTGTAAACTGAAATGCACTTAATATTTGAGCTGTGGTTTTCTGGTCTAGTTTTGCTGTGGTGTTTGGATGAGCACTAATTTTTGAAGTGTGTTTTTGTTTAATAAGAATATAGTCAAATTTTAAATAAAATATATTATGCTTTTATATATACATTCTCTATAGACAATGTGGTTTCTGTTTGTATTTTATTTTAGAGCTTTAACTTCAAGTTATCATCTTTTTTTTTAAGGGGGATAGATCCAAAGGAGCTTCCCCTGTGGAGGAGCACACTTCCTCCTGAAGTGGGCAATTCTCTGGATCCAATCCAAAGAATTATTGTTTTGAGGTGCTCGTTGAACACTAACTGAAATAAAATGAAAACACCCACTAGCAAGCCTTAGTATCAGAAATATACAGTGCAATCCCACTTACTTACTCCGAAGTAAGCTTGAATGCGTTCAGCTGGATTTACTCTCAAATACATAAATATAGGATTGCAGCCATAGTGATACCATTTTTTCTTTTGGGTCATATTATTTCTGCACCAACAATCCGTATTTCATTTCAGTTTGCCCCAAAGTCAGTACTAACATTTGTCTGTTTTCCAGAGCTGTCTTTTCTTCTGTTCATAACTCCAGGCTTTCTCCCGCAAAGCAGTGCTGAATATACACATACTATAATGCACTTGCACTAGAAGCTTTGATATTACATGCCCAACAGCAGATGGGATCATGACTAGGATTCCATAAGATCAGAAACTGCCACCAACCTCTTGCATGTTACCCCAATAAAGATGTAGCAAACAGTATTAATAATGGGGATATGAGATATGGGGTTCTTTCCCACAACACTCAAGACAATGTAATATCAGAATAATAGAGTTTAGGGCATAGCTGGAAAAGTATAATTGCAGAATGGTAGGTGCTTTCATCCTGAAGTAATAAATTATTGCTTGAGATCTGTATTTTTATATATTTTATACCATCATTAGTTGGTATCCTATCAATAACATATGTTATATTAACTAAATAGGCACTTTTATGTAAACAGGCGGAGTCTTAATAGTGAGTGTCAGTGACAGATCACTGAATGAAATAGCTGCAGCTATGATCAATGACAGATTGTTTGAAAAAGGGCTTGGCAAGAACAAGGATGGGGTATAGGAATTCAGCCATAAGTAGAATCTGGGTCAGGCTGTTTTACTCCTTCAGACACTCCTCCTTTCTTTGCCTAATGAAGGACGACCATACAGACATATGCCCAGCTTTGAACAGGCAAATTTACTGCATGAAGAATAAGACAAGAATTTTGTTTAGTTTCCAAAAGTTTGATAACATCCTTTCAACATTTGTTACTTACATTGGAAAATTGGTTTCTAAACCTGAAGGACAATATAATGCAAATAATCAGGGGTTCTGTAAAGGAGCCAAATTGACCACCAGCAAGTTGTTGCCTTGATTTTGTTTTCTAGTTGGAATCACAGCATGGGTTCATTAATGCTCAATCAAAAAAAAGTTGGACATTGTGCAACTGCCAAAGTATCTTATAGAATGGAATAACACCAAACCTCAACTGATTTCATGCAAGGGAAAAAAACGGTTCTGTATATTTTTAAATCTGTACATTTGTAAGGATGCAGATGGTGTTTGTAATGGACTGTTTCTTGATGCTTTTATACTCAGGAACTAAATAAAAGTCTTATCATTTAAGTGAATGTCTCTTTTTATTAGTTATTTATGATATGTAGGTTTGCTGCACTGATGTGACCAGGCAAGGGAAGCAGAAGATAGAAGCTAGCACTTCACAAGGCAAGTCTGGTGGAGGGGAAAGTGGGTAGCAGAGTGATCCTCAAGCCAGGCAGAATGAACCCACCCTCTTAAAACTCCCCTTAATGCTGAAATTTTACAGCTTTTCTGAAGATCCTGAGGAACCTTCCTTCATCCTCAGTTTTTTAAAAGCATTATTGTTAAAAATATTAGCCTATGCCATGTGCATGATCCAGGATGGTCAAAGAAAGAAGTACTGGTAAGATTGTGGTACTTAGACTCTCTAGTAGTTCCTGAGCCACAACCTGAAAAATAATTAAAGCAGTGATCTAGTGTTATTCTTATGCAAAAATATGACATTTGGTTAGACAGTTTTCAAAATGTCCAGTAATTTATTTTTAAATGTTCCTTTTCTGATATTTGTGGACATATGAGCTAGTTAAAATGTAAGAGTCAGACTAAGAGTCAGTGACTGGTCCAATGCCATCCAGTGAGCTTCAAGGCTGAGTGGAAACTTGAACCTGGATTTCCTAAGTTCCATGCTATCACTCTTATCCACTAGGCATCCTGGGAGTTGTAGGCCTTTTCTCAGTCTAAGCAAGCATAGGGTTGCCCCTAAGTGACACCTATATTGATATGAGAATTAGAACTGATCTTTGGAGAACTGTTGCTCAGTTTCAGAAGAACCCTCAGTAAGGAAAATTATGTTGCTAAGTGTTGTTGCCAATTGCAGCACCCCAAAACACCCCAAAAGTAATTGGCCATAGAAAGGCCCCAAAAGTAGTTGGCCAGAGGAAGGCCACATAGTAAAAACACCACAGTTATACTGTCCCAGAAGGGAGGGCAGATAAGAACAAAATGAACTCTGTGTAACCCACAGCTAACATGCTTGCCTGATCTCAAATACAGTCATCAAAGGGACAGTGGAAACTGGTTCTAGCCGCCATGAAAGTTGCAAATGTGCAGGGAGTAAGAACATGGCAAGCCTGTGTGAATCTCGAGCAGATAAGAAGTAGACATGGGAAATGTCTGATCCTTGGAAAAAGAAAGGACTCTTTCTCCAGCACGGGAGGGGGTGTATACATTGATGTATCAATGTATTAGATGTGTATTAGGTGACCTAAGTGGTTACCTAGGGTATAAAATGCATGTACTGGGGTGCAACTTTTGAGACACTGCTTTGGGCTGAATGTCCCCTTTTGTCTCCCTGATTTTGGCTCTAAGTCTCGTCTCAGGCTCTGTTTGGCTTGGGTCTGGGGTCCACCTGGGTTTGCCCCAGCTGTTGACTGTCACAATCCGGTAACACTGTGAAAGTCTATGCATGTTTATGTGGAAAAAAGGTGTAGAATCTATGGTTCTTTAAAGCTCTGGAAGTCTGAACTGGAGACAGTAATAATGACAGCAGTTTATAGAATTCAAAGTATTGTTGAATAAGTCTTGTCTCAGGCTCTTTTTGACTCTGGCCTGGGGTCCACCCAGGTTTGCCCTAGCTGTTGACTGGCTAAGGTTGGTAACAACGCTATTGTAAATACACTCCCTCTCTGCCTCAGCCCTTTAACCTTTATTATCCAAAGCATATTACACGATAGGGTAGTCATAATGCCTAAGGATCAAACTAGAGGAAGAGGAAATGGTTTATACTTAAGAGTGTGTCACTGGGAGCTTTCCTTCCATTCTGAGTATCAGGTAGGTGGGATGGGAAAGGCAGATTTTGACTGCGTTTGGTGCTGCAGCGAAAGATTAAAGGCTATCCTTATCACAGTCCCTGTATGTAAGCTCCCCCTTCTGAAGATTGTTTAAAAGGTCTTTCTTCTTCTTTAAGATCTTGCACACCAGAAGAAACGTCACGTTAAGTTGTGCAAGCCCATCCTCCTCCACCTACAATGTATGTATTATGAAAACCTGCATTTCAACTTAGCCCGTAAAAACCACTAACATATGTACACGAAATACTAATCAGAACTAACTTGGTATTCGAATTATCAGACAATAGATTAGGTATTCTAACTTTCCGTTTGATCAGTTAAAGTGTACGATCTACTCTGCGCGCCGTTTAACCCCTAACGTATCTCCCCTGGCTCGTTGGTAAACGACCACTGTGACCTCACTTCCGGTTGCGCGCGCGCTCTCCCTCATCCAATGATGTTCCGAAGAAGGCGCTCGCGGGGCTGCCGTTTCCTCACCATGGCAACCGTCGTTTTGTAAACCATCCCTTCTTCGTGTAGGACCACCGCCGGCTAGTCATGGTGAGCAACGGACGGGTTTTTTCTTCTGTGCCAGCTCATATTCGTTTCTCTTAGAAGTTGCTGCCGCAGATTTCTCGGGGAAGGAGGGAACCTGATGTTGTCCAGCCAAGAAATGATGCTTCCCCGCCTGAAAGAGGCCTAACCTCCTTGGGCTTTTATTTATGCCTCCGGCACCACAACCCGGTAAAAACTCCGACCCCTCATGATTTCGAGACAGATGGCTGTAGCCTCACGCCGAGCCCTCCTTCCAACTGTTTCTCGTCTCGCTCCCTTCCATGGAGGACGATGATATCCCCAGACGGTCCCCTTCGGGACCGCGTCGGTTGGTACGCGCGGGTTGCAAGTTTAACTTGGTCCTGCAGGCGACCCAGCATCGGTACCGTTTGGCTGTTGGGTCAACGCCAACTCCCTGCCGCTATTAACATAGCGGTTTCTGATCATACAGATTCGTGACGAATGGAAGGGGTGGGAGAGAAATGTGGCCTTGCGTTCAAACCAATGCAACTTTAACTGGGAGTAAATATAGGTTTACTTTCCATGATTATTTTATGTATTCTAGACAGAGCATATGCCATCGTAAAAATAAAACAAAAACCAGCTTAACATACACAAATAGAGAATTCCATAATTAATAACAGAAACATCATTATAAATCCACAAGTAACACAATAATGCAAGTAAAATAAAAATAGACGCCATAAAAACAATCTAAAAATAATACATGAAGAAAAATTTTCATCTACAAGAAACAAAATCTTAATTTAAGGAAATATGCAAAGTACTACAGATCTACTAGTCAGGTGGCTTATAAGAGAAGCTGGGAGTGAATATTCATAAATGAAACCATGATTATTGGAGGGTCTTTCGCTTGTCTGTGTTCCTGTTCCTTCTTGAAAAGGACATGAAACCATCTGCTATATCATTCTGTCTGCAAGCAAGTTTTAATGAGTAAATCTCAGCAGGGCAATCTTAACACAGGGAAAATATGACCTAGAATGGTGGTATATACTTAATAAGAATAAACAGTGTTAATAGATTTTTAAATCCATTTGTTGGGATAACTCTTTAGATGAGAAAAGTTGTATTATTTCCCTTTAAGTTCACAACACTGAATAAACAAAAGAGCCACATTTGTTGCATGTGTCTTACCCTCTTTACAGGCTGAGCTGGGTCTGAATGATCACCACCAGAATGAAGTTATCAACTACATGCGATTTGCACGCTCTAAACGTGGCCTGCGCCTCAAAACAGTAGACTCCTGTTTTCAGGATCTTAAGGACAGCAGGTACTATGTGGATGAAATAATATGAATGGAAGTTCACACAGGGTCAATCAAATCGTTTTCAACCTATTCTACATCTGTCTAAAGTTTAAAATTAAAAACTGTACCAGCAAGGATTGTAGCAAAAATTATTTCATTATACTGTGGAGGTACACCTCAAATGTGGTCAGAACTGGAGTGTCAGTTTTTCAGTTGCCAAGTATTGATATCCTCTTTAAATACAAACATTGTAACCTGAATTTTGTAGCCATTAATACAATTCAGAGCTTTATACATAATGTCTTGAGTATGTACGATGCTTTCCTGCTTTGCCTTCCCAGTAGCACCCCTATTACTCCCCAAAATGCTACACCCTGAAAGTGGGGATGTGGTAGGATATCCCCTGGAACAACTTACTCATGAGGAGCTACCATCAGAAGTAATAATTGTCTACCACCACTATGTGGTCATGCAGAAGCACTATACAAGAAAAGTTACTTCAAATATTGATCCCTGTTTTAAGAAGCTTGATTTAAAAGGCAATTCTAGTAAAAATGTAATTTGTCAGTTATCTTACCATAAAAATAGTCATATTCTTTTAAAGATCTTTTGCTACTTGTGATATTTTGGATTTCTGACATGATTCTTTTAATACTTCTGTTTTGTGGACCTCTGTGTAGGCTGGTGGAAGATACTTTCACTATTGATGAAGTAACAGATATGCTGGATGGCTTGCAGACTGTGGTACACAGTGAGGTGGAATCTGAACTAATTAACACAACATACACCAATGTATTACTTCTGCGCCAGATTTTTTCTCAAGCGGAGAAATGGTATCTTAAATTGCAAACTGACATTTCTGAACTGGAAAACAGGTAATTTTTTTTTTTTAGTTAAAGAGAACATCATATTAACTTAAAATGTACCCTTGCTAATCATGTCTTTCTAAGAAGTGTTATCTGTACAAACTAAAGCACTTCAGGTTGTTTATGGGTTAAACAACCCCCAGTTAACCCATGGTTTCTTCTTGTCTTAATTTAGGTTAATTTAACCCAAAAAAAAGCAGGTTGCTTACCTGTAACTGATGTTCAAGTGGCCATCTGTGCAGTCACACATATGGGTACTGCGCCTGCGCAGTGCCTTTGGCAGGAAGATTACAAGGTTTTTGGCAGGAAAACTCCGCTCCCCCTCCCCCATGGCCTATAAAGGGCGGAGCATCCGCCATTTTGTTCAGTCTTTGACGACTGAACGTATGCCTCCATGTGGAATAAATATTCCTACTGTAAATGATATCGGTACCAAGAAAAATGGAAACGTTCGGTACCGACAAAAATATCCACTCACCGACACCAAGTGGGGCCGGTGGGTGGGTTGTGTGACTGCACAGATGGCCACTCGAAGAACATCAGTTACAGGTAAGCAACCTTCTTTTCTTCATCATGGCTTCTGTGTATCACACATACGGGTAGATTAACAAACTTACCATAATGGAGGAGGGGAGGTGTCCTCAACGAAGAACAGATGAAAGAACAGCTCTGCCGAAGGAGCAATCTTGTTGAGCCCGAACGTCTAAACGATAATGTTTGGCGAAAGTGCAAGGGTTCTCCCAAGTAGCAGCCTGACATATATCGTCAATCAGTACTCCTGATGCAAAGGCAGAGGAGGTAGCAACAGCCCTAGTCGAATGGCTTCGAGGAGCTGTGGGTTAGTCAATCTTAGCCAGTTGATAGGATAAAGTGATAGTATGGACTATCCACTTAGAAAGTCTCTGCGGAGTGACAGGAGCGCCCTGATCTCTGGTAGCATATTTAACGAAAAGTCTATTTGAACGCCGAATAGATTCTGTCCTAGATCTGTAGAAGGCTAAACAGCGCCAAACGTCAAGTGAGTGCAATGATCTCTCTAGCGGAGTCGACGGAGACGGAAAGAAAGCCGGCAAGTTGATATCTTATCCCATATGAAAGGGAGTGGACACCTTTGGGAGAAAAGATGGATCGAGCCGCAGGACGACCTTTTCTCTATGAAAGTTGAGGTAAGGTGGGTCTACACGGAGAGCGCAGAGCTCACTGGCCCTTCATGCTGAGGTAACCGCTACTAGAAACACTGTCTTCCATGAAACAAGATGTAAATCGACTGTTGCTAACGGTTCAAAAGAAGCTCTTGTAAGCGCTTGCAAAACAACAGAGAGACTCCAGGTAGGCATTACTGGCCTGATCGATGGATTCAGATTATAAAGCCCCTTCAGAAACCTCTTAATAGTAGGTTGAGAAAAGATGGACGATCCATCTAGCATGCCACGATGATAGGCGATTGCTGCCGTATACACCTTAATCAAAGATGGTTTCAGTCCAGAGTGGTGTAGTTCTAAGAGGCACTGGAGAATTTGGTGTATCAATGATGTAAGTGGAGAGAACGAACGAGACTTGGCAAAGGTGGAAAATCTTCTCCATTTAGCTGCATAAGACTTCCGTGTGGAAGGCTTTAGAGCGGAATCCAAGATGTGTTGAATATCCGGGTGCAAGGTTGTCGGATTCGGTGGAACATTCGTCGGATCTGACAGTGCTGGTGGTTTGAAAGAGGAAGCAACGTTGACCCCAGCGGATTTGAAGGCTCTGAATGCAGCGGATTCAAGGGCAGGATTCGAACCACTTGAAGTTGCCGTTGGTACAGATGTAGGAAAATTAACTATCGGATTCGCCACGCTGTTAGTTTCAGCGACAGTATATCTGGATGGCGCAGCGCACCGTCCTGCTGGGTTATGAGGTACGGAAGCAGTGGAAGATGAAGGTATTCCCTGTGAGAGATGTCGAGCAGTGTGGCAAACCAAGGTTGGCGTGGCCACCAAGGGGTAATCAGTATTCCCGTGACCCGATCATATACAATCTTCGCTATGACTCTCATCACAAGAGGAATCGGCGGGAAGGCGTAAAAATTTAGGTTTCTCCATGGGATCATGAAGGCATCCCCTAGGGATTCGCACCCTATCCCTGCTCTCGAACAGAAAGTCTCGCACACCTTGTTCTGTTGGGTGGCGAACAAATCCACATCGGGAAACCCCCAACGATGGAAAAGATTGTGTCTGAGGATCTAGTTCCCATTCGTGAGAGGTAAGTATGCGCCTGCTGAGAAGGTCCGCTTCCACATTGTCCGTACCGGCCAGATGGACTGCCATTAGTGTAATGTCTCTCAGAATGCACCAGTCCCAGATCTGCATAGAAAGTCTGGCCAGGGTCGGAGATTTCGTCCCACCTTGTTTGTTCAGATAAAAGACGGTGGCTATGTTGTCTGACGTCATCTGAACAACCCGATGTTGAACAACATTCTCGAAAGAGCGTAGGGCTTTGAATACCGCCAAGAGCTCCAGGAAGTTGATATGATTCATGGATTCTTGATGAGTCCACGTGTCCTGGGTATACAGGTCGGAGCATACCGCTCCCCACCCCAGAAGAGATGCATCGGTACCGACGGTTATCGATGGTCATTCGAAACTTTTTTGTCACAATGAATCAATTCAGATTACATAAGTCCAAAATCAGACGTAAGCCACCATCCCGCTTGGGGACCGTAAAATATCTGGAGTAGAATCCGTGAAGTCCGTCATGTTGAGTTATTTGAATCAATTCAGATTACGTAAGTCCAAAATCAGACGTAAGCCACCATCCCGCTTGGGGACCATAAAATATCTGGAGTAGAATCCGTGAAGTCCGTCATGTTGAGTTATTTGACGAATCGCTCCTTTACGAAGAAGTTGTTGTATTTCATCAAGCAGTACCGGCGAGCATGATGTAAACCAGATCAGACCCGATGGGGGAACGATGTCGTATTCTATCCCATAGCCATGCTGTATGATGGACAATACCCACCGGTCAGATGTAATGGACTCCGAAATGGGGAGTCGGCTTCGCAGCCGGTCCCCAGAGGAGAGGGGGGTGGGTAAAGGATAGGTTAGAGGAATGGTTTGCCCATCCCGTCAACACTGCCTCCTGTCGTCATATTGGCGGCGGCCTTGTTGGTAGCGTTGTTGGGGCTGTTGTCGGCAACGTCGCTGCTGCTGCTGCCCGTGCTGAGACTGTTGCCTGGATTGGAAAGGCTGTCTGTAGGGCAGACGGGTCCATGCCCACTTACGCCTTGGTTGAGACTGGAGCTCCATCCGTCGGGCTGTCATGTGGGATTCATGGAGTTTTTTGAGTTTATGATCTGTCTTGGAATGGAAAAGCCCGGACCCGTCAAAGGGCATTTCCTCAATTCGGCACTTAGTCTCTTCCAGGAAGTTGGTGCTCCTCAGCCATGCATGCCTGCGGAGAGAGACGGCACTGACCAAGGCTCTTGAGTTGGTGTCCACATGGTGCCTGGCTGTGAACAACTGCTGAACAGCAACCTGCATTGCCTCTTTTATTAACACCTTGGCCAGGTCGCCCTGGTGGTCTGGGAGGGCTGAGACGATGTTGTGGAGGCGTTGCATTATAAAGTACTGGTACCTCGCCAACATCGCCTCGTAGTTAGAAATACGCAGCCCCAGGGCTGAAGCTGCGTAGACTCTCCTGGCCAGGGAGTCGATCTTACAGCCCTCCTTATCCCATGGAGCGGTGCGGCCTCTTGCCTCTCTACCCTGGGAGGACTCCACCACGACCGAGTTCGGCTTGGGGTGGCGGAGGAGGAATGGGTACTAGGTACCTCCCGAACCCAGTACATGGATTCGCACCTCCGCGAAGTGGGTTGAGGGGAGAAGGCAAGTCCCAGGGTTGCGTCATCGCCTGCCGTAGGGTGGTAATCAAAGGCAGGATGATCGAGGTGGACTGCTCCCCGTGGACGACGTCATAAAATTTGTCCGTCGAAGGTCCCAGACACTGGACAGCGTCGATATCCAGGGATTGGACAAGCCGGGACATCAGCTCCATGAAGGAGACATGGGACTCATCCAGTGACGCAGGGCCCTGGGAGGTCACAGCGATGTCAGGAGAAGTGGAATCGACGTCCGAGTCGTCAGAGTCCGCGCCGTAGTACGGGGGAGCCGAAGAGGAGGACTCCACCAGCGAGACATACCAGCTACTCTCATCCCAAGGAATCGGGGACGCGCGCCTCAGGTCCAACGACAGCGGGCGGTCGCGGGAGGGTGGTGGGGACCAATCCCTCAGTGCGGGATAGTACCCGGTAGAGTATGCCTCGCCCCAGGATGGATAGTAGGAGCGATGCCATTCCTCGGATCGCTGCTCCCTCAAGCAGCTCCTGCGGACCCTAGGTGGGGATATAACCACATCCACCTCCGGTCATGGGCATAGACATGGGTGACCTAGCCCTGGGGGAGAGTCTTGAATTTCCCCATCAGAAATCGACCCCCGCTGAAGAGTTGGCAGTGGCTTAGTGGGAAGGTCGGCCACACGTCAAGGTGGCCCTTGGGGGGTAACCCTCATAGCTGCCTGGAGTACCGGCTCGGGTGGGGTCGGTACAGTAGCTGCCGCCGGTACCGAGGCGGCTGTCGAACCCGAGTCACGGTGCCGTGGGCGCTCCGGGTCCTTCGACTTCTGGGTCGGTTTAGGAGGCTTCTCTTTCCTGGCCTTCTTTCCTGATTTCTCGGTATCAGCATGTTTGCGCTTCTCACGCTTCTTTTTCGGAGAAGCGGGTGGAGCCCTCATGGTAGACGCGCCTTCGTCCGAAGGGCATGAGGGCGGGACCACCATGGTAGGGCCAGGCTTCGGAGCAACGAAGAGTGGGTTGGACTGCATGAGAGCCCGATCCCACAGGAGCCTCCGGAGGCGGTTCTCACGATTTTTCCTGGCCTGCTTAGAGAAAGCCAGGCAGTGAGAGCACTTGTCAGTCCTATGCCCCTCCCCCAGGCAGAGGAGGCATAGGTCCTGCGGGTCAGATGGAGACATCTTCGACCCACATTCCGCGCATTTGCGGAAAGCCGCTCGCTGCACCATCGCAAGAAATAGGAAAAAAGACAGTGCAGAGGGTAAGAATATATTTTTGGGGGTTTTTTTTTTTGTTTTGTTTTATAGAAGATCGAAAGAAAGGTAGAACAATAGAACTACAGAACTAACAAGAACTATAGAGAAAACGAGAAATAACGGATATAATAACTGGAGAATAATAGAGAAGAAGAGTACTATACAAGTAACAGTCAGAGCGATAGTCGAAAGCGGCACAAGGCACAGCGAACGGCGGTCACAAAGACTGAACAAAATGGCGGACACTGCGCTCTTTATAGGCCATGCGGGAGGGGGAGGGGGAGGGGAGCTTTCCCGCCAAAAACCATTAGCTTGTAATCTTCTGGCCAAAGGCACTTTGCAGGTGCAGCACCCATATGTGTGATGCACAGAGGCCACAACGAAGAACCCTAAGTGCCCAGGTTTGGATGGTAACAACCTACACATGTGACATTCATACCTTGTTGCTTGGAAACAGGAAGCGGCTTGCACCTCCTGAATTCTTGGGTTAATTAATCCATTCATTGCTTCTGGATGCCACTGTTATATAGGAACAGAAAATTGACAATTATTTTCTAAGAGTGATTACTTTTGAAACCATAAGGTGTACTCCTATACATGTGTAGACATAAAAAAATGTTGACTGATTTGTGTTAAGATTTCTAGGACTTTTTCTGCCCAAATGTGCAAAAGATTGTATTCTTCTCAAAAGTGAACAACTCAGTTTTTTCCTGTCTGACTGTAGAGACAGTTCTTCCACTTCTAATTGTTTTCACACCCTACCATCAAAGATCCATCAGGCGCCAACCTTACTGGGGTTTTAGGTGCCAGGTTTTAGGTGCCTGACAAAAACTATTCTTTTTCAATATAGATGACACTACTTAGACAATCTATGTTAATGGCAGTGGTTTTAGTTTATTAATTTTAATTTATTAATTTTATTAATGAATGGCTTTGTTTCATTATATATGTACGTATATTGTGTTTTATCTTGTTTATTTATGATATTTAACTGCTTTATTTTATTCAGTCTTATTATTGACTTTATTGCAGTGGCCACCCAGAGAGCGAGATGCTAATGGACAACTTTTATACAAATTTAATGAATGAATGAAATTGACTAAAATGTTTTCTGCTATTTCTCAAGGGACTTACTAGAACAAGTTGCAGAGTTTGAAAAATCCGAATTTACATCTGCAAATAAGAAGGTATGTGTCTGTTCCTTTTTATCATTTTTATTTTTATTAATAACAAGACAAATACAAAATACCAATAGCAGCAACTAAAACAAAAAAAGTGTAGAAACAACCCTAACCCCCCTCCCCACTCTTTGCTACATAATAATTGGTATAATGTTGGTATGCTGGCTACATAATAATTATTCAATTCCTTCTTAACTTCTGCCATGCTTCCCTTCTGTCGTGAGGCACTCTTCCCAATCACTCACACAGGAGCCTCAGTTAAGGTTTTAAGTCTTTAAAGAACTTCAGCGCTACACAGGCAATGAATAATAAAGGAGCTTGTAATGATGTTGCTATGCAGATGTTGTCCCCTCCTTTCTGAGAGGCGTAGGTGCACTCTTCACCTGTCTCAGACGCCCCTCCCTTGGTGGATTAGGCAAACTTCTCTCCCTCCTCCTCTCTATTTCCCTTGACTCCAATTGTCCCAAGCGGTGTGCTCTCCTCCTAATCCTCCTATCTCGAGCACTCTTCAGAGTTTTCCCAGGTTTATCTCTAGCTTGCTCTGTCATCGCCATAGCAACTGGCTCACTAGCTGGTTCCCTAGTTCCTCTATTTCCCCTTGTTACAAGGCCATCGGTCTCTGGCCCCAGAAAAACTTTGTCAAAGTCGGGGGGCGGGGGGTGTTTGTGCAGTTGGCACCAGGTAGAAATCTTCTTGCTCTGAGGCTTGACTCTCACTGGGAGCTTCTTGCTCTCTCACGTGTGCCAATGACTTCCTGGAGTCATCAGGCATGGCACCCTCTTTGGGATTACCCCCTTCTATTCAAAATTTCATTAAGTCACAGGAAGGTTTAATACCTTTCCCTTTTATTAAAAAGTGTTCAATAAACAACCCCCAAATATCATTAAAGTATTTCTTATTTGTCAGCCCCTTTTCCCCTTAATTCCACATGTTAATTTATCATTAATAGCTATATTTCAGATTTCCTTTTACCATTCACTTATTTGGAAATCCCATTTCTCCATCTTTGCTATTATTAATCTTGCTGCAGTTACTAATTCTTGTTATTAATTCTTTCACATTCCTTTTCCACTTCTTTCATAAAATATTGGCAATAATGCCATTCAGGTTCTGCTTCAGTATTTGAATTCTGTATCTTACTGATTTCCTTAAAAACCATTATCCAAAATTTCCTAATACTTTCACATTCCAGCCACATTGGGAAATAGGTACCCAGTCTTTGACTATATCTTCAACATAAATTGGAGTATTTCTTTTCCATATAGTATAGTTTTACTGGTGTCAGGTACCATTTCCATATTAATTTATACAAACTTTCTTTAATTCTAGTTGACATGCTTTTTGGTATTCTCTCATTCCATGTTTTTCCCCATTCTTTCTTATCTATATTCCTCCCTAAATCCATTTCTCATGAATCCTTGAGAAAATCATACTGGTCCTCCATATCCATGCCTAATAAAATCTTATAAATCTCATTATTTCTCTTGTTTCCATAATGTCTTATTTTTCCCTGTATAGAACATTCTTTTCAAATTTGGTAAGATTTCTACTTTACCATTTTTCTTCAACCATTCTTTAGTCCATTGTTCTAGTTGTGTGACATTAAACTAAGATACTTTTTCTTTTCTTAGTACCACCTTTATCCTTTCCTTATTATTCATTTTCTCCAACCAATCTTTTAACCTAATAATTTATTTTCTCTTTAATACTTTTCTTAAACTACCTCTCAAACTTTCTGGAAATCCATCAATTTCTGTAACTGGAATTACTGGTGAAATTGTCAGCATAACTTTTTCTCTATACTTATTCCAGATTTGTACCAAATTTTTAAGAAAAGGGATTTTTATCTTTCTTGCAATCTCTTTGTCATCCTGTTTTTTAAAAGAAGGGTTTAGAAAGGATTCTTCCATTTTTTGATCTTTTATTTTTGCCCATATTATCTTTTCAGGCTGTATTATAATTGTTGTATGTCTTATTTAATTTGCTACATAATATAATTTAATATTTGGAATATCTAGTCCTCCCATTTTTTGTGACTTACACCAACTTTTTTTTGCTTATCCTTGCTTTCTTGGAATGTATCTGTTCTAAAAATGTGGCCAAATTGTTTGTATTATTTTGATTTCTTTACTGTGAAATAAAGGAATAGGATAGCTTTATACCTCTGCATTTAAGGAGAAGGCAACAGTGCAGAAAAGTATTGCTTAGATCAAGGATTCTCAAATCTTATTGTAGTGAAATTCCATTAGTCCTCCCCCTGCCCCCCCCCCCCCAAAACCACTTTCAGTGTTTCTTCCTACATTACTTACAGGTCTCCACAAAGTTACTTATCTTTACTTATATTGAAGTCTCTTTCTAAAAACATTTTGAGAGTTGGGGAACGGGAATTATATCATGCTGTCTCTTGGGGTATACACCAGCTATCAGAGTCACGTTGCTTTTGTCTTCTGCAAAGCTTAATGGGGATGACAGTTCTGAGGGAGAGTGGATAGTCTTGCTTAGTCTTCCAGAGAGCTGGGAAAATAGGGAGAAAGCAGTGGCAAGTCAACTGTAGATAGGTGAAGGGGATTCTACTAATAACCAGCAAATTGAATGAGGCAACCATCAGGAGGTTTGTTACTCTGACAGTGACAACCCAAGCCTGCAGTAGTGTAGAAAAAGTTGAACAGTGAAATGTGGTCCTGTGTATTAAAAAGTAGATAAATTGACAATGTGTGGCAAGATCAGAGACTCTCAAGATAGTACAGAAAGAGGGAGGGACACTGACATGGTCACTGTTATTGAAGGGAGTTGAGAGCAATGGTTTAAGAAAGGGAGGTGCCAGGATTCCCATCTGAAAGGAACTTTGGGAGGAGAAAAGCCCTTCTGTCCAGCCGAGATCTTCAAGATGGCTGCTTTTAAGTGTATGGTGACACAGACACCCCCTCCTCTAGATTGGGGAAAGGACTTAATTTGAAGGACAGGTTTAAGGATTGTTACTTTGTATGCTAGTTAGAAATGAAGAAGTTTTCCTATAGAAAGGTTGTAATACTGTAGCTCATTGGACTCAATGGAACTCACTTATAAGGATCATGCTATAAATTTTAGAAAGAAAATGGTTAATTATAGTCTTTATTGGAACTTTTATTTGTAGCCTAATCCAGAGCTGGTTAAACCTAAACTTACTCCGTTACATGAAGGAGCATCAGAATTGCTAAATAAGGTAAGACGTCTTGTCCCTTGATTTTTATGGTGGCCAATTGTTGGTAACCAAAACTATGCATGTTACTTCACACTTTGTTTAGAAGTTATTCTAACATAATTCAATAATTTAAATAGTTAATGACTTAAGTCAATGGAGGCAGCCTAGTTATTTTCACATGTTTTAGATTACATCTCCTTAAGACCCAGCAACACAGCTAATGGTTAGGGATTATGGGAACTGTCTGGAAAACACAAGGTTGCCTGTTTTGACTTAAGTCCTTCTGGAGAGAAAAACATTTTTTTCCTGTAGTTTTACTTAATAGAATATTAGGAGTACAAAATTGCTCATGTAATTTGCAAATAGCCGTTTTAATAACTTTACATTGCAATTGAATGCATGCTTACTCAGATGTAAAACCCATACTATATGGGGATGATGGGAATTGAAATCTAATATCTCTGGAAGTACTAGTTGAAGGAGGTCACTGTTCAGTCTTAAAGAGGGAGTAAGTAATTGTTTCAGTAGGCATGTACAGGATTGCATTTTTAACAAACAAGATGAGTTGCAGTGCTAGGTTGATAAGTTACATGTTTAACATTCCATTTGAGAGCAACCATACATTGTTGCAAGCATGCACACCTTAAATCACAAAACATCAGGATCAGTCTGAAAATTCTTTTTAAGAATCAGAAATCTGAAAGGGAATAGTCCAGTTATTCCCAACCCACTATCCTGAGGTTTTTAATCAGTTTAATCCAAAAGCTGTGTCTCTTTAACATATTGGTGAGTTTTAGATTTATTTGATTCAATTTTATATGCCATGATCTAAAATAGTTCAGTTACCCTAGATTCTGAAGTTTTTTATTTTTTCGCTGCCCCTAAGCTAAGTGAAGGCAAGTGAAGGTTAGGATTTTAATTCTGTATTCTCCAAAGAGAAGCATATGCCTCTTTTTAGCTTTGTTTTATATGAGAACTAAGCACCACTGAATTAAATTATATATGTAACCAAAATAAACACTGGAAAGGGACAGAAAGAGATATTCAAAACTGAAGTTGTGGTGGGAGAAATTCTTGATGTTACAACTTGGCTTATAGAAATTGAGAACTGGCTGATGCATATAGAGTAGTCCAGGTTAATGTGTGCCCTCACCCCTACCCACAAAAAATAAAGATAGCGATCCCTCTCCCTCCCCTAGCTAATTATTCACATTGTTTCTTCACTGAGATGTGCCTCATAGTGAATATAAGCATATAGTGAAGCAGGGAATATTGACTGAATGTGGATATCAGTTCTGGGCATGGTGTAACTTTTTCTACAGATCTGTGAACTTGTGGTTTTTTCAAATAAGGAACCTCATATGTCAGAGCCTAATGACTACCTTACCTCCCCAGATAGCTATGATAGATAACCATTATCTTTTTCAATTTGTGACAAATTGCATTTTTATTGTTCTCTGAAAATTACTTCCAGATACAAGAAATTTCTGCACTCTTGATTTTAGTTATAGAAGAGAACAATGTAGTAATGAACACTTCTTATTTGCCTGTAGGAAATTGCAAGACTCCAAGAAGAAAATGAAAAACTGAAGACTAGATTAAAGACAATAGAAATGCAGGTTAGCTCACCTGAGGTTGATATATGTGTAGAAGAATAGCAGTTCTCTTATGTTTCTAATTGTGTTAGTGTGCAACCTATGACTAATAGACACTGGGCAGGTTCACACAATCCATGGTAATCTTACTGTTGCAATTCTGTTCTGCTGTCTGGACCCAGTTCCAGAGTTCCTGTATGATAGGATTAGTTTTCTGAAACCACAGAGAAAATCAACAGTCTTTTCTAAGGTTCTATGCTCTCCAGATCTGGGAATACCATTTACCATTGTTGGTATGGAAATGTCACAGAGTTTGCAGGCACCCTGGCAAGAGTGGCTGCTGAAGTGTTCACTTCTAGCCTTGGATCTCTACTGCCTTCAGCATGATACAACAGAGGTTAGTCTCTGGATTCAGAGGACCTGGCCTTTGCAGCCAGCATGCTTTTTCTGTGCTAGCTGTGGCTCAAAGGTTGCAAGACTGACTTCAAAGCCAGTGCTGGGGGACATGGAGTAAGACTCCTCCAGAATATAATATATTTCAGCAAAGCTTCAGCTTCTCCTTGCAAGCAGGCACAAAAGACTTAAATGGGTGCAATTGGTCAAATAAATCTTTTGCCAAGGCAGGAGTCATCCTCAGTAGGATGCCCATAATTTTCCAAATTTGGAAAATCCAGGCATCCATATTGGATTATGCTGTTGACTGGTTCTAATGCATTTGCTTTTTGTTATTTTTATCAAGTTTTATTAAGGTTGAATTTATGATATTGGATAGAAAGGCAGGGTATAAATCAAATAAATAAAAGCATGGTTTGCTAATATAAGTTCTGGTTTCAGTTTTCAAATTTGTTGTAGGCAACCACTGCACTGGATGAAAAATCAAAGTTGGAGAAGGCTCTACGGGATGTACAGATTGCTCAGGGGGATCAGAAGGTAAAATTACTTATATAGGAGAAAAGACTTCTAATATTTGAGACCATTTGAAAAAATGATTGCATGTAGGCTATTTTGAAGGTTTTTTTTTTTAAAAAGATGAACATATTTTACCAGATGCATTTTGAACCCAATAATAATATGTAATGTTGTTAACCAAATTTTATGAATAAAAAGAAGCAAACTAGAACAGCTTTCCTGTTTTTAGGACATTGCGATTGGAAAATGAGTATTAATGCCTTCTAATTTTATGATGTTTTAAATGTTGTTGCATGTACTATTTTTAATTGACATTTCTTTTTATTTTGCTTTCTAATATGGTTTGGGGGTATGTATTACTTAACATACTGTTCAGTTAAAGTATCCTTCATTCGATAATAACTTTTTCAAGAATTTTACATGTTTTTCAGTATTTAAAGGACTAGAACCATGCTTTTTCCCTACTCCGCAGCAATTGATAATGTTAAACTACCATTTAGATAAGCTGAATGGCAATGCCTCTGATAAAATTTGATTCTTATTTCTAAATGTTTCAACATTCTGTCCAAGGTCTTATGCTAAGCTATTTATATATAGTGAATCTGTTGTTGCCAATTTTATTTTATTTTATTTATCTTTAAAAGAGTCTCCCACTCAGGTCATTCTTCCTGCTTACCTACTAGTAAATCCTACTGATTTTTAAGATACTTCCTTGCATGCTGGCTTTATGATTGCATCTTAAATGGCCCAATCTTATATGGACATATTCAGAAATAAGTTTTACTATTTTCATTAAGTCTAAGCAATTCTGTATAGATAATAAATTACATGTAGGTAATTCTGCATGGGTTATCAGTGCATATTATTATTTTTTCCTAACAAGGGCAAGCTGAAGAGAGAATATATTATTAAGAATTACTCAAGTTCTATGGTACATAAGATACATTATACCTTTTTAAGACACTTGTTGAAATTTTACGACTTCCCTAAGGACCCTAAAAGCCTCTAGGACGCCTCTTCCTGTCTGCCTTTTGCAAAAAAGGTTTTTTGAGTGTTTCAGACCAAGGTTCCATAGCATAGCTGTCTGGGCCATCCTGGGAATTGTCTAAATGTGCACAGAGTTGTACCCCAAGATTAACCATTTGTGTTACTAGCCAATCTCACACAACTATATCTTAGCAATCAAGGCTCAATGTTTATCAAACTGAAGTATCAGTGTCATCGAGTTGGAAAATTCCCCAATCTGGTATCTTCCAGTTCTGTTGTGCTACAGCTCCCTTCATCCCTATCCCAATTTTTATATATATACACATGTATTTTAAGAAATGCTCAGAGAGAACTATACATGCAGGGACAAATAATAACAGTTAATAAATATTTTTCTAAAGATGTTTTTGCTTTAGGTTTTCTCATGAACTATTCAGCAGGGTACAATAAAACACTTTATTAGGCATTTCATGTCTGATTCTTGGATACTCCAAATAATTTTTAAAGCCACACAAAAATATGAAGAAAAATGAATTAATGCTACTTCATATTAGCTTATAGCACCAAGGCTGAATTGTTCTGTTTTATGATCTCTGATGTTTATGTCTTTGAACTATAAACAGAAAACCTTCCCAAGTTCCTGGTTATTTTTTCTTCAAAATAGTTTCTGTCTGTGTTATAAATGTCAGTCCAGCAATTCATGACTCAGTGGCTAATCATTCATTCTTATGTGTACATTCTTCCAATATTGCCCATTGTTATGTTGAACAATCATATATATTACTGAAATCCAATTAGGCTTAATTCGTCCTAAATGTAATTCCTGCTCTATAGCAACATAGTATAGAAGAATGAGACCAAAGTTTCCTACATTGCACTTCAGAGTAAAATTTATAGTTTACTTGACCCATTTCATTTCAAAGTTCTCTTGCTCATGTTTAGATAATAATGACAAAATGCTACTGTATTTATCATTCATCTCTTGTTCCAGATAAAATAAATCTGAACTTATGTCTCCAGTATGAGACACAGGTATATTTACATCTGGGATCTTATAGGGTGTGTGTATGTAGATAGGTTATTGTCAAATAATCCATTATTATGTATGTATTTTATCTTTATAGAGATGTGTTCATATGTTTCTGTTTCCTTCCTATTGTAGTACAACACTTCTCAGGATATTAGTGAACTAGAAAATACTGTGGCTGATCTGAAGTGTCAGTTTGAAAAGACGTTGCAAGACAGTAGTGCAAGCCAAAAATCTTTGGAAGAGAATCTGGTGTCAGCAAAGCATGACCTTCTTAAGGTTCAGGACCAGTTGGCTATGACTGAGAAGGTTAGATTTCATTCTGTTGCATAGCTATAGTTAGGGCTGTTTTCATCTTCTTTTACATCCCTCTTTTAACACCTATAATACAAGATACTGGCAACATAAATGAGCTGTGCGTGAAGAAGAATATAAAAGATTGTTACAGCTAGAGATGCCACTGAATTTCATAATTAGAAAGCTGACTGGTCAAATTGATTGATTACTGATTGTATATTTTATTATATAATATTGGAAGTCTTAGGGATTCTGGATTTGTAAATGGAGTAATAAAATATCCATTGGAAATGAAAGCGCAAAAGGTAATTAAGGGTGCTGGCCTCTACTCACCTATCTTGGAGTAAGACCCATTGACCTCTAGTGAACTTAAATCTAGATAAGCATATATACAGAATTGTGCTGAAAATGTCATTTCTCTCAGGTACATTGACTGAATTTAAAAAATTTAAATAGACATAGTACAGCTATCCAGTAATGTTATGCAAGATAATTATATATACAAAATTAAATATCCAACACAAATGATTCAATAAAATGCTTTGCCACATTTACTGCATGAGGTCCACCACTTGAAATTGGGTATTGTTATCTTGATCTGAAGTTTTGAAGATGATAATTGTTTATATAGTTTTTGGCCTAGCTTTAAAAATTGCAAGTATATGAATTAGTTATTTTAAATGAACAGGAATTAGAGAAGAAGTTCCAACAAACAGCTGCCTACCGTAACATGAAAGAGATTCTGTCCAAGAAGAATGAGCAGATAAAGGAACTACGAAAGAAGCTTTCAAAGTAAGTGGCATTCTGTTTATCATCTCAGAATGCCTTTGCTTCAGCAAAACCGTAAGTCCTAGAAACTTCTAGTAAATGAAACTGAGTCTTGGACCTAATGAACTACTTCAGATCTGCCTAAGCATGTTTGCATGCCTAGTGAAATTTTATTCTTGTTCCTTTCTGCAGCCTTATTCTCATGCAATATTGCATAACATTTGAAACTCTCTTCATAGCTGTTTACAAGCCAAGTGTAAAGTTATCTTGGGTCTGCTGAACTGAATTGTTGGTAAACATGTATAGTATAAGCCAAGTGAAGTAATAGTTAGACTCTCCTATTTCCTTCTGTTCTGTATAAAGCGGGCAAAACCTCTGACAAGAGGATCCAGCTCCTCTGGATAGTTAGAGTTGTCTGTTCCAGCGCTGTTTCATTGGAATCACATTGGCAAATAGTAGTGTGAAGGGTCAAATCAGTCTATTAGGATTTGAGATGTACTGTTTGAATTGAATTTATAGATCCTAAAGTTATACAAGTATGCCCAAGTGGGAAAATAGTAAGCTACCTGAACATTTCAGAATTCTTCATACTAATTACTTAATGTCTTTAAAACATCTCTTCAAGGGTCCTAGTTTCCCAAGAAGTCCACATCTTCCTCTTGTCCTACCAGTTTCTCCCAAATGCCAATAATTTGGGGTGTCTATCCTTTTACACAGTTTTCCTCCATTTTAAGTTGAAAGGCTTAAAAAAGTCATAAGCAGTAAGAGTTAAAATATGTTCATATTTTCTCGCCACATCCCTTAGTCATTGACCCTCCTGCCACTGGAATGTGACCACCAAAAGCTTAGTCAAAATGACATGTGGCTCTCAAGCTGAAAGTTCTTTTGAAGAATAGATAATTTCGCTATTTAAATCTGGTTTTCTCCTTTCCTTTCAGATATGAACCTGATGATTAGGATCTGAAGAGTATTTCTTTGTCATGAAATGGGACCTGTTTTTCCATCTGTTGCAATTTATACTTTCCAAGCATTTCGTTTCTGTTTCTTTCTCTTTTTAAAACTATTTAATTATTAGAAAGTTATAACTGAGAATTAAAAGTTAAAGAAAAGGCACAGTCTGAGCTTTCTGTGTTATGCCTTTTTTGAATAGCAACCTTGTGCTTTGCCTAGACAACTACAAGCACAGTGCTATTAGCCAGTTCTCTGTGAAGTAGGAAAGTTTATTATTTCAAGTAAACTATAAAGGTTAAGTTCCAGTTCTTTACATACCTGTAAAATGGAGGGCTAAGGGGTCTGTTCCCTGCAATTTACACACTTCCCAAATACGTCCTTTCTTTTACAGTTGTATTAGCAGCAGAAAAAATATTTTCCAGGTATTTTGCACAGTAATTCATTAATTAGCACCTGTTATGAAAAATTTGCTGAGCAATTTTCAACAGAGTTTTTGCACTGCAAAGAGAGGAACCTGCTCTATTCAGGAAGCAAGCAAATGTGGTATCCATGTTGATTAACCAGTTAAATAAATGTGTAACTTACACATCTAACTGAATTCTGTCATAAGTGGAAGTATTTTATGATGTTACACCTGTAAGGCAAAAATCACCAAGTATAGTGCCTGTAGCCTTTTATTAATTTCACTGCCAATTTGCACAGAAACTTCCAGCTAGCTGCATGAAAATGAATAAGTAATGTGCAGCCGCCATTCTTTCTGGATAGTATTCATAGGTCCCGACTATATGTCTGTAAGAGACCGCCAGGACTCACCGGGTCAAGTCATCCTCATGCTCTAGCTGTAGGTACTCAAGCTGCTAGGTATGAGGACGAAGGTGAAATGAAAGGCTGCTTTAGAGGGCTTCTAGTCAGTGAGGTTGGGCTAGCTGGGGGTGAGTGGAGTTGCATCAACAACAGCTAAGGCTCATCCCAAGCAGACTATTAAGTTCTGGGATATAGTTGGAGGGGGCAGCTGGAAGGAGGAGAGGGAATTGCTGTTTGCCACACCAGAAGATCCCTCCTGTAGTGCTCTGCCATGGCTTCTTTTGCTAAGGAGTCTGGAGGACCCAGCAGACCCAGACAAAGGAGCTGCTGGTAAAACCAAACCTGGACCTGATGCTTGGCATAGAAGCAGAGAAGAAGCCTCAGGTGCAGAGAGACTGGGGAAGCCTCTCCCACAGGAACAAACAAGCCTTGCTCCAAGGAGTCATGCCACCAGGAAGGCAAGTATGTCAGACACAGACTATAGGACATTTGGGGGTTGCCAAGCTGGGAGGAGGGGAAGGGAGGTGTATGTCTTTACCCTGAACAAGGATCTCTAGGCTGGCCAGGCCTCAGTGCTAACTAGAGGCAAAGACTTATAAATAAATGTTTGAGTTTACCTCAAGAGTCTCGTGACTATGGAAGAGGGTGGGTTCCATTTACCCCTCCCTGAGCACAGGTTCACAATGTCCCATTCTAAAAGTGTTGAATAATGAAATAAAAATTGTCCTCAATCTGCTCACTTAACAAAATGCTTTTGAACAGGATTTGTGGAAAATATTACACTGGAGAGGTTGCTTCTTTACCTAGACAACTCCAGTAGTAAAATAGTTGACCAGTCTTCATTCCTGTATTCTGGCTTCTTGAGTTCTATATCTGTGTATTTTAATTGTTTTTTATGATACATGGTATCAGATTCTAATGAAGACTCACTTTGGGTACATGGTAAGTTTCTTTACATTTTTCTTTCTCCCTTCAACAGTTGTATTTGTAATAGAAAGCTGTGATAAAATATTTCTTGATCTCTCTGTTTAAATATCTAACATGCAGTTTATATCCTGGTGGAATCTTAGTCTAAAAACATCTTCAGATTATATAAATCAGAACCATTGACATCTTGCAAAGTTCTGTGTATAATATTCTAGTGCATTATGTGGAACATGTTTCTGGGCTGCTCAACAAGCAAATTATGTATTCATGTGGCGCTTGCCACCAAAGAAAGGCTCCAGGGCAGGGCCAAGCCTCTGTTACCTGGCATCTGTGCCTTGCAGTAAGATTTCTTTTCCTTTGCAGAAAGAATGTGGGGAGGGTTACAAACCTACAGGAGTAAAGTTCAAGTTAAGAACTTGTTAAGTGTTCAGAGTACTGAACTGGGACTTGGGAGATCCAGATTCTTATCCCTACCCAGCCATAAAGTAGACTGGGTTACTCTGGGCCAGTCACTGTTTCTCATCTTAAACTACCTTTTGGGGCTGTTGAGGTACTAATTAGAGAGGATGACCATCATGTAAGCCATCTTGGGCATTTTGCAAGTGGAAAAAAGGGAGGATGTAAATATAATAAAAAGGGACACCCCTCTCCATTTTTTTATAATTAAAACCTACCTCTGAAAATAGAGCCATCTAGCTATCATGACTAATTAGCTAATCATGTTGTTCATATGCTTACTCTCCATAGGCTGTTCCAAAGCTTCCCTTTTTCTGAAAAAGAAAGTCTTCCCATCAGAGATAGGGAATCACTGGATTCAGTCCCATGAATTTCTTAATCCTATTTTAAAACTATTTAAGACAATGGCATGTTATAGGGCAAATAATACAGGTTAGATACAGCAGCACACATAGTATGGGAATATTGAACTGTAGTGTGTATATATGTTCCTTTATACCTGTGGCTTCAAATATACAGGCAAAGTCTGATTTAATGACTAAAGTCCTAGGTACAGAGATTAGGTATATGTAATCAATATTTTATATTGTTAATTTGTTGTATGTATGATATTTTAATTTTATGTTGTGAGCCGCCCCGAGGCTTCGGCGAATGGGGTGGCATAGAAATGTTTTAATAAAATAAATAAATAAATAAAATCAGGAAATGTAAATAATATAAACCTAACATAGAATGGTTTCTTCTGTCGGACAGAACACATTAACATCAACCTTTAGCTGATTTATGAAATAGAATAGCATTAATTATAGGTAAAATGAAAATGTAATTAGGATGGATTAATAGTAATATGAGTAGAAAAATAACCATTCTTGTGTGCCTATAAACTAAAGGATGTTCTCTCTCACAGTAAAATTTCACATTGCCTTTTTTAACTGTGACAGGATCAGGTGGCATAACAGGAAACCACCCAAATTCAGAATTTGGTCACTAATTGACTTGGAAGAAGTATAGAATGGTAATATTTTATCTATGTTCCCTCACCTTAGCAGGTACTTTGTGACATTGTATGTACACCAATATACTTAAAAAACATACCCAATTTCTCGGTACATCATAAAAAGGAAACTGGATCTTTAATTAGATCCAGATTTCATCATAATTGGTGTAAAATAAGTGGGAAGTTAGTAATAATAGTATAAGTCCCATTACCCTTCAGTATGTTAAGTCTTGATCCAATGCACAGATAGTTTATTTTTTGAGGAAATTTGTGGGAGTGCAAAATAGATGGGGAAATTGTCCCCAATCCTGTAATCACAATCCAAATCATTTGTGCATACTATGTGGCTGCATTTAGTTTCCTTTAAAAGGTTGAATTGGTAACATTATAGTTTTTCCAAAGTCATGTCTTCTTTGGCCTTAAGTGTTTAATTATACTTAAGATATTTTAAGTGCTTTTTATTTTATATTGGGTCCCTTCCATGCAGCAAATTTCTGGATTCCTGATTTAGGTTCTATTTATGTCTGGAGTGGGATTGAGGAAACTTGCTGTGTTATGTTTGTGTCTAATAAACAGCATTGTATGTAATTACATCTGATGCATTAGTGATAAATTCTGTTGAGTTTAATAATATTTCTCAATTGGTTGATAGGAGTAAGAAATTAGCACAAATGGGATAAAATAAAACCCAAAGTGTTGCATTCATCAATAATTACTTAACAAGAGGTAAAACAAAGAAAATAAACCATCCCTTAGTAAGTCTTCATCCTATTTTAGAATATATTATCCCCTCAAATACTTGAGAAATACAATCTTTAACAAAAAATATTTTTCATATTTTGTATAGTAGATGGGTAGCTGTACAGACAGAATTCTCAGTGATAAAGCACATGTTTTCAATGCTTAAAGTCTGAGATTCAAGCCTTTGTATTTCCACATTCAGCTGAAACTTGGAGAGTTACCATCAGACTAATGGAGACACTGCAGAACTAAATTGACCAATGGTCCGATCTGGCATAAGGCAGGTGTCTTATGTTCAACAATTGCTGTTCATAATTAACTGGTATCACTTCACCTCCTTTAGCTGTATGTGATGCTGAAGTCTGCATCTCATCTTTGTAAAGTAAAACCTAGAAGTCTTTTCAGATTGTGGAACAACATGCTGTTGCTATTTTCATGTTTTTCAAGGCCGTTCAACACTATACCTGCAGGGGGTCCCCACCAGCATAAGTTGTAGAACATACTTGGCCCAGAGAAACAAAGTTAACAAAGGATTTGTTTTCATACAGGACACTTAACATTGTTGGCCTATACATGTCTGTCTAGAAGCACATCCTATTATTTATTTATCATTTAAGTTTTTTATATACTGTTCTCTCAGCACATTGCTCTCAGAACAGTTTACAGATGGTGGCCAATATTAAATAACAATTATTCATAAAATCCATACAAAAATACAGAGAAATATTAAAAAAGAATAAAATATATTAAACCAGAGTAGCCAATCATTAAAAACCATTATAAAATCAGACCACTAATCAACAGTAAAATAAAAAGGTTTTGACCTGGCACTGAAATGTATAGTGTTGGCGCTGGGCACACCTCCCTGGGAAGGGTACCACTAATGCAAAGCTCCTTTTCTGTGAGCCATCTTTAAAGGAAGCAGGGAAGATCTTAGGGTCTGGGTAGTTACATATGGGAAGAGGTGTTTCTTAAGATATCCAGGTCCTAAGCCATTTAGGGCTTTAGCATGAGCACCCTAAAGCAGACCTGGACTTCAATTGGTAGCCAGTGCAGTTGAGAAAGAACAGGGTTGATATGCTCGCAATGGCCTGTCCCAGTCAACAAGCTGTCCTGCTCTGTACCAAATGACATTTCTGGACCATTTTCAAGGGCAGCCCCACATAAAGTACATTGCAGTAATCTAGACATGAGGTTACCAGTGCATGGATTGCCATTGCTAGGTGCTACCCATTCAGGTAAGGACACAGCTGATAAAAGGTGCTTCTGGCCACAGATGCCACCTTGTGTTCCAGGGACAATTCTGTGTCCGGGAACACCCCCAAATTCTGCACTCTGTCCTTTTTGAGAAGTGCAACCCTGGCTAGGACAGGGTGGATACCCTCCTGGACTGAGGTTCTGCCTATCAAGAGCACCTCCATCTTATTTGGATTAAGTTTCAATTTGTTGGCCTTAATCCAGTCTGTCACCCCAGTCAGGTGCCAGTTTAGAGTTGAAACTGCCTCACCTGGATCAGATGTAAACAAGAGGTAGAGCTGAGTGTCATCAGTGTACTGATGACACTTTAGTGCAATCTCCAGATGACCTCTTCCAGTGGTTTCATGTAGATATTAAATAGCATGGGGGATAGGATAGAATCCTGTGGCACTCCATGCCATAACTGCCATGGGGCTGAGGTGATAATCTCCCAGCAACACCATCCGGAATCAGTCAGCCAGATAGGAGAGGAACCACTGCAAAGCAGTGCCTCCAACTCCTAATCCAGCCGGCCTACCCAGAAGGATACCATTATAGTATATCAAAAGCTGCTCAGAGGTCCAGGAGAACCAGTGTACTCCCCCTGATTTTCTCCCAGCAAAGGTCATCCCACAAGGTGGCCAAGGCTGTGTCCGTTCAATAACCAGGCCTGAAACCAGATTGAAATTGATCCAGATGGTTGTTTTCTCTAAGAGTGCCTGGAGATTCCAGCCACCACTGATTGCATAGGGCTTACTCTAAGGCAGGGGTCTCAAACTCGCGGCCCGTGGGATGATATTTTGTGGCCCCCACTTGATATCAAAGTTTAGTGATAGTGCGGCCCACGCGTTTTTCTCACACGCACCTGCGTGAGTCGTTACCCTGGGTGCAATGTTCCCTCTAAGCTGCGCGCCGGGACGGGCGAGGCATGGGGGAGGGGCCCTGCGGCCTTCAAAGCGTGGAATACTTGAAATCCTTTTTATGTGGAATACTTGATGCGGCCCAGCCTCACCCAGACTCTACTTCCAGCAGCCCCCAGGTAAGTTGAGTTTGAGACCCCTGCTCTAAGGTGAGTATAGGATAGCTCCTTAGAAATGACAGTCAAGACTGCAGGATAAAAAAAAAATACTGTATCGTACCTGTCTGGCTCATTTTTACCATGCTATTGCTGCCAAATTGACTACCCAATTAACTTGGAGTGCAGTCCTATGCACATTCAGTGGGACCCCCTCCCTGATAAATGAATTTAAGATGAGTTTGAGATTGCCAACTAAAGCAAAATTATATGTGCACATAAAGAGCCAAAGGAAATGTTTAACTTTTTTCTCCATTATTTATCTGATTTCCATTCAGGCAGAAGGTTGCTTGTTAGCACACCTAGCAAGCAGCAGCCCTATTTTGCAGATTGTCTTATCATTTATTAACTTGTCAAAACAAACCCATCCTTTATAGAATTACCATTACGTATTTTTAACAGATAAGTCAATCACTAACCATTACTATCTCAAGCATATTCATCAGTAGAACTTCATCCATCCCCACTGAGATCACTGGAACTCTATTCCATAGTTGGACTCACTGAATGGAAGCATATTTCCTCTGAGTCACTAAAATGTTCTCATTAAACATCATGAAGCCACAGGGCTCCCCATTCACTGCAAAGTTGTTGTTGTTAGTCACGAAGTCATGTCGAACCATCACGACCCCATGGACATTCCTCTAGGCCTTCCTGTCCTCCACCATCCCCTGGAGTCCACTTAAGCTAGACGCATCTGTTATATTGCGATCAAAATATATTTTTGTATGCCTCTGCATATATCCCTTTTCAGGGCTCTCCTTGTACTCCAAATGTGTCATATCCTCCTAACAGGGCCCTGCAGGGCCCTGCTATAAGGCAGTGGCTGCAAGGTCAAGGAGTGCTTTCCTTTTGATGCAAATGATAGCCATGGGGTGGAAGGTGCCTTATCTGGGATCATAGAGGGAGCTAAAGATTAAATCATCTGCACTCCTCACTGTAATCCCAACTGAGTGCAGGTCTTACAGTTATTTCCTAAAGAGAGTAACTCATGTATGCATGTTTGTCATCTCTAGTTAGATCATTTTAATGTACCTGTATAGTACAAGTGTTTTCAAGGTTTGTTTGCAACATTCCTTTCAAAAGAAAATCTTAAGCAAAAAACAAAAAACTATAAAGTCCTTGACCACCCTGTCTTGATCAATGTGCAAAATATTTTGTGAACAAATTGCTTCACATCTGCTTAACTATAGCTATTCAGAATCAATTCCAATTAGCCTAGTTCTTCCCCCACCACACACTTTTTTTTTTTTTTTTTTGCTTTAAGTTATACTTTTCAGCTTTTACATGCTGAGGTGCTAAAGAATTCTTGAAGAGGGGAGGCTTATCACATACTTTCTTGACTCGTGCCCATCCCAACTTGTTAAGCATGGCAAAACACATCTGAGGGATCAGAATGCTTCCAGACAGGTCTTCCAGCAGTACCAATCAAAAGACATTATGCAATTATTTGGGATTTTATTTTAATCTGATAAGAAAAAAAGATGAAAGATATGGTGAAGAAACATGAGAGGGTTAAAAATTGAAGCCAACATCATCTAAAAAAGGTAAAGGTAAGGGTTTCCCCTTGACATTAAATCCAGTCATGCCTGACTCTAGGGGGCGGTGCTCATCTTCGAGGGAGCCAGCGTTTGTCTGCAGACAGTCTCCGTGGTCATGTGGCCAGCATGACTAAACACTGAAGTGCACGGAATGCTGTTACCTGCCCACCGAAGTGGTACCTTTTTATCTACTTGCATTTGCATGCTTTTGAACTGCAAGGTTGGCAGGAGCTGGGACGGAGCAACGGGAACTCACCCCGTTGTGCAGATTCAAACCAGCAACCTTTCAATCTACCAGCCCAGCAGCACAGCAGTTTAAACCACTGTGCCACCTGCAGTCCCAACATCATCTAGACCCCTGTAAAATTAGTTGAATGAGGTAGTGTATTGCACAATAACAGCCTTATGCCAATGTACTCAGTCCTCACTTTTGGCCCCTTCTAATTTAAATAACTATTACTTTGCCAAATTTACCATTCGTGGGCCATGTCTTGCACTGTGTGCTGATAGACCACACAGGTTTTCTTGGACATAACTGAGTACTTCAGTATGTTCCAAACTGATTTCTGATCCAGGTTTAGGACTGAAACTGTCTTGGTTACTCTGGTGGATGATAAATGCTAGGATATTAACATAAATGATGGGTGGGTACCATCAGTACCATCAATCATGGTATCCTTCTGAACCATTTAGCTAGAATAACCATTTAGGTAACTGGAGGCACCATTCTGCAGTGATTCCCTTAAATTCTTCCCATTTTCAGAGTCATGGAAAAGTCATGTGTATGGTGACTGTTTCTTCAACTAGGGGAATTTAGTAAATAGGCTATGAAACTGCTAGGTAAGTATAGGCTGAACTGTTGCTGATAAGCAGACTCCATTCAGCTTTAGCTCTCATTTCTGTTACCTAATCCTGGGAAGACAGTTGAAATTCTAAGCCAGTTTTTGAGAAGCAGTTTGGTGGGAAAAAACCCCTGAAGCTTGAGACAGATATGACAAAGTGTATGTCAGTTGGAAAAGTGAAGTGCCTGTTTGGAATGGGGTGGCACTCCCCTGAAACACTAGAACTTCATCCTGGTAGAGGACACTCCTACTTTTGGATGTTCATGCAAACCAGTGACCAGGAATGTTTTTTCCAGCTTCGTTTGGTACACTAGTTGTGTCCTTTCCTGGAGAAATAATTTCTGAGCCTAATTTCTGCAATGAACTTGACTTGGGCTGCCTCCACTGAAGCCAGTCCAGAAACTTTGATTGGTCCAGAACATGACCAGCTTGGTTTTGCTTGGAGCCAGCTGCTGATCCTCAGTCAATTTGTCTATCAAATTGTTGCTGTGTGAGGGACAATTCAACATGCTGGTTTTAATCTTGGAAGCTATCAACAGAACATTAACAGGATAGCTCAGAAGCAACCTCCATCAGGTAGAACCTGTCCAAGAACTTCAATTTATTATACATTGTCTTCTATCTGTCCCCTGCCATCAGAAATTCAGCAGGTGGAATGAACTCCCAAAGGAGTCACTCTTAATCCCTTCATTGTCAATTTTTAGAAAAATGGAAACAGCATTACTATTTCAACAGAATTCTTCAAAAGGTCTTTACTTTATGAATCATTGCACACCATCGAAAGAGTTTCAGCGAGTGGGTGGTACAGAAAATCAAGCAAGCTGCAGTCCTAGATCCACCTCTAAGTTCCATTCATTCACTCAACTGGACTTAATTCTGATCAGGCACACATAAATTTGCCTCTCAAACCTACTTTAACTTATACCTGCTTTTACTGCAAGTTTAAAGTGGTTGCTTTTCTGAGTATCTGTTTTCTTTGAATGCGTTTCTATATTGATCACTGTTTCTTGAATAAAACGAGAGCTACCTTGACTACATATTAACATCAAAATGGAGGGTTTAAATTCTAGGGCTGATCTAATGGTTCCCCCTTCCTCTAATAGAAGACATCTTCCTTGGAAAGGAAGGGTTCTATGGAGCTACTCAATAAAATATAATACTAGGGCTGTAATCCTCTACCGAATTACCTACGTGTAAGCTCTACTGAATTCAGTGGATATTTGCAGGGTTGCCACAAGCCTTCAATTTCTAAAAAAAAATCAGCACTGCAAAGTGCAATATAGTGAAGTGCAGTAAAATGAGATAAACCTGTAATGAATCATGTGAATGAACTCTAATGAAAATAAAACTATATGCTATTCAGTTATAGTAATGACCACTTTTAAGTCTCATTAATTTGCATGACTGTGCTCTAACTATGACTAAGTCTGGTTCCAGCCATATGATGGGTGTTACATTCATAATCAGTACCACTATGGGATGCTTTGCTCCAGTAATAAGTACCTTAGCAGCATTTGTGCTTCCTGCAATATGTCATCCCTATCTTCTACATAAAATAGCTTAGAGAAACACAAGGCAGTAGCAACAAAGCATATCAAGTTAAAACCTTCACATATTTTTCAAGTGCATTTAAAAATCAACTATTAAAAAGATATGTTAAAGCTAGAGAACATATGGGCAAAATTTCACATAGTATAAAGCAAGAGTGATCAAGCCAGCTGTATATAATACAAATCAAGTCTAGAGTTCATATTAGCCACTGAAGCTTATTCACAGATATAAATTCTGTAAATAAACACATGCCTATTTTTTCTTAAAGTGTTTCTGTAACAGTTAAGCTCACATACTAATTGAGATTACAAAATCAAAGCCATTTTTTTTCTCAGGTACCCCTTGAGAACAAAACTAATCCAGAAGAAGCCTGTCCTCCTAAAGACCTATAGGGATGTGATGGAAGCTGTAGTCCAACACATCTCAGAGGGTAAAGAAGGTTGTTAACCTAACATAAAAGCTGTGATTCTCAAAACAAAACAAACTTATTTTAGTTGCAGTGTTTTCCCCTTTTTATAATCCCTTTGTGACCAAAAGCCCTGCAGGAATATTTTTGATATGTCAAGAAAATCTTTTTTCTGTCATCACTAAGATGATTTACCATTGAAATTAAATGTTTGAAATGAGGCAAATGCACTAACCCAAACCCATACTGTGGGGTAAGTTTTGTCACCCCACAAATAATTAAACACAAGATGCTGACAGGAACAAATAGTTCCCGAAGCCCCATGGTCTTAATACAATGTAATCTTGTGCAACCCCAAATGTTTTTTGACATTAAGTCCAGCATGGGGCAAAACTAAATTACTGAATTTCAGAACTTTCCAGGAAATGCAAGTTGAAATCTAAGCAATTATTTTTCTGGAATGCTTTTTTTACAGCTTGCTTTCCCTTCTATTTATCTAACTCGCATTCCCACTTTGCAAAGTTCCTGTTAATAAGATTAGCAATTAAAAAGCCTGCATGGCAATTGGCAAGCATGTTCCTCTTGGAGTTGGATTGGCACTGAATCTCCATAAGAACTTGAAGAGGTCTGAGAGGAGTGAAAGCACACTCTACTGTGTGCCCAGTGCCCAAGAATGGAAATTGAGAAATCCAGGCCCCTGTGGGACAACCCCTTCCAGTTTGTACTTGCCTGTATATCATATGCAGTGGGACTGGGGAATGTATGGCGCTTTCCCTATTTATGTCAGATGCATGGAGGAGGTGAGTGTGACTGATGTTTCTTGGTTTGGCTCTGGGTAAGGAATTGGGGATCAAGTGCATCTATTTTGGAAACTAAATTGTCTTTTCAGAATGTCTTTGGATGCTAAATAGGGAGCCTCATCTTCGGAAGAAATAAGCAGTTGCTGTAATATTTTAGACAGAACATTAGCAGAAGATCCTTGCATCCTTCTGTTGTTCATTATCTCTTCTTCCTACATGTGTCTGTTTCTTCAATTTCCAATGTATGTCTTAGATTGCACACTTGCAGTCAAGGTTTATTCTTTCAATTTTATCGTAGTATTAAAGATATATTATTCTTGTCATTAATTTGTTTAAACCCTGTAAGACTTGCGATCAGACTATTTGAAATGCTGTATTTTTTCTATGAAATTGATTAGAAGTTAGGATCTTTGAGGAGGCTTTTCTCTTGTTTCCACGGCCACTGAAAGCATGTTTTGCAGGTTCACACCAGAGGGTCTTCTCAGTGGCTTCGCCCAGGCGCCAGAACTTTGCCAAAATTGGCTAGGCTGACTCCATCATTGAAAGGCAACAATGAAAGATAGTTCTATTCAAGCCTTTCATATGTAAGCTACTTGATGGTTGCAGGAAGTTTTATCCAGTTAGGTGTTCTTTATTTCTATTATTGCATTTTTAATTGTGCTTTGTGTTGGTCTGTGTGTCAATCAAATTTAGTTTTTTATTTGTATATTATTATTGTTAGCATCTTTGAGTTCCCTTTTTTGTCAGATGAGATATAAATTTAAATAAATTAATACATTCTTATTTAATGTTATTAGTCTGACAGCTTCCCTCATTGTGACTGTGAGCAGAATTGAAATGCTGCAAGTTATTGAACAAATGGTTTTCACATGCAATTTATTGGAAGCCAGTTAATGTCATATAGATTTATAAACCAGGAAGATACTTTGTAGCAGAATCCCAGCATGAGCAAACCATGGAAGTCAAGAACTTTTAAATATATATATTTGATGGGTGAAAGTCCTGTGAAACTCCCCTGGCAGCGTTCCCATGTCTCTCTCTTCTAGGCAGAATCTCAGGTTTGTGATCCAAAACCAGCCTTCCTAGAGTCTCACAAAGAATAACACCATCTTCTCCTTTCCCCTAGCCATTTGCTGGTTTTCCAGCTTCTGTACAGTTTTTCCAGGTTGAGATTCTTTCTTGTAAGGCTTAGTAAGAGCTTTGAGTTGAAATATGATGGAGGGTTTTAAAAAGTAGCCTGTCCCTTTTTGCTTTCGTTCCATCACTGGAATGGAGCCCCTAAAAGCTTCTCCAAAATGAAATTTGGCTTTTGGGTTCAAAGAGGTTCAACACCCCTGCTCTAACCTTCTCTTTTCACCCTATTCTGCCCTGTTTCCTTCCCTTCTGCTCCCCATCCTTCAAAAACAGTTCTTTATATGAATTTTAGGGAGAGGTGAAACATCAGGCATACATTTTCCCTTTCTGGGAAATCATAAAAGGAGAGTCATTGTTGGCCAATAGTGTTAAGTACCATGGGCAAATTTTGTATCTACTGCATTGTTGGTCTTCATTACATATACTACATGAATGCCCGATCTTCCCAATCCCACAGGGCAGAATGGCAGCCACAACCACTCCTGTGACTTGACTGATGATTTGAAAGAAGCAAATAACAGTTTTGCCAGCTTATACTAGGCCAGAAAAACATGCATATTTTTCTCTGGGTAAAGAAGCATTGCAGGTGGGGTCCAGCAACAAGTTTAAAGTAAAGTGGGGAAACAAATCTATGCCATTTGAAACCTATGGCAGACATTTTGCTTCATGAGATAGAGCAGCAAATTATGATCCTCCTTAAGTCAAAGTGCAAAGTGTCCAAGGCTAGTCCAATCATTTTGGGAGGAAATTCCACAAGCATCACACCCACCCTTTGTCAATAAAATACTACAACCATAAATGTAATGGCTAGCAGTCTTCTGCCTTTTCATGACTAACCAAACTAGTTGTCTGGGTGGCTGCATCACTGTGGAGTCATGAAAATGCCATGGCAGATTATGTTCATGACCTCACTATAAAGTCAAGGTGTTGGCAAGACTGAAGATAGAAAATTCAAAATATGAAGATGCAGACTTCCAGAAAGTTTAAATCCTTTTACCCCCATTACCACCACACTTCCTATCAACAGTGATCTAATCAAAAGTTATATCACAAACTAAACAGATCTCTAAATTGTGTGAAGGGGCCTTCTGGTACTGAGTTTTTATTTCCCCTAGCTATGATGTCATGGTTCAGAAATAAAGCTGAGCTCCAGCCATGTTCCAAGTTCAGATGGGTACCATATAGAGGGGCAGGTCTGAAATATCCAATTCTGGTAGCTAGGCAAGAGCTGTGGGTGAATACCTCTAAATCAGAGTGAGGAGAAAGGAGCTGGTCCACTGGAGAAGGGTAAGACCAGTGGTTCTGAGCTAGTTTGGCAGCAAAGACCAACACAAAATTGATTTCTAGCTGTGACTGGATCCCTTGTATGTTTTGCTTGCTTGCTTGTTTGCTTGAGCAACCATGGTGGTATGAGAAGCAAAAATTAGACTGAGACCATGGCACTGAAGAAGACAGCAATTAACCATTTTGTCCTATGCTGTTTCCGCAATGTAAACTCACCTCCTATTTGCTTTCTTAGGGAAAGCTGCCTGTAAATTTTCCCTTGTAAAATAATCACTTCAGGGAAGATTTATATTGGGAACATCATCAGTGCAGATTTTGATGGGAACTTGGTCAGTGATCCCCCCCATACCATTTGAACCTCCCCAATGCCAGAAGTTTGCCTTTTCTCTCCAGGCTCAACCACCCAGGCAGTACCTGCTGTATCTCATCATCCTTGTCATGGCTTAAATACTTTGCAGAGGTGGCTAAATCAGTAGCAGCAACAAGGAAGAAGAAAAACAGAGCCAACAGGCCTGTACAGCCAGAAACAGAGGCCTCCTGCTGTAGGAACATTAGCCTTGGCAGGGGACACATGATGCCAGCCCCTGATGTCAACTCTGCAGTAGGGACAGGGCTAAGCCTACCCAGCACCAGTCACTCAGTAAATGTGAAGACTGCAAGTCTGCTTTTAAAAAGAGAGAGGCAGAGTATATCTCATCACAGATCTATATTGTTTTGCTCACATTTCACACAGCAAACTAATGTTTGCCACAAAAACCCAAGCCTTTGCATACCCAACTCATTCAAAAGAAAAGGAAACTGTTAAGGCTGTTAATAAAGGATATTGTTATAATGTCAAGGATTTCGGGCTCTTGAGAACTCCTTTTGCAAGGAAGAAGTTACCTAACTTCCAAACAAAGGGCCTGTTAATAAAAGCACAGGAAGGAGGCAGCAATAATAATTCCCTGAATATAACGGATTATAGCTGAGCATTCCCTTCCCCTTCTCTGTATCCATGACTGTGCAGATAACATTCATTTCTATTGCTCAAGAGTCCTCATGTCAAGGAATGTTAATGCTACAGATTAAATACCAAATAATAGATATTTACATAAATATTTTGGCGTGCTCTGAAAAGGAAACTGGAAGGGCTGCACACAAAGAACCTCCTTTTGATTTAGTCTGAGTTGTTCACAGGTGGCTCCAAAGTCAAACACGGGTTTGGACCAGGAGAAAATTTTCTTCAAGGTTGAGCTTTCAGTGCCCCTTCCCCTGGCCCACTCCATTTCTACCAAGCAATTATTGTTGAATTATTTCCTGACTTTTGTGCCATTCCCCCTTCCACACACATCATTCTGAAAGGTTGAAATGCCTTGCCTAAGGCTTCATTACTGGCAGCAAGAACTTTAAATGTTAAAATATGTTGGCATTTTGATTCAGCCCCTTTTGCTTTGGCTCTGCCCACCACTGGTCACTGGCCTCTGCAAGCTTCTCTGAAATAGAATTCAGCCCTCAATCTGAAAAAACTTTTAATTGCTCAGACATAAATAATACTGGGCCCTAACACACATCCTACCAGAAGGCTGCATAGCTGCTAATCCATTTAGGAGAAATTGTGATACTCATTGACTTCTTGCAGCTTCTTTCCCACATTATAGATTTGAAAAAGTGTATCAGTCAGATCCACCTGCAAAATCAGGGCATTCAGTGTGGACACCTGAAGAGGAGACACATATGTGTGCCCAGCTTTCCATGCCTAGGCTTTTACATGCTCATCACACAGAACTGGAGTAAGGTGGAACTACACACATCAGGGGTACAACCAGTGAGGCACCCCAACATCCCCATGATAGAGCACAGAAAATGTAGATGCAGCAAGACAAGTTTCCATTTATCAGATGTCTATTCATTCTCATCTTTGTATTCTTGAAAAGTTCCCATGGGATGCAGATGGGCACAGGCGAGTTTTGAAAAGATTTAAGTTGAACTGGCTCCTAGGCAGGAAATCTACTGAGTCTCTGATCGTCTGTGTCAGTAGCTTCCACAGAGGTTAATTCAAACAGAAAGAAAGGAGTGCAAACAACAGCACTTCACAAGTCTAAGGAAGGGACCTCCAAAAATCTAGTTGGTCCACTGAAACTCACAATTCTTCTTTCGTACTATTGCTACTTGTTCCTTGGCTTTCTGCCAGTTGAGCAAACAGGTGGTAGCAATAAGGAGAAAATGGCAGAAGAGCAATAGCAGCTGGTGACAAAGGTGACAAGAAGGGAGACTCATTGAAGGAGAAGGCCTGCTGATCGTGTCTTACTTAGGACCCTCAAAAACCTGACACTGCATGCAGCTGCGTAGCCTTATAGAGTCTGGCTATTAGCTCAGCTAGGCCAGGATTATCTGCTGTCACTGACTGCAGGACCTCATGGATTTAGACAAATTAGGTTTTCCAGTAGAGATGACAACAAAAGTCTCTTCATGCCAAGTTATAAAAGCCCAGTGCAGGTGAAAGGTATGCTTTTAAAGCTTCCAGATTCTTCTCCAGATGAAATTAAAATCTGAGCTGGAGAAGAATGCTCCATTCCCCTGCTCCCAATACCAAGCAAGGATTGGTGGGAATAGGATTAATGGAAATGGACAGGAACATACCTTGCATTGGCTCAGAAAAAAAATACCTGACTTCTTTCCATTTCAGTTCTTGCATTAATCCTCAGTCAAGCACTCCAGCCCAACCTTCTTGCTGAGAATAGCTCCTCTGCAGCCAGGACCAGACCAATACATTTTGCTATTTGAAATGAAAAACAAGATGGCTCCTCCACCCCATTCTATCAATGTGCAAACACTTGCTGGACTGGCAATAAAATCATGTTCTAACACTAATAATAGGATAGCATCCTTCCCACATCCAAGATAGCTGGTCTTTTTAGGGGACCCAGGATAGATTATGCAGCATCCACAGCTCCAGGGGAGGGGAACAGCTAGGGAATCCAGAAGGAACAGTTGGGAGGTTGTTGATACTGCACCCCAGCTTCTGCTTAATGGTAAGACCATCCCTGCCTAAAGCTATCTAGATCCTTTTCTTCTTCTTCTAAGAGACCCTGACTGTGCATTTGTGTGTCACAAAATGTTTGAACCTACACCAAACCTATCTGGAGTTTCTGCCATTCCACCTTTCTCCAGTAAAATTGATGTGCACTTGTTTTTCCCTGATAACATTATGCACACCAGTCAATTCATCTTGTGCAAAATGTCCTTAGAGCTTTTAAGGATTTGGGTTTTGGAAAATGAATCTGAATGTTGGGATTTCAACCAAATGCAAGAAGCCTGTGTAGATTCTTTGTCTAACTCGGCAAGTACTGCTGAAACAGCCTTTTGTAAGATGTTTGTCCGATGGGGGAGGTTTCACTTTATTAATGGGACTTTGTAGGTCAGTAGTCCACACAGCGGAAGCTTTCCAAATCTTGCCACTGAGATAAGAATGTGCAAGCATGCCTAATCCCTCTCAATGATTTCCAGGACAACACGATGCTCCTGAAAGAGAGTGCCACCAAACCATTTGAAAAATGTCACTGCTATATCACCTTGAAAAGAAGTGGTGTTTCTTTGTCAGGCAGTTTCCAACACATGTTCAGATAACAGCTTGAAAGCTTGATCCCAGAGCCTCATTGGAAGATAGTTGCAAGAATTTTCAGATGGTTTCCCCTCCTTCCAGCCTGCCATCTCTGGGAATAACTTATTTTAGAATGTGTATTATATTTTTATTTATTTATTTATTTATTTATTTATTTATTTAGAAAATTTCTATGCCGCCCCATTCGCCGAAGCCTCGAGGCGGCTCACAAAACATCAATTAAAATATAATACACTAAAAATATAAAACAAATTAACAATATAAAATAAATCTACCACATCTTATCCTCCAAGAAGTTCAGGGTTGCACACATGGTCTTTAGTTCCCCCCTGCCCCATTGTATCCTGATAGCAGCCCTGTGAGGTAGGCTAGGATGAGAGCTAGTGACTTGTTGAAGAGAGCACTGTGAGTTTCACAAATGGAAGAGATTTGAATCTGTCTCTCCATGGTCTAAATTCTGTCCACTGCACAGGCCTAGTCCAAAACATTTTGCTGCCTGAGGTAAAGTGGCCAATATACCCCCTCCCCCAATCAAGGTGCATGGTACCCAAAACTGGGCATGTAGTTTTGACATCTGAAGCAGAAAATCCCTCGACTGCCTTTCCCTGGTAATAAAAATGCCAAGCATAGTAATTTTGTTTCCCTTTCATGGTATCTCAGATCAGTTGCCTGAAGAGACTGCCTTGTGCAGGCAGGCCTGGCCTTGTTACGCTAGACCTTAGCTGCCATTGTTCTGTGCCTCTAATGTGGAATTTCAGAATTGTTTCCTCAGCAGTTTCCATGAGGAAATTTATCATCATTAAAATGATTCTTCACAATTGCTGCCCTGAGGTACTCTTTTCTTAGCATGAACATGAATGCTTAAGTACTTTTCATAGAATGAAGGTGAAGTGATGAGGAAAGTATCCCCTGCTCACTTGTTTGCTTCCTTTATTTATGTCAGACTACTCCTAATGGTATAGAAGCAAAGCTGGTTTTAAAAAAAGGAATAAATAAATTGACACAAAAAGAAAGCAGCGGCACCACAGAAGAGTAAAATGATAAGAATCACCAAACCTCAAACCAAATTCAAGTATCAGTATGATTGCCAGAGTTGGCCTGTCCATTAGACTGAGTGAAGCAACTGCCAGAGGCAGCGAATTATAAGAGGCAGGAAGAATAGAGAGTCATATGTACCAAATAGTCTACTAGGTAATTCTAGATCCTGAAAATGGTTTTATAGAGGGTCCCTTTGGACAGGGTCCTTCATGTTACTTCAGTCATAAAGTACGTAATTGACACTTCTCCCTTCATTGTATGTTAGGTTTGCTAGCTCTGATTAGATAGATTCTGATCATTTTAACTCTGCTCAATCTTATGCTGGGAATTGTGGGACTTTTTTCTCTCTAAGCACAAGTAGGATTGCACTCTTAAGCTCACTTAAATCATACCATTCATGAATTGAGAAATTAGAGTTTGCTTCTGCTTGGCTGGATACCCTCAGCACCTCTCAGGGTCCTCATTTGGAGGAGGAAGGATTTGGACTTTGGTTCCAAGGTCCATCGCTAGCTGCCCCACTGTGGCTTGCCTAATGCCCCCTAAGCTGACCCTAAGCACTCAGGTTCAGTGGAAGATGCTGTTCCGTTACTAGTGTTGCAGCCAAATCCAGACTGGAGGGGGCATCAGCTTGTCCCTCATCCAAGGAGACACAACATTTTGAGCTGGACCTCAGTTGGAGACTTCACTATATTCTTGGAATATGTTCTTTGTTGTTGGGGGGGGGGGGCGAATTTGTAAGCTCCCACCTACAAAACCTACAGCTTAGTCCTTGTTATATTTATCTGCAAGAAAGTTCAACTGATTTCATTTAGACTTCACTTCCAAAGTATACATTTTGTCTTCAAAGTGCCACACCACTTGATCTCTTCTCTCTTCCCTTGGTTACATTTTAATGCTTTTTTACAACAATTAGTCATCCTTTAACAATAATTCAGTCTGAACTGTGTAAAAGACTCTCCTTAATCACACAGATTATAAAACTAGTTACAGAAAATGATTCCAACATTTCCAACTCAAACAACTTGGTCCACAGGCTTATTTTCTAATAGGTACCTATTGGGGCTGATGTTAGGGTACTATAAGTATGACTAAATCTAGGTATGTCCTGATACGGGAAAGGAAGAAAGACAAAAGGGAAAGAGGAATACAAGCACATTCAGGCACCAATATTTACCTGAATTGCTCTGAACTATCCAGAGAACTTTGTGTGCTGGGAATATAGAAATTCTGGGAATAAATGCTATTGAACAGATGGAAAGACAAACAGAAGGAAAGGTTTATTCCTCTATATACATGTCAAGGACTGCACTATAACTTATATAATCACTTGGGATTTGAAATACTGGAGGACTCCTTACATTTAGTGCAGTGACACAATTTTGAATAGACTTCAGTGTTAAATATACCCCAATGCTCACTTCAAATGGTTTCAGACTGGACGATCCAAGCACTACCACAGAAAAGACATTCTGCAGCTATTTCATCTTTCCCTCTGTAATATATTATGCATTCTTCCAAATGAACATTTATTGTGGGATCAATATGGCTCATTCACATGCAAGCAGGAAAGTAGAGAGAATCTCCAACATGCCATCTGTCTTTGTGGAACAACTCACAGGGTACCCAACAGATGATGTGGCTTACCATGGGCTGTCCCCTGCTCCCTTGGTGGCACCCAACATTTCCACATTTTCTCGAGTTACCAGCTATTCAGGAAATGAATATCATAAGGCTGCCCCCATTTTGTGATGCTTCTTTTGAAAGCTGTGAAAAGGAAGGAAAGCAGGAAGTCTTGTCTTTAAAAAAATTCTAGCAAATATTTGGATTTGTATTTTGACAGGGAAATACATGCACATTCATGGATGCATGACAACAGGTCTTTCTCAGAACATTGCCTGGGGAAATCTTCCCATTTCTGCTATTTGAACTTGTGCCCTTGCACAATTATAGAAATCAGTAATTTTAAAAAAAATGTGTTCCCGTTCATGTATGCAAAAACATAATTTAGAAAGGTAGTGAACCACTATCAATGAGTGAGAGTCTCCAATGAGCTGCCTTGACAGAACCCTACAACCTCTTTTCCTGAGTTTACTCAAGTTACTGGCAGTGACAGCCACTACATCAAGTGCCCAAGTGGCCCTCTGAAGTGACCATCATTGGCTTGTCCTACCCTCTGTGATCATGAGTCCTTTTGTGTTCACTGCAGGTCCCCACCCCCAATTTTCCCTCGGTTACTATCAAAAGTGAACTAACTCTAAATCACTTAGATTGCTAAATAAATGCTTTGTTTCTCTTGCAGGAGGATTCCTAATTCCTTATATTATCATGTTAATTGTAGAAGGAATGCCATTGTTATATCTGGAGTTGGCAGTGGGACAGCACATGCGTCAAGGGAGCATTGGTGCATGGAAAGCCATAAGTCCTTATCTCTGCGGGGTTGGTGCGTATGTAACTATTTTCCCTGTCCCCCTATAGAATTATTCTTCATTATTTGAGGTACACAATGGATGGCCATCAGTCTCCCCTGTTCACCTATTGGCTCTAATCAGTCTCTATGCATCTGTTCCTCACCTCCCCATTCTAAGCTTTGCTGCAGAGGATAGGACTAGTGTTTCCAACTTCTGAAAAAAAATGTTTCAAAGTTCAAAGACAATAATGAGTCCATTTTCACTGTGATCTTTGTAATGAGGTGCAATAATTACCACCTAATTTTAGACATGGAAGAAATAGGCAACATTTGTAATTATGTAATTGTGTAACTTTTAGCATGCCAAATCAACATCAAATACATTCACAGCTTGTGAAACAGAGATATCTAACACTTGCACAGTTATTTAAATGCAACAACCTGGCACAGATGCAAGCATGTGCAATGCTAACCTTGTATGACTATATCAAGGTGTTTGCTATCGTTTCAACTGACAGTGAGCTCAGGTGGTTGAATGCCTATCTTTTTGAAAACAAAAGGAGTCACCCAGGAAAAAGGAAGCTGCTTCCGCATATTTGAGAGATACCAGATGTGCAAAAGGGCTTACATTTAGGAAGCAAAAGGAAATGCAGCCTAAAGAAAACCCGCCTGGCAAGAACCTGTGGACATACAGAATGTAATGGCAGTTGAACCAATGCAGAAGGGGAAAGGATCTACAGAAGTCAGACATCAGGCTTTCTGACTCTTCCAATTTAGACTGTTTGCAGATGTCTTATACCTGGAGGGCTGCCCTGTTCAAGTCCAGTTGTAAAGCTTTAAAGAAGTGGGTTTTGAGGTCCTCCATCAACAGTGAGCACCTGGGCAGTGGGCTGAGCAGGTACACAGGTCACAGAGGTATTATATTGCAGTTTAAATTATAGTGATAAGCAAACTGTTGTATGCACATTTTAGGTAAATCTGGGCCCTCAGTTGTCCTCTTTCTGTGTGATATGTAAGTGGTCACCCTAGGCTCGTGCTTTAGGCTGGCTTAAGTACTAACTAGGACCCATGATGGTGTACATACGTTTTTATTTATTAGGCCTGTAAGTCACTCCTCTATAAAATGCCTGAAGCAACAGAAAACATCCAGTTAGAATTGCTTGATCATTGCAAATGAAATACATCTTTTTTAAAATAAATCATCCTTTAAAATCCAGCTCAAGTCATTCTTCAAACAGCAGTACAGTTTCGTGGGCAATTTTGACAGTGTTTGTCTCATTGTCAACAACTGCACAGCTTGTACTACTTTAGGAGACAATAAGTTTCAATAGGTTTCATTAGTGGGACACACACACACACTTTATTGTTCTCCCCCCAGCACCTGTCAGCCTTCATTCCACAGGCAATAAGCATGTCTGGTTCTCATTGGGCTGGGGTTTTTTTGTTTTGTGGGGATGGGCTCCTACCCTCCTTTATGTTTTTTTCCAAAATATTTTTTCAACTTATGCAAACTTTGGAGCATTTTTTTTTTGAACCAGCTGATATATTCCTTTTGTTAATGGCACTCACTACTTGAACACTGACAATAAAGAGATGATAAAGAGCCACAACTGTAAAAAGCCCTCCTCTATCCCTTCCACATGCCACCATAATGAAATAAGTCTCTGTGGCACTGTTTGTCTGAGGAGATAGCTAGGATGTAGGTGAAGAGGTTCTGCATTAATTAATCAATTCATTCCAAGGAGTGATACAGTCAGAAGGTGATGCCCTTCTCCATAACTCTCCTTTTTCTTATTTTCAGGAGTTGCCAGTGTTGTTGTTTCATTTTTCCTCTCTATGTACTATAATGTTATAAATGGCTGGGCATTCTGGTACCTCTTCCATTCATTCCAGGTGGGTCAAATTATGTTGTAAAGTACAGTGATGTATGCAATGGGCTCCTTGTAAGAATGAATTTGGGATTAAACCCAGAAAATATACATTACCTCATGCAGATTCCAGCAGAAGCTGCAGGGTAAAAGGAGTGAGAGAGCGCCATGTCTTCCAATCATCAGTTCTCAGATGAAGGATAATTTCTGTAATTTCTGTGCCTGCATCTGTGCAAAAAGGTGGTGCACAAATGAGTCAAGAGAGCACATAACTTGTCTTGTCTGGGACTGGGATGAAAATGATAGAAAATGCATACTCAGGGGGAAGTTTATGGGCTGGATTCAGACTAAGTTAAATTAATTTTGGTCCCATCAAAATCATTGGAACTTAAGTAATTGTTCCTGAGAACTTGCCTTCTTATCTGCAATCTTACTGTGGAAAGGTACTATAGGGAAATAGGTCTGTGACTGCTTAACTGACTGAAAATTCCCTTTATACAAGTTCCACAATAATCCACCATTAAAGTTATATTACAAGAAGAGTCCTGTTGAATCAGACCAATGGCCTATCTAGTTCAGCAGCTGATTTCCTACCCTGGGCTGCCAGTGGGAAGCTCACCAGCAGAACAAAGTGTAACTAACTGCAGGCTCCCACTCATGTTCTCCAGCAAGTGACCTGCACAGGTGCCTCACCTGGCAAAAAACAGCCATCGGTGGCTTTTCCCAGAATTTCTGTCTGTTGTTGCAGAAGGCTTGGCTAGCTAAAGATTTGCTGGAAACAAAGCCCTCTGTATAGTTGGGGTAGAATATCAGTGCATTTATTGATTTGTTTGTAAAAGCCATTTTGTAACTGAGTTCCAGATTCACTACACAATTTCTTCCATAATCACATACTTTTTGCTGATAAGGATGTTTTATGAGATGCCTGTGACAATTAAATTGTATAATGATGCTCGAACATGAGATGCTAGTTATGTAATGAAGTGCAATAATAGTAATATATAACCCTGGTGAAACTGGCACTTTGAGCTCCACTCTGCCCTAATCCTACCCTACCCCGCCCCGCCTGACCTCACCCACCATACATCAGCAGCCTGTACTGTTTCCTACAAGACATCTGTATTTGTGTGTTACTTTTACAATTTACTTTTACAATTTGTTCTGTGCTCCAGAAAAGATTTATATTAACACAGGAATGCTTAGCCACTCAACTTGCCTGCTGGGGTTTAGAGTTCAAGCATGAGGAAGAGAATAATAAAACAACAACAAATCTTCAGTACAAACTGGATCAATTCTTCATGATTCATGTTTCTAGCTAGGAGTACTTTTAAGTACTGCTGTGAGAGTCTCTGAAACAGAATTTAAAATGAAAAACCGTTCCTTAGAGTATATATACCATTATTTAACACTCGCCCCTTTTCAAATCACTACTGGACAGCATCCTTCCCCATCTGACTTGCACCCATTTCATGGTTTCTAATTGAAATTGTGGCATTTGGGAAGATCAGTGTGCTTACTGTCTGCTTCACATCCAAAGGATCCTTTGCCATGGGCAAACTGTCCCCTGAACATTAACCGTACAAACTATGTGGAAGAGTGTGAGAAGGCAACACCCACTCAGTACTTTTGGTACAGGAAGACCCTCAATATTTCTCCATCCATTGAGGAGAGTGGAAGCATCCAATGGGAGCAGGCAGCTTGTCTCATCCTGGCTTGGTTGGTGGTCTATCTGTGCATTCTAAGAGGAACAGAACACACAGGCAAGGTAAGAAGCCATGCCGTCTCCAGGTTATGGAGGTCCTTGGGCAAAACACCTTCAGTGACTCTACAACCTCTCAAGCCTTGTCATCAGCTTTATCACTCCTCATCCTGTTTCTCATCATTGCTACAGCTTGCTTGATGGACAGGCAAGCAGGGAGAGAGCGAGTCAGTAAGCAGTTCCTCCTCACCACCAACATATCCTGGGCCAGAGAGAGAGGCAGGTAAACACACAGGTTGCCATGGGGAAGAGGAGGAGCAACTCCAGTGGGCTTTCTGTCAGCAGGCCACTGCTGGCATGTGGACCACCAGTCAGTGCCTAACCATGCCAACCGAACTCTGGCCCTGGTAAGAAGCTTACTAGTGCTGGGATTGAAGAAATCAGCTTTAACAAATATGAAGGGAGGCAGAAGGGGAGGGTGAGGAAACAGCTTGCAAAGCTTTTAAAAACTCTTTGGGTTTACTTCTTCCTGTCAGAAAGAACACTATTTATTTGTTTGATTCCCCAGTCTAGTGACTGTTTATTAGGTCAGAAACTCTGTGCATGGAGTTTCTCCATTTAAATAAATCTCCCATTTCAGCTGAGGATCTTTAAATATTTGCAAAGGATTAGATGAATTTCCCCATCTCACCACTGAAATGAAAAGGTCAACACATAACCAGTCTGTGTGAACATCTAGATCTCTGGATTGTGGTTAATAGAACTGTCATGGAACAGATAATACTCAACATTTGGTACATTTCCAATAAGTATAGTTTGTGTGCAACTTTGAAATTTACTTCCTGTATCAATAACAACTAGAATATTAGCTGATATCTAATACCCTATCAAATCGCTGCTCTCTAAAAGCCAGTAATATATTTATCTGCTTTAAGATGAGGTAGAGCGTAAAATATTGACTGATTGGTTTTAGAATACTGTATTGATATACCAGTTCACATTTTAAAAATCCAGAAGTGGTTCACAGCATACTATCAAACAAAAAATCATTAAAAATGGACAGAACTACAACCTCAGAGAAGGAAATCCCTGCTCAGACCTTCAGCCCAGTCTTGCCCCTTCACTTAATGCAGAAAGTTCCACGGCAGCTACTGCTTTGAGGTTGGTGTGGCAAGGAAAAAATGGAGTGGACTAACAGGGGAGGAAGGAGGAAAAGCCAGGATGCACTGTATTCACTGGACCTTTCAGCCCCAGGAGTGTCCCTGCCAATTTGGGTTCCTTAGGCAGGCTCAGAGGTCCACCTAGTCGGAAAAAGTAAAAGAACAGAAGCAAAAAGTCAACTCGATCACTTCTGCCCTGCTGGTCACATAGCCTGGCAACATCATGGATACCTAGAACACCCTGAAATCAGAGGTTTCTATCTAGCAGGCATCAGCCCAATAGGCTTGGGCCCTTAGATAATTTAATGCTTGGCAAAACATGGGGTAAACAGATGTTTTTAGTAATCATTGAAAACACATGATCATCAGTACCTGTCATATTGCAGAGAGTAAGTCTTCCTGAGTCAGATCGTAGGTTGTATACACAGATAACATAGCCTCCCCTTGTAGCACTCAAATGGGTGAATATATGGAGAGATGATTTTTCAGATAACCTGATCTCAAGTTGTTTAGGGCTTTATTTATCAATAATAATATTTGTCAATAATTATTTGTCAGTAATTCACTGCACAGGAGCAAATTGGCAGCCAGTGCAGTGAATTCACCCCAGGTGTACTTGGCAAGGCATTCCAATCATCAGCCACAGTGCTATATTCTTTACAAGTTGCATCTTCCAAGCCAGCCCACCACATAGAGAGCATTACAGAAGTTCAGTCTTGAGTGTCTTGAATAGGTCATAGAACTTAAGTTATTCTTTTCCATGAATGGACATAGTTGATGCATGAGCTGAAGTTGGAGAAAGGTGCTCAATGCCACAGTGGTCCTTTGGACTTCTAATGACAGTGATGAATCTAAAAGCATCCTCAAACTTACTTACTTTAAAAACTGACAACAACATTGTTGGGTTTTGAAGAACAAAAGATTTGAGTTTTGTTTCTTTTATTGTCTGAAAGTTATCAGCAAAGCTTGAGTATGGACATGCACACATTCACCCAAAGCTGAAATCTACACCCAGAATGTAAAATTCAATTGTTATTTAAAAGACAGGTACCAAGTTTCACATTGAAATGTGTTGGTCTATTCTAATAAATTGTGCCTTTTGTTCTTTTGCAGGTTGTATATGTGACGGCTACCTTGCCCTATGTAGTCCTTCTAATATACTTGATCAGAGGCTTAACACTCCATGGAGCCACAAATGGGCTGATATACATGTTTACACCAAAGGTACCTACCAATTTCAAACCCTGACTGAAACTGAAGCATGTTCTTCACAAATGCATAACTGAAATGAACTTTGTAGATCACAAGTGAAATATGAGTCATTAATGTGATGTGGCTGCAAAAAGGGCAAATGCTATTTTGGGCTGCATTAATAGAAGCATCCAATGAACTACTAGTTCTCCTCTACTCAGCACTGGTTAGGCTGCATCTGGAGTATTCTGTCCACTTCTGGGCACCACAGTTTAAGAAAGATGCAGACAAGCTGTAAAGGGTTCAGAGGAGGGCAACAAAGATGATCAGGGGACTGAAAACAAAGCCCTATGAAAAACAGAAAAAACTGGGCTTGTTTAGCCTTAAGAAGAAGGAAGATATGATAGCAATCTTCAAGTACTTGAAAGGTTGTCACAAAGAAAAAAAGCTGTGATATCTTCTCAATCATTCCAGAGTGCAGGACACTGAATAAGGGGCTCAAGTTACAGGAAGCCAGGCTCTGGCTCACCATCAGGAAGAGCTTTCTGACTGTTAGAGCAGTGTGATAATGGAGCTGATTTAGCTCCATTGCCCACACTAGAGGCATTCAAGGTACAGCTGGACAGCCATCTGAGAGGGATGCTTTGACTTGGTCCTGCACTGAGCAGGGAGGGTTGGACTCGACTGCTTTCCTGGCCACTTCCAACTTTATTATTCTGTGATTCCCTATCCATAAAAGGAAACGCAATATGAATATGATCTATGTGGAACACAAAGAGAGTAATAGACTAAGTAATTTCAACGTATGCCATCTAGCAATCAGCAGCTGCAGTGAGGATACACTAATATACCAATGGAAATCTCTCATCCACAAAAGCTGCTCCATTCATTATGAAGAAGCACACCTGAGCTCGGCATGCAAATAGGAAGTACACATAAGAGCATTCAACAAGCCCTGCAGGATCAGACCAAAGGCTTTTCTAGTCCAGCATTCTGTTCATGCAGTGGCCAACCATCTGCCTGTGGGAAGACCACAAGCAGGACATGAATGAAATACACCTAGGACTCTAGATCAAGAGAAATCTTTTTATTTGCCCACCATTTTAAGTGATAGGAATTTTAATCTGGTTTTAACTATTTACAGTCACATTTTGATTTTCTTCCTGTTTTTGTTTTTGATTCTGTTTTGATTCTGTCTTCATTTGCGATATGTTATTGTTGGTTTTATGTATATTTTTAATTATTGTTAATTGTTGGATTGTTTGTTTTGATTTCTGGAAGCCATCCTGAGACACTTTTGTGTATAGGATGGGGTATAAATATTTTAAATAAATAAATAAATAAGTAAATTCAGCACTTCAGCTTATGGGTCTCTGGCAGAAACTTCTTAGAATCTCAGAATGATTCTCGCCCTCCCCTGCCTTTAAACAGCTTAAATATATGAGATCCATTCAATGGACATCCAATGGCATTTTATTTGTGGTGTAAGATACACTTCTTGTGTTTTGCTGCATAATACAATTCTCTTGAAAGATAAGTGAACAGATAGCAGCAAAATAGAGAGCACAGAGCACAGATAAGTGAACAGAGAGCAGTCTTCCCCCAACTTGGTGATTTTCAGTTTTGTACTACAACTCACAGCACTGCTGAACATTGCACCCCATTGTTGGGTGGGGCTGATGGGATTTGAAGTCCAAAACCTTTGTAGGGCACCAGGTTGAAGAAGGCTGATACATGGGGTCTTATAAGGTAATCACATGACAAACAACCACTGCTTTGTGTTAGAGGCTACCACTGTTGTTTTAACGATAAATTGTTTAATTCCAGTAAGATTCAGAGAACTGGTTTATCTAAAATATAAATAATCACATCAGAGGTGTTTAATGCATGCAGAAAATCAGACATCTAGGAGCCACCTAATTATAGCAGTACTAATAATGCTTACTTGGCATTAAGTCTCAATTAAATGGGGCTTCTGTGTCTATAGACATAGGCTTTATGGCTGTGAATGGCTTTATGTCAAAGCATCTAAATTTACTGGACAGGGTTACCAGGCTGTGTATGAATCCAGCTCAGTATTTTCCATTCTTTGTTCCACAATAATGAAATGAGAATTTGTAATGACCCACCTTATGGGCATGTTGAGAAGATGACTATACGTCTTAAATGCTTTGCCACTGATCCAACCTTATGGTTTTTTCCCTTGCAGCTAGAGCAACTAGCAAACCCAAAGACTTGGATTAATGCGGCTACTCAGATTTTCTTCTCTCTTGGGCTGGGCTTTGGCAGCTTGATAGCTTTTGCCAGCTACAACGAGCCGAACAACAACTGTGAGCGGCATGCCATCATTGTCTCGTTAATAAACAGCACCACCTCAGTATTTGCCAGCATTGTGACTTTCTCCATTTATGGCTTTAAGGCAACTTTCAATTATGAGAGCTGTATGAACAAGTAAGCTTGTCTTTCAAACCAAAACTGTTCTTTCCTCTGCAAGTGAAGGTGCAATGCAGAATCAGGGATGCTAGGGATTCCGTGCAACACCTCTAGAAAATACCAGGTTGGGGAAGACAGTTTTAAACACAAAGAAATTGAAGAGAGTTGGGGGGGGGGGGAGTTCCAAATTTACATCTACTTGGGAGCCTAGATAGCCATTGAACCATTCCTCAGTGGTTCATGGTTGTATGATACAGTCGCTTTTTGAAATCTCATACAAATCCATGTGGGGAGTACCTGGTCTAAACCAGGACTATTTTATCTGCAAATTAAAATAATTTTATCTTCCTTGCAGTTTGCTCATTATTTAAACATATGTCCCATTCTCTCCCCTCCCCACACCCCATTGTACTAGAAATATATTTTGGAAACATTGTACCTTCTATGCTGTTCTAGAAAGAATTTCATTTAACTTTGCCATGCAGGGTCATCTTGCTGCTGACCAATTCTTTTGACCTGGAAGAAGGCTTATTAACAATAGAAAACCTTGAGGACATGAAAGGTTTTCTAGCGTCTGCTCACCCCAATGAATATATGGAACTGTTGCCACAGATTAAGAACTGCAGCTTGGAAGCAGAATTAGATACGGTAAGCTACTTCTTTTTAAAATAGATGGACTCAGAACAAAGCCTATTAGTCTACTGAATTTTTAAATGTCCTACCCATAATATTATAACTCAGGGTATGTTCAGACAGAACATGATGAAGCAACCTTGATGAAGTTAAACAGGTCTGGGCCTTGTCAACATCCAGACAATATCATGTAGCCTTCCCTAATAGGATTTCCCATCAGATGTCTTGGTTTGCGTACTTCATCATCCTTGATTGTTGGCCATTATTGAGTAGGACTGATTGGAACTGAAATCTAAAGTTTATGAAGGCACCATGTTGGAGAAGGCTGGTTTGTGTTGGAATGTGAAGACCTAGTTTCAAACCTCTGGTGACTAAGTGATCTTCAGCCAATAACTAACTTTTAACCAAACCTACTTAACAGGGCTGTTCTGAGGATAAAAGTAGTAGGGAAAAGAACCATATATACAGCCTTCAGTTCCTTGGAGAAAAGGTGAGGCACAGAGACATAAATGTAAAAATTAGAATTAATAAATTCTTAAGAACTATATGGATGCTGTCTTTTGTGAACGAAAGGCAGAATCTGAATATTTTAAAAACTCTATTAAAATTTTGGTATAGCATACTCTGAAATCTTAATACCCACTGTGTAATATTGCTGTTTGCTGAAGTTTTAACATCTGAGGGCAGCCTGGGCCCTAGTTTGAGAAAGGACAGCTATCATAGTTAGAGGCTACCTAGCCCTTAGTAGCAGCCATTTATCAGTGGCTGTACAGCTACAGGTTTAGTTACATATCACGATGTCCATAAGTCCATACAATGGCACCTTCAAGTGATTCCCATACATGTAACTGTACTGAATACAACTCAGCAAAAACTAGTGGCAGGCAGCTCCTATAAATATCAATAGCAACAAAGTACACTATTATATACCTAATTACCATTGATTTCAATGGTGCTGATATGTAGAGGGATGGAGCAGACTGATTTGAGCTCCCTTTATTCCAGGCAGATGACAAAAAAAAGGGGGGAGTGTAAGATTGGTAGGTGCATACAACTCACAGCTGCATAAGGGCTATTTTATGAGATCTGGCCTAGTGATCGTGCTGGATTTCAGTTCAGTTCTGAGTTCAATTCAAGATGCAGGTCATCACCTATAAAAATCTAAATAGTCTGAGACTAGGACATTTGAAGGATCATCTGCTTCTACATGAACCTGCCAGCCAACTTTGTGCATTACACAGGCTTTGTGTTCCATTTCATGACCTAGAATATGTTTTGCTGGGATGCAAGGCAAGACTTTTTCCATTGAGGTACCCCATTTGTAAAACTCCCTTTCAGGGAAGATTGAATTATTGGTAGTTTTACACACTTTTATTCTACCAGGCTTTTAACCTCTTAATTCCTACCTGCCATGGATTTTTGTTCGATCATTTCAATTGCTGTTTGAGTTTATAGTCTGATTTATTGTCTTTTGGGAATCCTTTTGAAGGCCACTTCTGACAAGTCTGTAGTATTATTAAAGCATTCTGATGATATGCTTTCATGTGTATTTTTAGGCAGATAATCACAAGAATATATGTATTGTCCGGATGTCACTGCAACTTGTCATTGGATGTCTTGCAACTTCATGTAATGTTTTGTTCTTCAGTAGCCCAACTGCAAACCATCATCAGTACTTTTCAGATTAAACTACTTTTCAACTAGGCTGTAGCTCAATTCTCTTTAATCTGCCTTAACTTTTAAATTACACTTTGCAACTATAAAAATATCAGCTAGCATATGAAAATCATCCCCCACCCTAATCAAATATTATTTTTATGTGTGGCAATGCATTATCCACAATTCTGGAATTTTCTGTTTTTTCCTCATGGACAGGCTGTTCAAGGAACTGGACTGGCATTTATCGTGTATTCAGAAGCAATAAAGAACATGGAGGTCTCACAGCTCTATTCAGTGCTGTATTTTATTATGCTGCTGATGCTAGGAATAGGCAGCATGCTGGGAAACACTGCTGCCATCCTGACTCCTTTGACTGACAGCAAGTTCCTTTCCTCCCATTTGCCCAGAGAGATCATCTCAGGTGAATCCGATTGCTGCCTAAATACATCCAAATGTCCACATGCAGATTGACTATACTGTTCCATGGACAGGTGCACCAGACGTGCACAGTTCTGGGCACATTCCAGAAATGCAGCACCTAAGCAACATGCCCACTGTGGTGGAATGGTGTAAACTGGTGCCCGGCAATAGCAGGGGGTTGGCCATTACATGGTCATCTAAATGTACCTTCATCAGATCACTAATTTCCAGGATCTAAAATTATTTAGCTGCAGCAATGACGGCCCTTCCCCCATCAGGTGATCTGGATCTGTACAGCATAACAAACAAGGCATAGCCTGTTTCAGCGCTAACATGATCCCTGTTTTAGTATGCAAAACACCTATCATTTGAAAAAATGTAGCAAGTTGTTGAGCAGTGTTACTAACAGTATATCCTGTTGAGGCAAGGCAGACATGAAATGTTTGGACTCCAATGTTTTTATCCCTCACCTTATTTTCTTTCAAGACTGAAATAACTTAATAGCTTATCCTTATAGGTGGTGTGTGTGTTATCAATTGCTTTATTGGCCTGGTATTCACCATGGAGGCTGGCAACTACTGGTTTGACATCTTCAACGACTATGCAGCTACGCTCTCCCTGCTGCTTATTGTACTGGTGGAAACTATTGCCGTCTGTTATGTATATGGGCTAAAAAGGTAAGAACTGATGAGCATCCACTCTACCATGGATTTGCATATCACAGCAACCCACCATGGGCAGCCAGTTATGAGGAGCTGCCATGTTGCCTGGTTTATTTTTTGGGAACAAGATTCACAGAAAACCCATGGCTTGCTATATGGTTGTTTCTACCATTGACCATCTGTCATGTCCAATCCCAGTTTATTTTATTGTGGGTTGCTGTGACTGGCTACCAAGCTTCTTGACAAGAGTGGCAAAAAAAGCTCAGGCCCTTCCTTTTTTACAATTTCACTGGTGACTACTCTTCCAAATTATTAAGGACTGTCGGTTGCTTTTTCTTTAATTAATTTTTAAGTGCCTCAGAATTGTACAATTTATGTCAAAATTGTTTTTTTTTGTTATTGGTCTTTTGTTGTTAGTCTTGTGCAAGTGTGTATGTAATCTGATGAGTATTGATGAGCTTGCCTAACAGCTAATGTGAATGTGGTTGCAAAGGATTGAAAGAGAAAGAACAGTAAGAGAACTGAAGGACCCTATAGTGCAAGGCAGAAGCACCAAAAATTGCAGGGAGGAGGGGGGAGCCAAGGACTAAGTGTACCAAAACTGCAGAGAGGAGCTGAGATAGTACCTTCCCCTCAGCAAAGCGATTACCTTGGTTTTAAGCATTGCAGTGTTAGTTCTTAATGTCTTTCATCTTTTGATACTTCCCCAACTTTAGAACAGCTCTTCACTTCCTTTTCATAACAATTACTGCTGTGGTTATTCTGGTTCTACTTTTTTCCCCAATACAGAATTGTGCACACATTTAATGACAGCGAAGCAAATAATGACAAACATGCATAAATGTAGTACTGCAGTACTACAAATTGCCTATTTCCTTTCCAGCCATTCTATTTGTATTCACCTACATTTTTAACTGTTCGGAAAATATTGTAAGAAAAAGGATAATGATCAGAGCAGGGTAGGGGCTGGGTTGAGACAAGGCAGCTTCTGCCAAAGTTCCCTGGGATATACATAAGCCTCAGCCTGCTGGAGGACTGAGGACAATTCACAAGCCTGATTATCAGATATAGCATGAACAAGCCACACTGCAAAGCTTGCTTGCAGGGATGGCTGTTTCTGCTAACACACCCAAGTATGGTCATATTGCTACAATGGCCTTGGCTCTCCTCCTGTTTGGAGTACGACCTGGATGTCGCATACCTATTCCTCCTTACCAGGTCTTTTAAAGGATGGCAGAACAGGCTGGAGCAAATGAAGCATCTGCACCAGTATTTAGACCTCCTCACATGGAATGCCATTCACTCTGTCTCATGCAGCTGACCATGCAGAGAAATTTTTAAGCACTGTCAGAGAACAGCAGGAATTGAAAGGAGTCAACGAAAGTCTGAAGGGTGGGGGGGGGTTCTTTAGAGTTGGGGAAGTGCTGAAAATGTGGAAGATTCTGAGAAATGTTCCTTCAGTGCTTAAAATGGATAGTATTGCTGAGGGATATACTGCCCCCCTTTGAGTATTTTCTCTTTTGTCTTCCCTCTGCTTCTGATTTGTGGGTCCCTTTTCTCTTTCTTTGCAACTGACTAAAAATTGGTAGTTAAGGAACCTCTTCTTGTCAGTTCCCTTGTATGTTACTTACTCTACCTTCACTGCTCCCTTTGACAGCTGAAACATACAGGAAAATTGATGAGGCAAGACTACTCATCTCAGACAGCTTTAAGTGCCCACCTGCAAAAGATAACCTCCAACAAAAAATAAGCCCAATTGCAGTTTTGGGGGGGGGATGCTAACCAAATGTGGTAGCAGAATGGGGATGGACCAGGAAAAGGAAACAAAAAGTGTTCTGATGGAAAGTTCCCTGCTCTATATGCTGAAGGAAGGAGTGACAGAAAATCACATCAAGCCCAGTCAGATATACCTTTTGCTTGTTCTGTGACTAACACATACATTCTGGTTTGATTGCAGGATAGCTTGGTGTAACATGTAAACCTGTCTATTGTTGTAATAACTATTTTGATCTATTACATATGTTAAGTCCTACTGCTATTCCTACATTTCTTGGACAGTAATATAGTATCTTTTCCATATCTTAACATTGATTTGGATAGGATTGAGGGTAGAAAACAAAGTCCCTACCTTTATATGTACTTTTCTTTCCTTGACAGATTTCGTAACAACCTTTGTGTGATGATTGGGCATCAGCCAAGTTGGTATTGGATGATTATGTGGGCTTTTGCCAGTCCTGTGCTAATTGTAAGCTTGTTTATATTTTATCTTACGGACTACATCAGCACAGGGACACTGCAATACCAAGCCTGGGATGCAACAGAGGTATTTTACTCATTGCAATGAGCTTATGTAACTGTTGGTACTTGGGAAAGGAATTACAATCATTATAGAATCCAACTGCTGTCTTTAGTTCTGCTAGATCAGAAACGGAAGAGAGGTTAACAGCAGATATACCATTAGCCATTCAGAATAGTTTTTGGTAGTATTAACAGTATTAGAAAACCACCCTTGATAACAGAATATGTCTAAATATGATTCAGTCCTGTTTAGTTTCATTAATGATTTGGCCTGCAAAGTATGAATACACATGATGCAACAGATTCTTAATGCAAGAACATGTGCCATAATCTTCTAGAATCCACACAATTCCCTTCAATACATACTTTAGCAGTATTGATTCTTCTTTTCATTATAAAAATAGGGAATTACCAACCACATGTGGTAGTTTCCCCAGTGCTACTTTGAGGTACATGGAGTAAACTTGAAAAAATGCTTTGGCTCAAAAACATTCCAGCCTGCCCTGAGATTTGTATTTGGAAGCAATTCTGGGAGCTTAGAGGCATAATTTACATCAGCTTTCCTCAACTTAATGCCATCCAGATTTTTTGGACTACAACTTCTAGCACATTTTGCTTTAAATGCAGCAATCACATGCAGCTTAGCACACATATACCCAATCCTGTTGTGTCTAATCCTGCAACAAGCCTTAACTGCAACTAATCTGCAGCTCAGTACAAAGTATAAAAGTATCAGTTATGGTATAGTCTTGAGTCTAGTGTCTGTAGGTACTTCTAGGAATATCCAAGATGCAATGCTCATGGGGGGGGCGGGTAAGGAAAAGTGTTCCTTTACAATAATCTTATTGTATCAAGCCTAACATCAGCTCTACCCTCTTTCTCCAACATAAGTAAACTTGATACAATTTCTTTGGATTAACTAGCTTGCAGTTTTACAGTCTCAATTTCTCTTACAGGGGCAGCTGGTTACAAGAGATTATCCCAGTGGTGCCCTAGCAGTTATTGGGATGCTTGTGGCAGCCTCCACTATGTGTATACCACTAGGTGCTCTACTGACTTTTTTAATAAAGAGAACAACACATTAAAAACTGGACACTTCCACTATTACTTTGAAGACTACAGCAAAAATTAACAAGACATGCAGAACTACCATCAAATGAAAATATTCTCTTGACAATAACGGTCAAGAAACATGTCCTTTAACAGATGGTTTGTTGCTTCTGAGAAAAATGAACAAAGAATAGGAACTCACAAAAACACAGAGCAATATATACTGGTCAATTCCATCTGCCTGTTTGAAAACAATATTCGCCTTAAGTGGAAGTATGTTTTTGTATCTTAAGCACAGAACTGCAGGAAAGTTGAAATATATGAACATATTTTTCTATGTGTAATTAATAGCTTGGCCAACCAAGCTGTTGCTATTACTCATGAAATGTATCTTTTAGAAATTCTTAGGAATTATTTGCTCATTACTCAAATTATCAATGTTTACATGTAAAACATTGGCAATTTTTTGAGTTACTTATAGAAGTAAACTGCAGGTTCTAAGAGGATGGTTCACTATATTCCCCACTTCTACAGCTATTTTACATATTTTAAAGGGGAGTGGGACTGAAAGAATATTAGGAATTGAAAGCTGCATTGGAATGGTCAAGACAAACAGGGTTTAGTTATATCATTGTAATTCATATAAATCATCTAATAATCAAATGTTGCACTTATTGTACAATACTCTTAACATTACTACAAAATAGCATCAACTTGAGTCTGAAAATCCTGTTTGTGGAAAAACATTTTTAGGCTTTTCACAAACCTTGTATCATGTATTGCCTAATATTCAATTTCTGTAACAGAAAAATCTAAGATATGTATTATCTTATGTTACTAACAAATGCCCTCAGATAATACAAGAGTGCTTCAGGCCACTCATTGCCTACTGTTGAAGATGTAAAAAATATTTCTAATTCAAGAAGGTTCAAGAATGTTTTGGTGATCCCAGGTATTTAATATTGCTTCCACACAATTCTTTCCAATGAAATTACACTAAAGGATGGAAATGATAGTTTTAGTCTTGGAATGCTTCATGACCATTGTATACTCTTTACTCATTTTTCCATGCAAGACTCGATAGAAAGATATTTCTTATATAAACTGAGCCTTAATGGCCTAGTTCACACATCATGTAAAGCAGAATTCTTACTGTGAATGAGCAACTGTTTGTGTACACTGATTGCTCTTGCTTACTTCTCCCTGCAAGAAGGAATAGCTAAAGAAACCAAGGAACTTCTGCCCATGGTTTAATTAGCATTATGTCTGAATCAGGCTCTCTAGCCTTATCTCCCCTTTAAAAAGCCAGAAACTATAAGCCAGGGTTTATCCTTGACATGATTCTGGCTTGTTAGGAAAGCAGCATACCAGAGATCCAAGTTCAGACCCAACACTAAACAAATCACAGGCAGTGGTTCCTTGATTATTTAGCCACTCCTGCTGATAGGAAAAGGAACCACATAGTGTACACACTTTCTTGTTTTGCATCAGACAGAATTCGTTAAGAATTTTGGCTTCCTGGGATGTCCAAACTGGCCCAATATGTATTAACACATAGACAATGCAAGATCCACTAATTATAATGGAAGATGTGATTGGAAGAGAAACTATATAGGAAGCAAATCTCAAAATACTGGGGAATTTAGAGGAAATGTCAGAATATTCACTCCAGGAAAATTCCAGATTTTGGTTGGCAAGTGAGAAAACCACTCCTATTTGAACTCTCCATGAGATGCAAATTATACATACATAATTTGAACTTAATTGACAAAACAGTTCCCACACGTTTATTAAAAATTGTCACTAAAGAAAAGCTGTACAAAAAATAGCTGGAATTGCCTTGTATTTTTTTTAGCAGCTATAAAGAAATTATCGCCTTGGACCTCCTCTTCCTCTGCCACGTCCTCTTCCTCTGCCACGTCCTCTACCGCGTCCTCTTCCTGCAACTGAGGACAAAAAGAGAGAACTTCTTTTGAATAGGTACAAACTAGTGAAATGTGATGGTTCTTGTAGATCCTACTTCTACAAGAATTCAAATTGAAAACTCAATTTATGTTTTATTTTCACTTTTAGACTGATACAGGACAAACAGAAGAACATTTTAGCAAAGGAACTTTTCATTAATTTTTTCCTACATATACAGCCATCTGTTTTCCAACATTGGATAAAAATGCTATTCTAATGTACTGGAAAAACATGTTAATGCTGTGAGCTCCATCACAAGTAAGCAAGTTACTAGTGACATAGAAAGTGCATGTCAAATCTAAGAAATGCTATGCAGACTGGAAATTCCACACCTCCTTTGGGTATAAGATTCCACAACAGCTTAATTTCCATCGGGTCCCTTTGTTTAAACAAGAATGTCCTTAAAAAGCAAAACCAGGACACACTGATCTTTTAAGAATCTTATTTACAGCTTGGAAATTACACTCCTTTGCCACATAGCTTAACTGAGGGGAAAATCATCATAGCTGTTCTGTTCTAAACATATTACATTGCTTGAACAAGGTACTGGTCAAATTCTGTAGCAACTTTGTATTTTTTTTTTTAATATAGAGCTAGCAAATCCCATACCTGGACCATTTTAAAATTTAAGGCACAGACACAAACCATCATTCCGTGGTGTTCATTAAGGAATTCATTATTTCATTCCTTGCCTGTAATTCGTCCCCATTCACCCACCTCTCCAGAAAAGTGACATGGAAAAAAATAGATCTGTTGTACATATTCAGCTGAACCCTTGTTCCACAAAAAAGTATGGCTGGTTTTCTTGGATGCTAACTAGATAAAATGCTTGTTTGATATTGGCACAAATAGAACAGTGGGAAATGTTAATGTTCTACAAATGAAAAGCTCTGGAAAGTAATTTATCTGCTATCATGAAAAACAGTAAAGGTATTATACCACTCTTTTCAGAATTGAGGGGCAAACACAGGGACCTGTTTAGGAAATGAAAGTATAAGTGAGACTTGTGGCTCCTGTATGCACTACTACACTGATCTAAAGGCTATTTGCTGAAAACTGAATTAGAAAACCCACTTTGAAAAATAGGATGTTATCAGCTTTAAAAAAGTAGCAGACTAGATACAAAACTTGAGAAACATCACAAAAAATGTGCAACTCAGAAAAGCAGGAGACAGGCAGCTATCTAATAATTAATTTCTTTCAGCTGAATAAAAAGGACAAACTCTGAATAGTATGCAAAGAGTGAAAACATTAATTACCATTTATGCGGCAAACAAACGTGATCATGGGGAACAAATTCAGAACACTAACCTGCCTCCCTCTTCTTAGATTTGACTTTTGGTTCAACGTCCACCAGCAGAGTATCCAGGGGTAAGCTGTCTGGCAGAATGAAATACCTAATATTATTGCCTCGAATACTCAAAGTCTCCAACTGGACAGGTTCTCTGTTCTTCAAAGTCATCTTTACAGCTTTAAGATGTGTATTCATGCTGACATCCACTCCTGGAAAATATACAAAAAGTATTTAATTCAAATGGGTTTTAAGAGGCTAGTACTACAATTTCCAAACTGAAGATCATAACTTTACAAAATACAACATATACTATACTGCTGACAAAACATTTAACTCTCTACTGCAAGAAGGAAAAACAGGATTCTTGTATTTTCAGTCACGGTACAACTATAAAGTGCTACTACCCAAAAGCATGAAAAATATACAAAGTACAAATGCAGTTTAAAAAACTGTTCATCTTTAGAGACTTTTCTTTAAATCGTTTCAGCACTACTATCTCAAAGTTTCTTTAACAAGCTCAATCATATTCCCTGCCTATTCAATCGTTTTCTCTTTGACATCACTTAGATATGCAACTATGTTCTCACAGCTCAACTTAATTTAGATGGAGTTTTCATATATAGGAAAGGCACACATATCCAGGCAAAAACCTTTGAAAAAATTGCCCTGGTTGTACCAGTCATAAGAATACATAAGGCATAAGCCATAATTATCTGCTTCTTCCTTATCCAGTGATGAAAGGTTTACTGAAAATGTAATCAGTCATTTTGCTTTGTTAAATCTAAGGCAAAAGAAGAAAAAATGATTCTTCTGAGTGATTGAAACAATGGATTTCAATGAGGAAAAGCTAGACTCGAATCTCTCTTGTGCTATAATAGTGACCTTAGATAAACTGTTTTTTCAGACCAAGGTAATTTCATAGGGTCATTGTAGAAATAAAATAGAACAGCCACATGTACGCACCTCTGATATTTTTGCATGAAAGGTAAGAATACACATAGCTAATAATTTATTCTAGCATTTTAATGTGACAAATATTCTGCCAAGTTAACAAAAGCCTTATTTATGAAATATTTATATCAAACAAAACAGCTATCCAAAAGGAATTTAACATGATTTTATTTATCTTGAATACTGTACCTGTGATAGTTCCATGTACCTGGGTCCCATTCTTCAGTTCAATGGTCACAGTTTCATGACTAAGTTTCATGAGAAACCTGTAATTTATAATTGTACAGAACAGTATTTTTAGCTCATATGTAACAATATTTCACTATCCTGCACTTAGTAGCGGCTGAGATTTTACTTCTGTACCCTCCTACAGGCCAATGGACAATTTAACTATGGCCAAGTAGTTCTTATTAACAAGAACTTCCTGTTGAAATAAACGATTCTTCAATCCAGCAAATATTCTGAATTTTTAACAGAAAGGAATCCTGCCACTTTGTTGAGAAAAAGGAAAAGGGCTATGGAAGACATGTCTTTTTATTATTTCTGAGGTAATCAGTCTTACCCAGTAAGCAGTTCCTAACACACAGGAACATTACAAATAGAACAAGTGCAATGGCTAGAGTAGCTTGGATATGAAAAACAGATCACTAGGCAATGGTCACCACATGAAAAAGGGTGCCCTCTTCCCAAGGGGATAAATCAAGCCCTCAGAGGACCTGTATTAATACCCATGTATGTTGCAGTTTTAAAATATGTGAAAGCTTTGCAGGCTAAGATGGGCAAGATTAGAAAAAAATTAGTAGGAATCCAACCCCCAAATTAAAAAAAAAATCTTATGGGAGGGAGAACACATATTTCCCCCAAACTTTTGGTTTTCCTCTTCAGACCTTCACATTTCTAAGCAATGTGTCCAAGTCCATGCATTAGCATTGGCAAATGTAAACTGTGAAAGGAAGTATTTCTATAGTAACAATATTTTCCACTAAACTTTCTAATCGCTACAGGATAAGTAAACAACCTGATGTTCTTCAAATTTTTGCACTACAATTCTCATATCTTATCAGTCAGCATGGTCAATAACCAGGAATTATGGGAGTTGTGGGCCAAAACAACTGGAGTGTACCTAGAAAAGCATCATGCCTTGCCCCAAGGTAGGCCATTGCCATTATTGTCTCTTTGGGAATTTCTCTCAGCAGGAAAAATGGAAAAAGTCCAGATGGAAAGAAGACCACGGGATTGCTATCTTGGTATTTACATAGAAAACAGTACTTAGAGCAGATGCCGCTTTCTCATTGCTGCAGGTCAAACTGCATCCACAAGAGATTCATCTTCTACATTACCACTAAGAGTATAAGACATATCTTTATCAGAAAAACATAAAATACAAAGGTACACATAGGAAGCACATTTTAACAACCGATCTACAGCTCAAATTGAACTAAGTCCCGGCTATGAAGAAGTTTATGGCTACAACACCAAGCTAATGCTGACACATACAAACACCTCTTCGAGGGCCCGCTTCCCCGAATTTCCCCCTGTTACAAGCGGGGCCAGAGGCGGGAAACTGCTGATGGAGAAACAGGCTCATTCCGGGGAGTGACGGGTTAGGACTAGGAGCTCGTCAGGAAGCAATCCTGTCAGCCGCGAAGAGACGGCCCGGGAGAGCCCAACGGCTGAGCGATCGAGCAGGAAAGAGAGAAGAAAAGGCGCCGCACGAGCTGACGTGGGAGGGGCGAAAAGCCGGGGAGGAGCCCGCGAGCCCGGAGCCCAGGCCTGGCCCGCATGCTTTCCGCTCTCGGCTTACCTCACGAGCTTCATGGTGACCAAACGGCAAGCACGGCTCCACCGGTCTGAAACGAAAACCGCGTCCTCCCCAGCAAGGGGGAGCCAAAGGCGAGGAAGGAGGAACAAAAAATTGAGCACGCGGCAGCAGCCAAAGACAAGGCCGCTTCCGTTACTCTCCGAGAGAAGCAACTGGCGCGCCTCAAGGTGCGCGCGATGAATGGGCGGAAGCACCGCCCCTTCTGCTCTTTTGACCCGGAAGGGGAAGGCGATTGGGAAATAGTGCCTCCTGTAGGACGACAAGACAATGACTAAGGAAGCTGTTCCCAGCCAAGTGCCCGTCAGATGGGTTGTAGTATAGCTTACATTATCCCCAGCTAACGAAGGCATCAAGTTTTAAAAGCCTGACTTGTGCTTCTGCAGGAAAATAGCTTGAGGGTTTCTCACTGGGAGTGAAAGTGGTGATCTGACCCCCACGTCATGAACCCACTGTGGTGTAATGGTTAGGAACACAGAACTAGGACTCAGACGATCCGGGTTGTAGTCCCTGCTCAGCCATGAAGCCACTGAGTGACTTTGGGTGAGTCACAAACTGTCAGCCCAACCTACCTCACCGGGTTGTTGTTTTTGTGCGGATAAGCTTGAGAGCAGACGGAGGAGAATAATGTAAGCCGCTTTGAATGTGTTATAAGAAAAAAGTGGGATATATATCAAAATAAATAAACCTTTACACTTTAAACACAGACCAATAGGAAAAAGGAAGGAGGAAACCTAAAGGGTAAGTGATGGAGGAAAGAGAGACAGAAAGACGAAAGTATCGTCTTGAAAGTGGGGGGAAAGCTGTGAACAATAACAAAAATATGTTTGCTACAGCATTTACCTCTGCAGGGCAAACCCTTCCGAGGATTTCCAAAGTAGGTGACGGTCTTGCCTTTCCTGGTCATGCTAGCAAGGGGCATCAGACATTTCCTCCTTCGAATCAGAATCTAACAAGATGAGAATCAAGGGAGGCAAATGTCACGACCTGCATTCCAGTAACCCCCCCCAACCCCCCCCCAGGACCCCGGTACAAGAATACAAGTACAGGATGAGGGCATCTGCTCAGGCATTAATACGAACAAAATGGACCTAGGTGTCTTAGAGCACATTCCATTCAAACGGAAACAAGTTCCTGCAGTTCCCTCCATGGCCAGGGACATACTGGGAATTGTAAGCTTTTTTTCCAGCTAAAATTGAATAGGGTTGCATCTTGTATAGGAACCCCCAAAGTCCCTGTGTAATCAATGTATCAGTATTTAAGATGTCACAAATCTCTTTACAGTGACTTTTTAAGGACAGTCCACCAATCCCTAAACGTAAATGAATTGCCCTTTCCACGATCATTAACAATATATGAAATCTTTGCGGAGGGAGAATATACATCAGGAGCTCCCAATTAATCAGCAAAAGCAGGAGTCTCTGTCTTATGTTTGCAATTGTGGACAAGTAGCCACCAGAATTCAGTAACAGGTACGAAGAGCTATTTCCCATACACGATGACAGCGGAGTGTGACTGGTGGAGCAAAATACAAGGTAGAAACTATCTGGCAAGTTTATCCAGTTCCAAATGGAGTAACTTAGCTTACTATAATGGAAAATGTGCAATGTACTGTAAAAAGAACCAAGAGGCAATCTTAATGAAGCTAGATTTCAGTGTATTTAAAAATAAAACAATTAGCCGAGCCAGCCAGGAGTCGAACCTAGAATCTTCTGATCCGTAGTCAGACGCGTTATCCATTGCGCCACTGGCCCCTCTTACAAGCCTATCTCTTTTGCCTGTCTTCTAAATTCTACTTGCTCAAGGCTTGTAAGCCCGCTCAAAGGGGAACGATGGGCGGGGAACCTCAGTGAACCAACCAATCAACATCTCCACTGATTCTTTCCTTCCGTTCACTGGTCAGGGTCGCGCCCACAGCCTGCCCCACTTTCATGAGGCGGAGTTACACGGAAGCTCTCGGCTAATCCTGCTCCAACTCCTTTTCGTCGATGCCGGGAGCTCAAGGCTAACATCACAATCCTCATCCCGTCTCCGCCCCCAGGCTGCACCAATCCCAGTCCCCGCTTTGGCATTGTTCAACCCTTCGTCCGGCCCCAAATGCTTTCTGACTGGATTTGTCCCTAGTGGCGTTCCGTCTTGAAGGCCTAAGCGCGGCCGTCAAGTGAGGTAGGGGAGGTGACAGGAGAGACCTGGACCAAAGCAGGAGCCGGGCGGCACTTAGCAGCAGCAGCAGGACGTGGCGGCGGGGCCATGGTGGCGGCGGCGGCGGCAGCAGCAGCAGTAGCAGCAGGAGCCTACGAGAATCTGAAGCTGTGAGTGACCGGCCAGAGAGAGGGGGGAACCCCACCCTTCCTCTTCTCCTCTGTACCTCAGGAAGGAGAAGAAAAAAGCCCTCGCTAGCTCAGCCACTCCTCCCCACAGGTCCCCCCTCGACTCCCCCCAGCAGACTCGCAGCGAACATTTTCTTTGTTGCACTTGGCCTCTTTTTGCCCTCCACGGCCCACTGGCTTTTCTCCCCTTTCTGAGCCACCTAGCCGCCCTTGGTTATACACCTGCCTTTCCTAGCCTCTCTTGGCAAATATACCTCATTCACATAAGCTTTTCTAGAGAGAAATATGCTAACATACATTTAGTGAGCTCTGTCACGCTATCTACTTAGGCCAGTCCAGAGGTCGCAATGTGCTGTGTAAGTTTTTGAGTTCGTCAGAGCGTTTTATCAGGGCATGATAATAAAACGAGCAAAAGGGTGTGTGGAGAGAAAAGGGGGCTCCTGTTCAAGCCCTAGAATCCGCAGTTGATTATAGTCTCCAGATGGACAGTGGGCGGAGGCTGCAAACCTTCCATTTAGGCACTACCAGGTTCTGAGATGGTGTCAGCTTTCACCTGGAACCTTCTCAAGGATTTCTGGGAAGAAGCAATCAGCAGATAAAGGCAGAATCTCCCAGTTTTGAAAATATCAAATTGAAATGTTTGTTCAAAGTTATTCCATTTAACTTACTTGCCCAATCAGATATTCCTATATCCTGGTTTGCGCTCCTTCTCTAACTCATTAGCTTTGCTGAGTGGAAATCATGTACTACTTGACCCCCATCCCAAGGTACTTTGGTGTTTGGCAAGGAATCTCTAATGTCTTTTCCACATCTGACATTCCTGTTCCTCTGAAGGCTTCATGTTGCACTGCTAAAATCACATTTGCCTTTATTGATTACTCTCACAAAAAACAGTCTTTGTCCCTTTTTATCCTTGTTTTGTTCTCCAGCAAGATTTATTTTCTCTCAGTGGTCTGCCACCAAACAATCAATGTGCACTTTGGGAACACCTCAGGGTCTAATGCTTTTAGTTTGGAATTAGTTGTCGATCAGCCTTCTCCAACCTGGTGTTGTTCAGATGTATTGGACTAACCCTGGGGGATACTGGGAGTTGTTGTTGAACACATCTTTAAGGCATCTGGTTAGAAAAGGATTTTGTAGGTAATGAGTCTGTGTTATTTGATTTGAGAGCTTTGCCCTTTTTTGTTTTGTTTTTGTTTGAAAGCTATCAATGTAAGAACTTGTAACGGTGCATAATTATCCTAGCACTAGAGGTTTTGTTTAATACATACTTAATATTCAAACATAAGTTTTATGTAAATTCTTAACATGTGAGCAGCTTCTCAGTTCATTTTAGCTTCTTATCCACTTTATAGCTGTATGCTCTTTCTGTCCCATTGTTGACCTGTTTCTTTATGTCAGGTGGAGAACCTGTGGCCTCCCAGATTATGTTGAACTCCAGCTCCCATCTGTCCCAGCCAGCATTTACAGTGTTTCAGGATGATGGATGTTTTAGTTCATACTATCTGATGGGTCATAGTTCCTCTCTCCGTGCTATATTTCCATCTTTTCACTGTAACTCTTGAAAAGTACATCTACATCGGTGTCTTGCCTAATAATTGTATTATTTATAATACAATGAGGGAGAGTAGGTTGCATTCTCTTGTACACTGTAATGTACAGGAAAAAAGGTAACTGGTGATCAAAGTAAAAGTCTAATAGTGTGAGAAATATCAAAGGAAGGAACATACGTGGTTCCTAGAATTATGACTCAAGAGACATCAGAAAAAGGTTTTTGAAAATAGTATCTAGAAAGGCAGTCAACATTCTAACATTAAACACATCTACATAGAAAAATGGTTTTATGGAACCAGTGAAACTAGTTTCCAAATAAGTGTTCAGATTCTTTGGTGTTCAAATTTTCTGGTATAGCAAAGCTGTTATTTTTATTTATTGTACAGTCTTTGTTGTATTTAATAATGAATGATATAATGAGTCTAGTGATCACTGAAAATCTATATCTCTCAGTTCACTGTCTTCCTTTGTATTGTAGCAGGACAATATTTGTGTTTCAAACAGGGCTTCCTGTACTTAGCTTGTGAAGGTGATAGCAGAAACCAAATTTCCCTGATGTGGAAATTTATTGTTGATCTTCTGGTAGAATTTTCTTCCTGTATGACCTGGTATACATTTGAAGTTTTACTGTCTGCTCATATGGGGAGGAATGTGCAAGCAGCTTTTTACAGATATTTATTTTATCTTAACAGCCTAATTCAGTGGTTCATTTGATTTGTATGTGCTTTTTCTCTGAGGAAAACCAGAGCAAAGAAAAGTTAACTGTAATGTTTGTTTATTAAAATATAAAATGATTATTTCAGTGTTGTGGTGCTGTTTATCAGCTGTAGGTACCATATGAATTCACTATACTCTCTGTCCTTTCTCAACAACTATGCTTCCAGTGCTTAGGTGACACAGTGACAAATCTTGAAATGGAATAGTCCACCTTCCAAGTAAATAAGAACTTAGATAAATTCAGTTTAAATTAAGGAATGTATGCTAAATATTCTAAAGTAATAGCTGATACCATCATGTTAATTCACCAACAATTAAGTTTATATGTATGAGGCCTTCGCTGAAGTCAGTAGAAGTGCTATTAAACAATACAATTGCAGTTTCTTAACATAAATTCAGAAAAGAAGGTACAGCCTACTGTATTCACTTCATAATTCATGTTCTAGGTTGCTGGAATTACTGACTTCTTTAACAGTTAATGAAACCATAAAATAATAGCCTCTGAACATGGAGTACAGTTAGTTATCAGTCTGCTTGGTGTGCTATTGTAAGCACAGTTGTGCCACACAGAAACAATGCTCAGTCATGATGCAAGATTGTCCATGGGTGATGCTATGGCAGTGTTTGACTTGAGCTGGCAGAATTAGTGAGTGTATCCATCTACTTTCATGAGTTTTTAGAATCAAATCCTTGGACAATAAATTGAATTAGTAATGGGTATAACTTGAATGCAGTATGTATGGAAGAAGCTACTGTTACATCTTGCATTCTAATAGTATGATGTGAGCTCTATGCTGACATTTGGAATGAAGACTATGCTGTGTGAACAAAAATGTCATTATTATCTATAATTTGTCCCTTTTGTCCCTTTTTCTGGTTTGGTTTGGTTTGGTTTGGTTTGGTTTGGTTTGGTTTGGTTTGTTTTCTCCCATGAAATTTGGAAGTAACAAATTTAAATTATCACTTTCTTGAAGGGGTACAATGTGTTTTGCTTTGTGCTCCTTCTTTAGTTCCCCTCCTACTACCAACAACAGCATGAAAGAAACATGACTGAACAAAATAGTTTAATTTATGCTGCCACTGTGTTAGAATTAGTGTTTGGCAGCCCAACATATGCATCTGATTATTAATTTTATCAGGGTATTAGTTACTCTGCTATCCAAGCTCTTACTTGTGCGATTAATTTTGTCTCCATTAGCAAGTCCTCATTTTATGTGGAAATTAATAACATTTACAGTCTCTGGGGTTGTATGGCCTCAATTCATCTTTGACTCAGACTATTGGTCCCAATGTCTGTTATATGCCAGTCCAGACTGTCACTTGACCCACCTTCATGTCCTTTGCTTTGCTTTCTTCCTCTGCTTCCCTCCCATTGTGTGATACAGGGAGGAATGTGGAGCTGCATACTTGCCATGTTGATACTTCAGAGCACATATGGGCAGCCTGCAGGCCACATGGGGCTCAAAGGTGTCTTGCTACTGGTATAATCTGTTTTTCTGTCTGGCAGCTGTGCAACTTATATGAGGGAGGTAGACTCCTGCAAGTCTGGAGAACAGGGAGCTCTCACTTGTACCTTTATTATCAGACATATTTGATTGGCATCTTAACCCTAATAAAAAAAGGAAATGAATGTGGAAATATATCAGATTGTATTTTTGCCTCAATAAAAGCAAGCTGTTGCTGTTCTGTTTTCTTTAAAGCAAGCTGTATTAGACTCAGAGGTGGTTGCATTTAAAAATTACTGAATTCATGGAGTAACTTGACAGGTACAGTCACATAGGCAGATTTCAAACATTACATGTTATAGAACCTATAGAATTGCCCATGCTTGTAGTGCTGTATAAATGTTAATGCAGGGTCATTCTCCTCATTTTTGGAGAACTTGAAGATGGACAAGTGCTGTAACATTGCCCTGCACAGCATATGCCTGTTTTGGAGTCTTCTCTCAGCAATATGTGGTAGCTGGCATTAAGGAGGTTCCTATATTAGAATAATATTGAGCATTTGTGATGGAAATGTGTACCTTACTGCAATTAAAATTGGTTCAGTAAGTACTAAAAGTGTTCTAAAATGCTTCTGAATACAATGCTATTTTTAGATGCCATTAGACTATCAAGGAGTAAGTCCATAATGTCTTTCTCCCTGACTGGGGGAAAACAACAAGATACTTCTGGTAGTAAGGTTGAAATACATAAATTCTAAATGACTATTAGTGGTTGCAAGTACTTTGTCTTCGAAGCACACCCTTATCCTTTGTTTAAAATGGTGGAAGTGAGAAAATAACACACAGATCAAGACTTTTCAATATTTCCAGAAATAGTATTGAATACACCATAACACTAAGTAATTAGATTTCACTTTGATCTAGAAGTGGATCTTTCTATCCTGACAAGTTTACCAGAAACACAAGTTTGAAGAAAGTTGTGATTTTGAAGGACATCTTTGGTACAAGAGAAAATACTGATTTTTATTACTGGTTAGGAAAGAAATAATGGTTTTGTAGGTACCCTGTTTAACTTGAAAAATAATAAACAACCATGTCCTAAGACTTACTGGTATTGATAACAACAATAGATGATGATCGGAACCATGGAAACTATATTTATTTGGGTAGAAATACTAAAGGAATAGTACCTCTAAATCAGCTCCAGCCAGTTTTCCAATGGTCAGGAGTGTTGGGAGTTGTAGTCCAAAATATTTGACTTGCAGCAACTTGGGGAACGCAATCACAGATGGAGGATACATCAGTAATAGCAACATTACCTGATATGCTTTTGTGACTTAGTCATTGGCAAAATTTCTGCAAGGGATGTTCATATGCCACATAGCACCTGAAGTGCCAATTCACATATTTTAACTGTAAGTGATATCCATGCACAGGGAATCAGCCTTAAGTTGCACTGTCCGTGTAGAAAAGGGGATTTTATGTACAGCAAACTTGATAAGTAGCTGAAGAAGCTATAGGAATTGCCACCTGATTTCACATACTATTGTCTTTTAGCACTTTTCTATGTAACATGCTTTACTTTTTTCCTACTTTGCATCTTTAAATTCCAATTTGATATCTTGTCTCGTTTTAGTCACCTCTATTGCTTCAAAGGAATGAGAAAAGGTGATCAGAGAAAGAAGTTAGAAAGTTTGGAGGCTCAGAAATGTGTTCTGAAAAATAAAAACAAGAAAAACTTTGCTTTTATGAAAAGACAGTGTGAAATCAGGAGGCTGAAATATCAAGGAACAAATGCCTTCCTTTTCAGCTGATAACCCTGGACATTGCTAACCTTGTTTAATTGCCCTGTCAGTGACTCTCTGCTTGTCACTGGTGAAATTTAAATGCCTTGTAATGAGGTTGCCATGAGATGAAGATGTCTGCAGCTTTCTTCAGATATGCACTTCTACTCCTCAGTGTTTTTTCCCTCTCTGGACTTTTAATCATTTTCAATTATTTAACAAAGCTTAGAAATTTCATTAATCATCTTGTAGACTACTTATTTCCATGTCTCACCTTGTATTGCTATGTTTGAACCTGTCAAAACTTAAGTTCCTTGACCAATAAAAAAAAGAGTTTTAATATGCTTCCCTTACCAAAGTGAGATGGCTTTTTTGCTGGATAGGTGCTATTCCTTGTAAATATGGAAATGAGATTGCATTATTTGCTCTTAAAATATTTACATGTCCGTCCGCACAAATGCAGTTAGGTAACTTGCTGATGTGTGCTGTTGCAGCCAAAGTACCTTTTTGTTTTAATGAAAGCATTAAAAACCATTTGTGAAATTTAAAATGTGCTTAACATATGTTTTAGTTTTTGGCTGTTTTGTCCAAGGACACCGAGTTAGTGGTTGAAGTGATATTTAAATTGAAGGCCTCTTGGTTCCTAGCTTTATGGTATATCAGTCTATCACATGTATACTCTGTACTGTCTATAGAACACTCTTGAAAAAAGGGGGGGTCATTAGAGACCGAAGAGACAAACCAAAACATGGGGATAGAGACTGGAAGGTAGTGAGATATCGGGGAACAGAATTGGTGAAACACCAAGAGAGGAGCTACACATGACGTATTAGATGCTGCATATGTGAAAGATCCTGAACTTTTAAGAAGAGAGTGCCTCTTGCTTTTGAATGTTTTGACTTGTTTTCAAAGTTAATTCGATCTGAGCATTGCACCTCCTTTTTTGTGCTAAGCAAGTCCTATCCTTTATTTACCGTGTTCTTTTTCTTCATAGTTCCGCTGAATGGGAGCATAGTATCTCTGTCAAGCATTATTAGCGGTCATAATGTTCCATCATACTTTAAAACGCTGCTGCTTTTCTGATGGTGAGCCTGTATTATTCTTATGTCTTAGGCACATAACACCAGAAAAGTTTTATGTGGAAGCTTGTGATGATGGAGCAGATGATGTACTTGGCATTGACAGAGTCTCCACAGAGGTCACTCTTACAGGTATCTCTTCACCCTCATTTTCAGAACTGTGTACTACACATTAGATCTTTTCTTTAATTTACAAAGTAACTGTCAATAAAATCTGAATAAAATTAGAAGCATCATCATTATATGATATTACATTCCTGATTCACAATAGTGCATTTTGCCAATGAGGTCATAAACAGTTACACTGTGTTTCATTTACATGCACATCCTGAAGTTTTGAATCTAATCCACATTGCAGAAGCTGTATTGTCTGCATATGGATTTACAACTTCTTGCCAAGTAAGGAGCTTTGTACAGAAATGTTGTGCAACGTTCTCTTTACAGTAAACTGTTAAAACAGCAGTTTGATCCAGTTCACTTAAGGTGTGCAAACAAAAGACGAGAATTCAGAATTGAATGTTTTTTTTTGATGTAGAGAGGAAGAACACTTCCTTCTTACAATTGGCCTTGGGAGTTGCAGTTAATAGAGCTGACAAGACAGAGATTGCTAACCCTTCCCTTGAAATAATTCCCATGGTTTCCTTAGAATGACTGTCAAACCAGTCTGCTTACATAATGTAGATAATTCCTCGCATTTTGAAATCATTTAAAATGCTTTCAATCAATGCTTGAAAGGTCTTTTGTTGATGATACCAGCCACTTTCCCCCCTTATCATTTTCCTGGTTGTGTTCTGGTCACTGTTCATCCATAGCCACTAGCCCTTCAAGGGTGAGAGGACATGAGACAGTGGGTTGGATCTGGCTGCGTCATATTGGAAGTATTCCCATTGAAATCAAAGGGATTTTGAGTTGGTCATAATTTCATTGGGTCTATTCTTAAGGATGTCTTTCTTAACCAGTATGTAGAAGTACTAGGAACTACCAAGAACAATGTTGATCTTTACGTTTCAGCATCTCCAGTCTGTGCAGAAAAGAATCTCATTATATGAATGACATTGCATAAAATGCTAATTGTACTCCCATGTGTTAAGTTTCCCCCAGAAAGCTTTTAGGTTTAATTTTAGTAGTAAATTGTTAATGATGCTCACAATATGGTTTCGACCACGTTATTGCATTTTGCTTGACTGCATGTGGTACAGGCCTTATGCTGGTATATTGTAACTGCTGGTGCTGCTTTTTCCTTTGCAGTTAAGAAAGATATTCCACCTTCAGCAGTTACCAGGCAGATATATGGCATTTTGGGAACAATCCGTCTAGTGGCAGGTATGAGACTTCATGGTGAAATGAAAGAAAATGGCACTGATAACTGTTACTTTAAAGAGGTGGTGGTAGAGAAGAAAAGCATGCGTAAGCATTTTGAAGCTACAATTTGGGCATACTTAAACTGACACAACCTGGTTCAGCATGTCAACTTGATTATTCACAAAGCCGACAGCAGGAAGAGAGTTTGAATTCCAAATATACAGACCTATTAAAATGAATAAGTTGCTGAGAATTATTCTTGTTTTTAAAAACCAACTTGCATATAAGCAGCATGTTAGGGCTAGGATACAATCTTTCTCCCTGTTGTTTTTGTTCCTGATGCAGAGGATGATTTTTACTTAGATATGCATTTAGATTTGCAGTTCCCCACCTGCCGGCTTCTAGAATGATGATCGTAGACTAGAATGTGCTGCTGGAATTATTTCTTAAAACCAAAGTGACCATGAGTCATCATGAATATGAAGTAGTTTAAGTAAACCTGCTTTCCAGATAAGCCCATGGGAAATGAAATCAGCCATGTGATAGAAAGTAATTATGCCCAGCCCTCAAGATGGGGCAGGGTACAGGTGTCTTAAGACCTGATGGCAAAAACATTAAGAAGGCATTATTAGAAAAAAGGCAGGAAACTCCATATACTAGCCTAGTTTCCTTTTATGTATTATAAATGTTGTTCAAAAAAAGCAGGGGTAAGTAAAACAGCTGACCAGTATCTTCCTGTTTTACAGGCACATACCTTATTGTCATAACAAAAAAGAGAAAAGTGGGAGAATTTTTCAGTCATGTAGTCTGGAAGGCAACTGACTTTGATATCCTCTCTTACAAAAAGACAATGCTGCATTTAACTGATATTCAGGTAGGAGTAAATTTGGTACTAGAAAAATGCTGTTTGACTACTACTGCAGAACTCTCTGCAGATTGTTTGAGATGAAATAAACATCAATCTCTTTATCCATGTCCTTGAAGTTTAAGGATTTTGATTGTTGAAGTATTGTATAAATGCTTGCTTTTTTAATTTGTTCAACAACTAGTACTTAGGCTGGTGTCCAAAGGGCCATTTTCTGAAAAGAAATCTTCTCACTGTATCATCTCATACCCCCTGAAGTGCTGCTTTGAAAGTTGAGGGCACTCTGCAAATCAGAATTCAATGCTGCTAGTGGAGATGCAGCTTTAAGAGAAAATTGGCAGAAGTCCACACTCCATCCTATGCAGGTGGAAACTTAGGTGTACATAGGGTTCTTTGGACACTGAAAATAATCACAAAACCAGACCACATTTTGTTCCCTTCTGTAGACTTGTTGATTTGACTCAAAGTGATTCATCTTAAGCCTGGTTTTCTTTTTGGGCAATAGAGCAATGTCTAAAAATAAAAGTATAGTATGTAACATTGCATATAGCAAGTGTTCATTAGAACTGTGCATATAGCAATGTTCTGTTTCTTTGAATCTAAAAGCCAGATGTGTTTCTCTAATGACCTATAACGGAAATGGAGTTGAACTTTGTTACAACAGCTGGAAGCTTTATCTTTGTCCTCATTAAAAGAAACATCTTGAAAGATATCTGTTGGATATTATAGAAAACTTGTATTTGCTTTTAGGGAAAAATACAGAAAGCATGGTAAATAATATCTTTCCTCTTACAGTTACAGGACAATAAAGTATTTTTAGCAATGATTAGCCATGTATTGAGCGTGGACGGATTTTATTTTTCTACAACATACGACTTAACGCACACCTTACAACGGTTGGCTAATACCAGTCCAGAGTTTCAAGAAATGAGCCTGCTAGAGAGGGTAAGGATGTCTGTGCCCAGTTTCTTGATAGATCTATAAAATATAATAAATTTATAGAGCAAATTAATAAGACTTTTGTATTTCAAATGAATTAAAGAACACCTTATAAAGCACTGTGGTGACCTAGGTACAATAACAGAATCCTTCAACTTGTAAATTACTCATTCAGGATGTAGCTTTTGGAATTAATAATCCACTTACTAACTCTTTCATTGTTTTCTGGGAAAGAAATCTGTATGTGTCAGAACTCTGAGATAGGAGGGGAAAGGGATTAGCTTACAGCTGCAATTCACAAAAGTATTAGGTTGGATCCAAACTTAGCCATACAGAGTAGATCCATTGAAATCAATGGTTCTTAAGTTAGTCATTACTAACTTATGCCCAAATGATTTCAATGCATTTACTCTGAGTATCATTAATTATGGTCTAACCTGTTATTCAAAACAAGATATTTGGTGCTTAAAATATATCTTGTGATTCAATTTATTACAGGCAGATCCACGGTTTGTATGGAATGGGCATCTTCTTAGGGAATTTGCTGCTCAGCCTGAGGTAATGTGCATTTATATTTTTAACATACTATCCAAAATATTTGAATGTTTGCTCATTTTCATGTATCTCCTAGTTCAGATCACTGCAACAGTTGGTGATAACAATGTGGAACCTTTCATTTTGTACTAAATCATCTGGTTACACATTAAAAAAAACAAAAGCAAATGGGCTTTATTTAAATGGATTCGTAGCACTTCTTGCAAATGCCAATTGAGCAGAAAACTATAGATTGTATTAATACTGTAGGTTCACTCATAATGAATGTAGTGTGTAGGGATAGCCAGTTCATATGATCATTCTCTTGGCTCTACATAACCCTTTCCAGTAGCTACAGCAATTCTCTTTCCATGGAGTGCTGCACTTCTACTTCTGCTACTACAATTACTGAAACTTAATCTCTGCTTAGTATCTACACCTTGCTCTGTCTTTTAGACAATGTAGAAATGACTTGGAAATGATATTCAACACAGAACCTTTGAGAATTCAGTGTAAGGGAAAAGGCAAGGTTTAAAGGCAAAGTGTATGGGGGCGTGGGAAGATTGGCTGGGAGACGAAAGCATTGGTTGTGGTAGTTTAGAGGGAGGCTTAAAGAGAAGAGTGAGGCTAATCCAGATATGGACTACCACATAGCACAAGAAAACAAATTCCATCTTTTTACATTACACTACTCATTGGTGAAACTATAACAGGACCTCTGAGGAGGTTTTAAGTAATTCAGAGTGCAGGCCTGTAACAATTCAGGAGCTCCATCGCTGTAGCCATTAATAGTGGTTTACTAGAATAATTCCTAATCCATCATTTGGAAGTTTTCTGCTTCAAAAATTATATTTGACTCAGACATCCCTTTCTTTGTGTGGAACAGATGCACTCTGTAAGCTTCTTGCAGTCTAGTAAGAGTCTTTTAATTATGCATGCAAGATGCCATCTTTTCTGGCCAAGACCTGGTATTAATTAGTTGGCTAACCACCCTAACACCTTTTAGCTACTGACAAGTGGCATGCAAGTTATTAATACATATTTAGCCCACATGTCTTTTAGGGAAGCAACCACAGTTGTCCCTTGAAATTTCTCAGCAACTACTAATAGCCATAATAATCCATTAACATTGTCAGTGTTAGCAGAATAGCAGCTCTTGAAAGTGTTTGTAAAAAAAATTCATTCTAGCCTACAACTTTATTATAGCTTGACAATGCTGGGCTATTCTGTGCCTCTTCTTAGGCTGGTCCAAATGCTAAATTCTACAAGTAGTCACCTTTAGAAATCTACAGTTCCCCAATCAGCATTCCTATACTGTCAGTGGAATTTTGTTAGGTTCAACATGGGGGAGATAGCATTTTTTGCCACTGTAGTGTGTGAGAGCTGTGTGTCAGAAAGTCTTGGTTCAGGTTTCACCATATTCATACAATTGGTAAGTAATGTGAAATCCTTCTCTAAATCTAGGGCTAATGTGCCATAGGGGCTGAGAGCCTGAACAAGGAATGGGAAGTTCTTTTGGTCCATATTTTACTTCAGGAAGTACACGATACAAGAGGCTGTAAATTGGAAAAAGTCTATCTTACAAGTCTCACATAACTTTATAAAACTTGCTGAAAACAGAGAATGCTGTTATTGTTTCTAAACTTAGAACAGCAAACTGATAAGCAATCCTCCTACATAGGGATGGGTGTATTTCTAACAGTTCTCTTTATCTCCTGTTTCTTTTCCCCCTTGGTTTGTGTGTCCAGTCTCATGCCAGTAGGAACTTGTTAGATGGCCTTCAGAAAGCTATACTCTGTTTTCTCTCCCCCGTGTGTAACATGGAGTTACCACAATTATCTTACAAGATGAAATAATGTGTAAGGATCATAATTCTGATATATTGTTATAAGTTTGTGTTGTATAAGCAGGTATCTATAAATGTGTATGGGTGTCTTGAATAAGTCCCTTCTTGCAAATGCTATACTTGTTATAGAGTTGTGTAAGCTTCCTATCTTCGTTCTCCCATGTTTGGATGTTATCTTCAAGTACACAGATATTGTTCTTCAACAGTATTACATTTCCTGTTTTACAGCTCCATAGGTTTGCTATTCCAGTTATGCATGGATGTATCCTTTCATGATTTCATTAATGGCTGGGATTCCTGCCAAAGTAATTTCACAAAACAGCATACAGAATATGTAAATCCTTGAGCCACTTATAGGTCAGCAGTGGAAAACTTGTGACTATCAAAATATTTTTGCCTTAAAAATGCAAGCATTTCTCAGCCTTGGCTCTGGATAGGGATGATAGGAGTTGTAGGGTAACGCACCCGAAGGGACACAAGTTGATCACCCCTGTTATAAGTGGAAATTCAAGAACTTGAGTTTATGCAAGTTTGAATACCTTCTCTAATTTCTGAATTAGCCTCAAAATTATGCTGCAACCCCTAAGAAAAAAGACTAGTCTCTTCAGCGGTGAGGAGAAGAAGAAATGGTTGTTTAATAGTATTGCAAAGTTCTTGATTCAAGCATACTAATGTCATTTGTGTCTAGGATGTCGACCAGTGAGATCTGCTATAAAATGTTGCAGTGTGGAATACTTCAGTGTTTCAGGCAAACAGTCATGCCTTCATTCCATTCTCTCCCCAAGTCCCAGTTTTATCTTTTTCCCTAACAGTGGCTTGGTTTGTACAGCATGATAGCTCACTGGTTAAACAATCCATGGAACACCAGGGGCCAATGGGAGAGAACAGACGTGCTGCTTGCAGTCCACCCACCACAGCTGTATTTATTTAGCAGCCCATGATCAGCTTTGTTGGTTGCAGAGCATGTTTTCTCATGCTCGGCTGCTGGCTGGTTCAGTAGCTGCATCAGTCAGGCAGTACACTTACTGATCCGCATCAGCCCATTGCTATTGCATGAAGCTGGCAGCATTTTGTGGTCAGTTTTCTCAAGCATGGTCAATTTTCACTGGGCTGGAGGAAGGGCATTCGGAGATCTTCCCCTAAAGATTTGTTTGTACTTCTATAAAACTTGAGGTTCCACATCCCTCTTTCACGTGGAGATGTTCAGGCTGAATAAGGACCAACATATGGGTAATTTGCTGTAATTGCATATAATCCGAAGATCAAGTTTGTTTGAACTCTCAAGATATGAAATCTTTTAGAGAACCTCTTAATGGAAATGCATATATAAATCTTTTTCTACTGAAATGAACTGTGGGGAGGAGATATTGAGAGCTTCTGTACCTGTAAAAAGATCACTTAAGGTTCAGCTATTGTATTTCCAACTGTCTGAACGAAGCAATGGTTTACTAACATAACACTTTTCTAGTGCTTGCCTAAATTTAAAACATACTGCTACCTGCAGTAACTGTCTCATCCTTATAGGATGGAGTTTCTTAGTACCATTGCCAAATGCACAAGGTGCTGCTTGCTGAAAGCTTTTAAGTTTATCTGTTGTAGTTGCTGCTTGAAGCATCAGTAATGATGATAAAACAGATGCAATGGCTGTGATATTTGTGGTGGTTCTTTTTCATCTGAAGTGTCTATAATGCATACCAAGCAAAGAGCTAAATCTCAAAACGAAGAATCTTTTACCTGTCTTGGTTTGTGGGAGTTTTTTCCTCAGTTAAAGCAGAACATGTTCCACATGATGGGGTCCAAACATGTTGGTCATAAACCTACCAAAGCCAAGCAGTTAATTTCTCACTATTTTAATAGGAGAGTTAAGCATGTCCTTAACTATGTACTCACTGAAATGAATGGGTTTCAAGAGTGTTGGACTTCTCCTATTTTCTTTGTGGGCCTGTTATATCTATTTATTCAGTATCTTAATGCTAGCAGAGCCTGCTGCTTGTTTATATAAACATGTTGGGTTTGACACAGTGGTACTGAGTTTTATTGTTTTGATGACTTGTCCCAGGAGTTGAAATTCTGATTTGATATGACACTGTGGTTTTGGTTCACTGGCTTGCCTGTGATTTCCATCTTAGAGCAGTTCTTGTTGTAAGTCTCCAGATTACTATATTTCAGTGATGGCGAAACTTTTAGAGACCGAGTGCCCATACTGCAACCCAAAACCCACTTATTTATTGCAAAGTGCCAATACTGCAATAAACCCTGACTACTGAGGTTTTAGCTTAGAAAAAACAACCCACAGCCACTCCAAGCAAATATTTATTTATTTATTTTTTGATTTATATCCTGCCTTTTTCCTACAAAGGGCTCAAGGCAGCTTACATCATTTTCCTCCTCCATCTTATCCCCACAACAACAACCCTGTGAGATAGGTTGGGCTGAATGTCTGTGACAGGCCCAAAGTCACCCAGTTGGCTCCATGGCTGAGCAGGGACTAGAACCCAGATCGTCTGAGTCCCAGTCCCATGCTCTTAACCACTACACCACACTGGCTCTCAAATATATATATATATCCTTGGCAGCGCACTGACTGGTCATGCGAAAGCTTGGATGAGTCGTGGCTAATGAGTTGCGGCTTGTGATGTCATCACCTGGAACCGCTACTCCTTTCTGAGCATGTGCATGGCCTCTATGTGTGCTGCTATCCAATGCTTGGCTGCTGGGATGACTTGGCTTGCGTGCCAACAGAGGGCTCTGTGTGCCCGTTGCGGCACACGTGCCATAGGTTCGCCACCACTGCTATGTTTTAATATTTTCTTATGTTTTAGAAAAATTTCCTAAGTTTCTGCGGCACTCTGGCACATGAGCCTGTTACTTGCCAGCCATTTCAACTTTAAGATGGCAACTTCATGCATACTTAACTAGGAGTATCACCCACTGAGCTCAGTGGGACTTCTGAGTAAACAGGCTTAGTAAAAGAGTATGAGTAGAAGATTATTTTTTTTATGACTGATAGCACACACACAAAAATAGGTGAACCTAGTGCAAGTCCTAAATGGATTAGGACCCAAATACTTGGAAGGTGCACCTCTACCTATCCCTGGCTCTTACCTGCTTAGGAGCTCAGCTGGTGCTGACATTGCTAGCATTTTGGTACCAAGTCAAATATTCCCAAGACATTTTAAGGCAAGTTGCACTTTTTAAAGTTTTGCTTCTATGTTTTGCTTTATTATGTATTGGGATTTTAGCATCATCATTATTATTTCTATTTCTATTATTATTACATTGCATTTATATCCTACCTTTTTTCCTCTTGTGAGAAACTCAGGACAGCTTACATAGTTCTTCTCCACTCCATTTTTATTCTCACAACAGCAGCCTTGCAAGGTAGGTTAGGCTGAGAGACTGTGATTGGCCTAAAGTCACTCAGTGAGCTTCATGGCTTAGTGTGGCTAGAACCCAGGTCTGCCAAGTCTCCAGTCCAGCACTCTAACCACCACACTGTAATGTTTTAGCATTACTGGCTTTTTTCATGACTTATACACCACCACCACCACCAGATTAAAGGTGTTCTAAAGATTTAAGTTAAGATCTCCTTTCCTAATCTAATTCCTATCTCAATAGCCACCTTGTTCAGGATGTGTTACTTGCCATCTAGAATCAAGATAAACATCTTATGTTATAATAGATAGTAGTTACATTGTACATAGTTGTAGTTACAACTATTTGTTAATACAGTTACCTTGTTCAATATATATAATTGTTGAATTAGAAATTGATGGAGAATGCATCTTCCCCTTACCAAAAGGTTTTTAAAAATCCAAAACATTTTTTAAAAACAGTGTTGCATGTACTGGCTCTTACGATTAAAGAAGTATGAAATAGAGAAGATCTCCATAATAGCAAGCATTCACTGTTCTAAGAGATGGTAATACCATTTTCCTTCTAATTTTATTGTGTTATGTGTGTACATGTATTCCTTAACACATCACCTTGTAACAGTTATTATTATGCACTCTTGTTCCATTAATGGAAAATATTTTGACTGGATTCTTATTTCCCGAAGAAGCTGCTTCAGAGCTGGTGTGCGCTACTATGTGAGAGGTAAGACAAATCCTTGAGAGCTATCTGAAAGGGGACAACTGTTTGCACCTTGTTACACATAACAAGCCTTTTGAACCAAATCCAAGTTACATATTAGGATAGTACCTTTATTACGCCAACTCAGGTAGAAAAATATTCCACAAACATTAAAGATCTCCAGATCTCTTCATCTACTGCTGCTTTTGTCTGCCACATAGTGCTACTAAGTTTGCTTGAGAATGTCTCTGATAATTGAAATACCTGTAAAGTTTCTCATTGAGTCCAAAGCAACTTCAAACTGAATATTGACAGTTCAGATGACTGTTGCTTTACATTAAATGGCAAGTTCTGTGTGCTTGTATGAAAATGCTTTTGCTTAGACCTGAGGTAAATGTGTAATTATCTTGGATTTGGACTTGGGAAACACATGCTTGAATGTCTGCTCTGTCCTGAATCCTTCTGAATGGTCTTGTGCAACTCTTGATATCTCAAGAGCCTTTCCTAATTTGCAGGCTTGTTTTTGAGGACAAAAAGCCATTCTGTGGTTCTGGAGAACAGGTGAAAGCCAAAATAAAAATATAAAAATGGCTTTCCCTATTTATAAGATGCAATTTATAATCCAGCTGTACCCAGTGAACTTCTATTTTTCTTTGCATTACATTATCTGGTGGAGAAAGTTCTTCCATCATTTCTGTTTAAACCATATAATTCTTAAAAACAACTGTTATGTTCTATGGCAGAAATAGGTTGGCTGTCTATTGTTCCAAGAACTGTCAAAGGTAACATAATCTGCTATATCTGCAGGACACAACATCCCCTTAGCATTTTTGGCAGTTCCAAAATGTACTTTGGGTTTTTAGTGTGGTTCTCCCCCCTCCCCTTCATGTTACCTAATGGATGTTCTCACCAGAATGACATATTGGGTAAGATTTGAAATAATATGTAAGACTTTTGCTGTAGGTAAATAGCAATGATTTTGAGTTTCTTGCTCTCACAGGTATTGATTCTGAAGGTCATGCAGCTAATTTTGTAGAAACGGAACAGATTATACATTACAATGGGAGCAAAGCTTCTTTTGTCCAGGTATGTTTATTTTATTGGGTAGCATAGCTTGTTTTTTGTACAGAAGTTAGTGTTTGCCTATCCTACTTAATGCTGTTTTATGCTAAGCTAAAATGCCAGAACTAGTTGGGAACTTGTACTGATAAAGTGCAGCATGCTTTACTTTTCTGTTTGTTCTGCTTTCCAGACGCGAGGATCAATTCCATTTTTCTGGTCACAGAGACCAAACCTCAAATATAAACCAAGACCACAGATCAGCAAAACAATAAATCACGTATGTTTTATATATTTTTCTTACCTATTTGCAGAATAGAGTTTAAAGTCCAAATGCATATTCAGCTAGCCTTATGTTGCCACTATTCTGGGGACTGTGGTTCTCCTTGAGGTGTCCTGAACTAAATGTACAATGTTGTTGAGAGCTAATGTATTTTTGGTGTTGGTGCAGTAGCACTTTTGGCCAGCTTTAATCAGTACAAGGGATTTTATCCCCTTGATCTTGAAATCAGAGATGTAAAAGATGTTCGTATTTTTAATATGCAGGCTTATTTTCTCTTAGAGCTGCCTCTATTGATTATACCCCATTTTCACTCAATAGTAAGACAATGCTGGGTGCAACAATACTCCTTCTGTGCTTGTGAGGAGCAACCCTCGCTTTCCTTGAATCACTCCAAACTGAAGGAGTAGGGTTTCCTAGTTCAAGGACAAGATGGCTGGCACTGCATGGCAAATTGGAGTGAAGAAAGCCCTGTGTCTGGATCTTGTCTGGCTTTGGTGCAGGAGTGCCAAGAGAGTGAACCCAACGCTTGGGCACACCATTTTTGGACATCATCATGGGCACAAGCAGATTCAGTACTGTAGGGAAGAGCGGTTGCCCAGTGGTAGAGCACATGCTTTGCATGCAGAAGGTCCTGGGTTCAGGTCCTGGTTTCTCCTGGTAGGGCTGGAAAAAACTGCTCTTGAAACCCTAGTGAGCCATTGCCAGTCAGTATCAACACTGCATGAGGATAGATGGGACCAGTGGCCAGATTATATACTGAAGCTTGTGTACCAAGCACATATTTGTTTGCAAGCATTTTCATTTGTAAGACAGTCATCTATTATAAGTGTGTCTTCAGTTTCCAAGGAAAAATTACACTCCAGGATTGGAATTCAAAATGAAAGTTTCCCCCCAAATTTAGCCTCAGGGTGTATCAGAGCAGATGAACCTGTATGAGGTGGTGCCCAGGAAGGGTAGTGGGAACACACGTTGACATGCTGAGAAGACTGATGCCTAATCCTTTGACCAATTTCAGTAATCACTAGAATGAATGCTATTTCTCTACTCTGCCATCCTGGCACTTGCCATAAGTCATTATTACGTTGCACAATTCCTTTATCTATATCCAGCTACAACTGCATTTTAATGGATTTTTGCTATGTTCCTTCAGTATTGAACAACTCCTTCCTTTTAAGGATTCTCTGTAACATGCAGCTTTGGCAAATACTTCAAATAAATATAGGTGCTATATTCTCTTTCAGATGGATGGCTTTCAGAGACACTTTGATTCTCAGATTATTAGCTATGGAAAACAAATGATTGTTAATCTGGTATGTACTTAATTTAATTGTTCTTCAAAGGTCCAAGAAACTTGAAAGTTTCTGAATGTTATTGCTGTTTTAAATATGCTTTTCTGTTTTTTTGTTTTCCCTTTACAGGTTAACCAAAAGGGCTCAGAAAAGCCTCTTGAACAAACATTTTCAAAAATGGTAAACAGCTTGGGAAATGGAATGGTCAGGTACATGGCAACTGAAAAAATACTTTCACAGGTGTTTAAAAGACTTAGGGTGCATGGCAACTAGTTGAAAAGGCTTAGGGTGCAATCCTATGCATGCTTAGATAGAAAACAGTCCAGCATGCTTGGCTAAGGAAAGCTGGGAATTGGAAGACCCTTTTTTCTGTCCAGGCAAAGGATCTTGCCATTGACAGGAGTGTCTACGTAAAGTGTATGAACAGTCGGGACGTAAGAATGGTATAAAACTAGGGTTGCACACATTTAAATCTGGCTATTAAATGTCTTTTTAGATGTTGTTGTTGTGTTGTTTTTAGTCGCGAAGGCGTGTCCGACCCATCATGACCCCATGGACAACATTCCTCCAGGCCTTCCTGTCCTCCACCATCCCCCCGAGTCCACTTAAGTTCACACCGACTGCTTCAGTGACTCCATCTAGCCACCTCATTCTCTGCCGTCCCCTTCTTCTTTTGCCATTTTTTCAGTTACACTCAAAAAAATAAGAGCTGGGTCAGAATTTGTCCCAGAAAGCAGAAATCCACCTCCTCACCATGGCAAATAATTGCGGTGATTTTTATGTTCCTTTATTGAAATGAACCTGTGCAATTGCCAGGAATTCTAATATTAAGTAAACCATCAAAGCTTCAGAGTGAGAAAGGGAGGCAAGAAGTGGGTTTGTAGTTTATTGTTACAAGAGCTCATGGTGGCGGGGAGATGTGAGGGAATAGATGCTGACTCTTGTTTCTGGGTGAAGGGGAAACTCTTAAAGCAGGTATAAGTAAAAGGGTGATGTTATTGCATTGTCATTGTGCATTGAAGACAAAAGGTACAGAAATATTGTCATGTGCTTTGGAATCAGGAAATGTCCCAAATCAGTACATGTCCCAAGTGCTTTGGAATCAGGAAACTGAAGGTTGGACAACCACAGATCTTCTGATATTGAAGACTTGGTATATAATGCTCTGGCAGGCAGCCATAGCAGACAAAGTGATGTGCCAACTTGAATGAGCAAAATCAAATTATCTGATTTTTATAAAATATGGAATGTTTTGTTTTAATTTTATATACATATAAGGGACCTCAGCAACAATAGAATAATATGTAATATTATGAGAGGATGTTAGACAATGTGAAGTTTAGTTCTGCAGAAACATTTCACTGTACATGAAGCTGGAAAAACCTACCTCCAGTTTACCCTGATTAGATAGGTGATACGTACCAGGAAATGCTATTAAAAACACAGCAATATTTTTCCCCGTGAGCCTTTGCCATTTTCACTTGTGCCCTTTCCTCTCCTGCTTTCACTGCTCCAGATACTCAAAGAACAGCTGTATAGATGGATATAGATCTCAGAACATTTGAGGAAACACTCCATCAAGGAAACCCATTTTATGCTGCTTTGTAGAAACCAAGACATTATAAATTTCTGCTGCAACACACCTCAGGGGCACTTCTCATGTCCCCCCCCCCCCCCCGATTTCATGCACTAGTGAATCACCTCTGAACTCACATGTGTTTTCTCTACCCAGATATGTAGCATTTGATTTCCATAAAGAATGCAGTCATATGAGGTGGGATCGGCTGCAGATTCTATTGGATCAACTAGCTGAACAACAAGATGAATTTGGGTAATATATACAACCGCACTGTGAGGATATTTTATACAGTTAGTCGAAGTTACATAATTAGATTGTGCAAAGGAGATGCCAGAAGTAAATTTCAGATACATTGATCTGAAACGGCAGCAATTGCGAGCTGTAATTTGAAGTTTTTCTGCTGAAATCACTGGCATTCTCTTCCACTTTGTTTAGAACTACAGTCAAAAGATCTTGTGTGGCTACTCTTTCACTATCCGTGCAACAGTGTTAAAGATCCTGTTGTCTTGGCATCATGCCACTTGGCTTCACTTTATAATATCTGTGTCAACTGCATTTGGAAGTGTATGTTTAAATTCATAAGTGGAAGACCAAGGCAGTGATAGTTGCTTATGAAGTTAGCAAATTTCATAGCCATATTTTAATTTCCTGAGACTAACTGAATTCTTCAAAGCTGATCAATAAAGGTAAAATAAATATAATGAAGATAATGTGAACTCAAGTGATATATTTATAATTTGTAAATATGCATGTATATACACTATATAAAATCATAAAATGTGAGAAGTGGCTCTTAAAGACAGCAGAACCAAAGGAATGAGTAAGACTGCAAACAGTGTTACATCAATATTTTCATTTTTTTTCAAAATACTCTTGTTCTTGGAATGTCTCAAAGCAGAGTAAAAGTAGGCCCTGAATTAAGTGTCTTCCTGCTGGATTGTAAGCAGGTGCTATAGTATCAATTTTGGCAACCTACCAAGCTCTTGTGTTTTACTCTAAAATCCCTAAGGTTAGTTAGCCAGGATTCCATGTGCTTGTGAGAGCATTTTGGAGAGTCTTACTTCAATTAATAGGTCTTGATGACCTATCACAAACAACCTTTGGATCTCTCCTTATTAAGTGACATTGAACCTTTTTGGTCAGATTTCTGACATCTGATATTAAATATTTTTAAATGTGGCTTGGCAGGTATTTGAAGTTAGACAGCTGGGATGTGGAATAGCACTTAAATAGTTAGACAAGTGCAACTTATTCACATTACCTGACAGTAATGCTTTGAAGCCTTTGTGGATACTCTGAAGTTAACAGGATTGTTTAGTGTGATTTTTTAATAAATTGGTGTAACTGTTACGAACAATTCCCAACACTGATGCCATATCTGTGTTTGCCTCAAACAAATAGTATATCTGAGCAGTAATTTGTGAACTCTTCTGTATTTCAGCTACTTTCTAGTTGATTCTGATGGAAAGGTGGTAACGCAGCAAGAGGGAACATTCCGCAGTAACTGTATGGACTGCCTGGACCGTACGAATGTGATTCAGAGCCTTTTAGCACGTCGTTCTCTCCAAGCACAGCTGCAGGTAGTGCTTTCTCCCTAGTCTTTCTGTATCCTTTCAAAAAATCCCCTATGGTGTTTTCATAGGATTTTTCTTTAGTTTATTCTTTTTTTCAGGCCCAATAGCCTAAACTCCATGGGCGGTTCTCCAAAAAATGCTAATAATCACCTAGTGTATTATATATAGTTCTTGTGAAAGGAATGTATTTGAAATAGGAGAACATGCTCTGATGCACTACAATATTTGAATAAACATGGAACTAAAATGTGGGCAGAATGCAATTCTAAGTAGTGTGTTGTTGTTTTTTGTCATTAGAGATTAGGCGTTTTGCATGTGGGCCAGAGACTTGAAGAACAAGCAGAATTTGAGAAACTTTATAAAAATGGTAGGCTTCTTTTTTAATAAGTAAATTTTATCCTCTGTGTATGTGCTGCCTTTAAAAAAATGTTCTCTGTCCATAGCATGGGCCGATAACGCAAATGCTTGTGCCAAACAATATGCTGGAACGGGTGCCTTAAAGACAGACTACACGAGGCAAGTGTTTTTTTAAAAATACATTCATTATATTTATATCCTGCCTTTTTTCCTTTCAGGGAACTCAAGGTAGCTTACATAATTCTCTTTCCCTCATTTTTATCCTTACAACAGCAATAAGTTGGGCTGAGAGGCTGTGACTGGCCCAAAGTCACCCAGGGGGCTCCATGGCTGAGTGGGGACTAGAACTCAGGTCTCCTGACTCCTAGCCCAGCACTCTTAACCACTACACCACACTGGCTGAGCTTGAGCCAGTCTTGCTTGAAAGAAAATGATGCAACTTAAGCAGAAACATCCAATATTATGTAGGCACTGATCTAGCTACCATACTTGCCATGGAGGACATGGGCAACATTTTCTTTAAATATACCAATGGCAGGTTTTGGAGTGTAATTATTTACATAATTTTGCATATATACTCAGATCCATTGTGCTGAGTAGGACTAACTCTCAGGTAAGTATGCAAAGAATTGCAGTGTTAAAAGTGTATATGGTAATGAAACATCACTAATAACATGCAGAATAAAATTATACAAAGAAAAGTTCTGAACACAGCAAATCTAGCCCAATAGAACATGTAACATTTCTAAAATCAATGAGTCAGTGTCTTCATTTTTATTGCAGACTTTAAAATGGTTGCAATTTATTTTCCAGATCCTTATTTCTATTCTTGTCCTAGGAAAGACTTTCATTTACAATTTGATTAGATCATGAAAGGGCTGCTTATATGGACACTTGCTTCACAGCTAAATTCTTGCACCTGTGTTTTCCTTCTGGACAAATATAATAAGAACTGTTAAACCAAAGTCTGAAAGAACATGAATAAAACATTGCTATGAGGCCATTGCCAGACTCAAGGCTGTGGAAAGGAAGAACTCTCTGAAGGGTTCCTATTTTGCAATCAGGAGCATTGCTCTGGGGTCCCTATAGCAGTGGCAGGAGGAGAGAAATGGACTAGAACAGGGGTCCCTGTGCTGCAACCCCCAAGCTCTTTCTGTGCAGCCCTCCAACCCGCTTGTTTACTGCTGTCACTCTCAAGGCATTTTCCCTCAGACCCACACTGGTCTTCCTGCTTCACGTGGCACCATTTGTATTATTTCAAAATGGATTGCATTCAAGTTAACATTTCTTCATTGACCTCTGAATGTTTACTTTGCTCAAAATCAATAGGTTAATAATTTTGTTACATTTTCACTTAAGATGTGGCCCTCTTTTAAGCATTGGGCACTCCAATGCAGCTCCCATATCCCAGGAGGTTGGGGACCACTGGACTAGAGCTTGAAAAGGGGCTTTGATCATGAAAGACCAAGTGGACTCAAAGCCTATCCTGTCAGTCATGGTGTTCAAGACCAGAGGCCATCTCCCCCCCCACACACACACACACCCCAGTGCCAGCGGTAGACAGCTCTTCATCCCCTTACTCTTCAAAATGAGTACCTGTTACTTTGATGTACTTGATACTGGAGTTACATTTCTAATTAATTTTGGAAGATGTCTGCTTTTTGTAATATTGAAATCCTGCTTTACAAAATCCAGAACTGGAAAGAGAACTCAGTGGGGCCTACTAATGGATGGTTGGAATTCACTAATTCGGTACTACAAAAACAACTTTTCTGATGGATTCAGACAGGTAAGAACTTCCTGGTGTTTGCTGTTTTTCTTTAGTTTTGACAGTGTATTCCATGTCGAGCTGAGTGGAAGGTACTGTGGTCAGTGTCCCCAGGGCTTGTGGTGCATGTTGGAAAAGCCAGGAAAGTGTGCTGGCAGGTAGGGGGATGGCCGGCAATAGAACTGTAGTGCAAACTACTCAGGAGAGGTTCCAGGAAGGGGGTCTTGGTGGAGGAGGGGATTGGGTGGGCAACTGTTGCTTGAAAAGCCCGCAAGTGCCATGTTGGCACAGGGAGAAGCCTAGTAAGAGCCAAGCAGAAAGGGGTTGTATGGAGTAGATGGGTGGACTGGTGCTCTTGCACTCATGACCTGCTCGCATGTTCCCATGAGCAGCTGGTCGCCACTGTGTGACCAAAATACTGGATGGATGCTTATTCTGATCCAGGAAAGCTCTTCGTATGTTCTTCGGTTCATAATGCAGGGTCTAATGGTACAGTAGGTCACAGAAAAAGGAAGGCAGGAAAGGTGAAAAAGTCAAAGTAGGTAGGAAAGAGCATTTCCCCCCTTTGATCGCTCCTTTCCTGTGTGGGAATTTGGTTCATCAGGAGGGTATCACCTTATTGTCAACGTAGGCTAGGTTGAGTGATATTGAATGGGTGGGGATCTCTTACATCCAAACTCAGCCCTCTAGCCTTGACATCTGTATTTTCTGTGCCACCCAATAAATAGCCAATGCTCTCTGAGCAATAAGCAACAATAATGAATACAGTAAAATACAATACACATCAAAATAATAAAATATCATAAAATTACATCAAAAATTTAAACCATTTAAAAACCACATTTTTGCAATTAAATAGTTAAGACTAGTCCATCCTGCTAAACCTGCAGTAAAACCACAGGCAATACCTTCAGGCTACCACCACGTGCTATTTGGAGTTCGTAAATGCCTCAGCAAGGAGAACAGTCTTAATCTGGTGCTCAAAAGATAATAAAGTTGATGCTAGGCAGGTTGGTTCCATAATTTGGGGGCTACCACAGAAAAGGCCCACTTTGTTGCCCCCAGCTGAGGTTCTCTTAGAGATGGCATTTGGAGTAAAGCCTCAGATATTGAGCATCGTATCCGGATATGTTGTGGTTGGAAGATGCATTCTGTCAGGCATCATGGTCACTGAAGTTATAGAATTAGAAATGGGTGGAAGAAGATTGCCCCTACGAGGCCCTCCATGGATCTGGTGGTGTCACTGTGGGTGTGGCCATGCCCACTAACGTTACTGCTCCCACCTGCCTATTTCAGCCTTTCTCACAGTGGCCCTGAGAAGGGCTCTTTCTGGTGCTGGTCAGGTCCCTGGGCTCACGTGGTTCCTAGGCATCCTTTCACACTACTCGGCATGACTCAGCCAGGACTGGAAAGAGTGGCTGCCAGCCAGTTCTTTTTCCCTCCATTTCCCTGCTGTTATCTCCCAACTCTGGTGCTAAACCTCATCCTCTGGAGGAGCGCATGACCCTGTGGGCTGGATTTGGAGTAGGGGCTCCACATGGGCCATATGTGGGGGGCCTGCAGCCGCCTTATCCCGTCCAGGCTTCAAGGGACTGGGAGCAGCACTGAAGGGTAGAGAAGGTATAAACTGCGGACATGGGCAAGAACTTGTTTTTCCAGTGGTGTCATGCTGTGGTAAGGAAAGCCTTACCTGATGAAAATGTCCAGACAAGAAATTCAAGGGGAGAGGTTAGATTCTAGAGATGCTGCAGGATTCTTTCTTTTTAAAATAACTTGGATCTCAATTGTAATCTGTTCAATCCCGGATTCTTTTACAGGATGCTATAGATCTATTTCTTGGAAATTATTCCGTGGATGAAGTAGATTCTCTCAGTCCTCTTCATGTGCAGCGGGATTGGAAATTTTTGGCTGTAAGAAATGTATAATTTTTTATACTAGTTTGAGAATCTTAAAAAAAGTCACAAAATTAGGATGAAAATAATAAAGTATAGGGATTACATTGTCAGGACCTAAAGCCTTAATTCGCTTCTGATTAAAAGCAGAGCATTTTTTCAGGATTTAATTGCTGGATTCTAAAAAAGGGAGAATGTCTAGTATCAGTTAGATTTGTATCCCACCCTTCTTACAAGGAGTTCAGAGGGAGGTTTTGGATCAGTCCTGGGAGATTTGTGACTTGCTGCAAGCCTCTGAGTGGCCCATTCAGGTGATCAAAGCATCATGCACCCATATAAGCCAAGAGTAAACAAGCTAAATGGCAGCAGTTAACCTTAGGTTCCCGTTAAGTTCAGCCTTGGAACTCTGGTTAATGGCTTCTAACAAGGCAAGATTCAGAAGCCAACTTCAAAAACATATCTTATATTCTGACTTGTTAGTGAAACCATTAATTAGTATTATCTGCTTCAGGTGGAAGGTGAAGCTATACTTAATTGTGAATTTCTCTCCTATTCTCTTGCTTGCACAAAGGGCAGTGGAAAGTAGAAGCAAAGGGTCTGTACACATATGTACAGAACTCATGCGCATCCTGGTCTGTTAAGCGGAAAGTGATGAGTTATTCCATCACCGAGCCAGGCTTGGAATCCAGTGCTGCACTAAGCTAGATATAAGACAAAGCCCGAGTGCTGGGCAGGGTTTGTCATGTCATCTAAACCTGGCAGCATAGCATTTTTGAGTAAAATGCTATAGAGGATATGTAATTATGATGAATCATAGGGTTTTATAAAAAGTTAATGTACGTTAGAGGTTGAGATACTTTACTTGTAGCATGCTATTTCAAGGCTGACCAATGTGTTGTGGTATAGTAATCCACAGAAGCTAATGCCCCAATAACTCTTCATGTGTTGAACATTAAAACCCAGGGAGCTGAGAATTGCTCCTTTTACTAGCTAAAGTGGGACATTACAGTTACTCACATGCCACTTGCCTGTACTACTGTGCCCTGTCCTTGACATTTAACTGAACTTTGAAATTAAGTGTTACCTGTTGCCTTTTAATCTCCGCCCTCTCTCTCTTTCAGTTGCCTATTATTATGGTGGTTGCTTTCTCAATGTGCATTATCTGTTTGCTTATGGCTGGTAAGTGATCATTCTAAAATTCACACGGTATTATATGTAACTACAGTGGTACCTTGGCTCATGAACTTAAATCTGCTCCATGACTCAGGTCGTGACCCAAATTGATTAGGAGCCAAGTCAAATTTCGCCATAAGGTTCAGTGTAAATAAGGTTAATCCGTTCTGTAACCATTTTTTTTTTTTAATCACAAAAATTTGGAACGAAGTGACAAAGAACAACAAAGTAGCAAAGGACAACAAGATGGCGGCCATCTCTCCCCCCGCCCCCCTGAGCATGATTGCGGCCATAGACAGGCACAATTGCATGTGCGTTCAGGCAGGGAAGAGGGGTGCAGTTGTGGCCGTCTCCCCCACCAAGCGCAGCCGTGGCCATAGATGGGCAGGGAAGAGGGGCACAATCACGATCGTCACCCAAGGTGGAGTTCGTGACCTGTGGCAAAAATTTTACGAAATTTCTGTTCACCACCCGATTTGGTCGTGAACGGAGGTGTTCGTGAGCTGAGGTACCACTGTACTTAACAGTGCTTACTGAAAGTCAATGAGAGGTTGTTATAGTTGTTTCTTCTGGAGCTTTATCTTCAAGGCCAATGTGTAAGTGAGAGATCAAAGTCCATTAGTAAATGAGGTGAGAAATATAACAGATGGCCTAAAGCTGTGGAGAACCAGAACAAGTGTGGTTATTGGCTATCTGAACAGCCATAGAATAGTCTCATTGAACAGTAGTGCTGGAAGGTAAACTAAGCTGATTCTTTGCCCCGAGGCAAAACATTACATATGTCAACTGCCTGCAGTTTAATTCACATTATAATTGTAGAGCAGAAGCAAAGCAAGTGCATCATCTGAAGTGCAGATAGGTGCACTGAGCTCAGAGGTCCCTAGTTGTTCTGAACTCATAGGTACACGTGGGAATTGCTATGGACGCCACCATAAGATGCCTGGTTAGTGGATCACTGTTTTGGTGTCTGCCTGTTGTGTCTGTAGATCTCAAGCTGTATCTTGTTTCATGTTTATTGGAAACTGCAGTGAAAGAAATGTTCTAATTCAGGTGGTGATAAAATACAGCTAATGCCTCTTTTAAATATATTTTTTGACAATGTCTAGTAGCTGCTTCTTTTTGGGAAGAGGTTATTATACAGCTAAACTTTGTATTGGAAAAAGCTTTAATGGTCACTGACTTACATGTTCTTTTAAAGTGTTTACCTGTTTCATGGAAATTAACCATGAAATTAAATTCATGATCAGTACAAATAGATTTTCTGCACCGTTTTAACTGCTAAAAGACTAATATTTCAACATTGGAAGGATAAACACGTTTTGGACTGAAGTGGATAGGCTGGACATGCATGTGGTAGGTATTTCATAAGTGGAGTCAGTGGACAGACTAGATGGCCCAGGAGTCCCCTTCTGACTCTGTTTCTATGTCTTATAATGCAATGGGTTGAGAACCTTAATGCTTTCAGGATTTGAAAGGGTGGCTATTAAATGTCATCTTCAGGTTGAAACTTATTTGACTCTTCAGTTTGCTTCTGTTGAAACCTGTGTATAATTGCTAGACAGTGCCATGTATTTCATATTATCAATTGTTTTGGATATATACAAATCTAAGTAGATATATACAAAAATAGGAAAAAAATGGAAGTTTTATAGGTACCTGTAGGTGGTGGATTAGGAGCATAGCTGACACTCTGATCAAGAACCAAAGGCAGCCACGTTATCATCATTTTATCCTCACAACAGCCCTGTGAGGTAAGTCACTCAGTGAACTTCACAAAAAAGTACGGACTGGCCCTCAAACACCATCTCCTAAATTAATCAGATCTTTTCCAGGCTAAGAGGAAGAATTTGTTCTATTTTACCTCTGGTCTACAGCTCTTTTTTCTTACAAAGGAGAACCAGTTTTAATGAAAAGTGCAGACAAAGAGCTTAAATATGAGAATATCTTCCTGCCAAGATGGTGATTCCAGTACTGTCAGGATAATACAGGAAAAGAAGATATGAACCCTGGCTTATGAATTTGAACTAATAGTTCAGAATTAATCTTAGCAGAGTTCTGTTCCTCTCTTCAGCTGCTTTGAGGACTGTTAAATATTTCTTATGTAATTGCAAGCTTTTATATTCCACAGGTGACACTTGGACAGAAACACTGGCCTACGTGCTGTTCTGGGGAAGCGCAAGCTTTGGAACTCTTGCTATCATCCTTTACAATGGCAAAGATTTTGTAGATGCTCCCAAACTAGTCCAGAAGGAGAAGATGGACTGAATTTGTGTGTGTGGAAAGCGGCTTGGTAGGGATGACTCCTCAAGTCACTCCTGGAATCTCTACTGACCTGCTTTCCACACCAGCTCGTGGTCTCTTTTTAGCTTTCATCTTGACAGGGTGAAAAAGTGGATCCAATTTATTACTTGGTGGAGGGTATTGACTGTTTGGTTCTAGAGTCACAATGATCTTAAAAGTATTGCATTTGCTGGAGAGCTTGCACAGTAACACTAGGGAGATTAAGAGACAAAAGCAAAACACTGTGGATAGAGTCTTAATAGGATTCAGGTTTGACAAACTTTACATTGCAGCAGTATAGCCTTGTAAAAATGTTCAGATAACTCAAGCTTTGAAAGGATATGCTGCTGTTCTCAATATCACAAGAGCTAATTTGCTGCAGGATTATCTTAACTAAGCTACATTATCTGATACTAGTAAAAGTCTAGCTTATTAAGAATAACAAACATTGCTGCTGAATTAAACTTGTAGTTGAGTGCCCATATAGTCAAGAGAACAGTTTCTTTGCAAGTGCAGGGTTGTATGTTCTTGTCCCCTATGGATTTTCTTTGTTCCTAGTGGAGAATGTGATTTTTTTCATTTCTCTCCCATGGGAAGGCAAGTCTCTCCTGTTAGTTTTGGGACAATGTTGATGCAATATTTTGTTAAATCATTGTTGAGAGGATGAGGTGTTCAACAGACTTTGTGTGGAACACTTCTTGTGTGCTTTAATCACAGTCCTTAAGCTTAGAAACAAATTTCAGTGTGATTCAAACTGTTTTGTCCTTTTAAAGATGTAAATGGAATCAAAGAATGTAAAACTGTTTATTTGAACCCTCTTATGCTAAAGGTCCAAAGTATTAAGTTTCTTTTTGAAGAATGTCAAATGTAGAAGATGCTACTTAGTTTGGCAAACCAACAGGTACTTACACTGCCTTGGCTTCAGAGGGATATTCTGTGGAGGAACATTCGATGCGATTTTCGGGCAAAATTCCATTTTTGCACTTGGGATCATCATTAGCTTGCTTTACATGCATGCTACTACATTTCTCTACAATTGTAACTTTCTCTGAAAATGATTAAACTATAAGACTAGCCTTGTGTTGGTTATCAATAAATGTGTGTCTCAACTTTAGTGCTTCCAAGCTTTATATTAAAACTAGATCTAAATCAAGGACCAATTTTAAAATACTTTGTCATTCATTTTCTAACTACATGTGTTCAGATCCAGACTTGAACCAGCTTCAGGTGCTGTGCATTATTATATTTCTTGTAAGTATAGCTGTATATTCAGGATTGCAATTATGAATATATATTAGAACATGTAGATAACCAGGGTTAATGCCGTTTCAGTCCAAGCTAAAATCCAACTCACTGCAGTGTTTTCATTGTATGACAATTGAGATACTATACAATCTTTGCAAATGGCAACTGTCCACCTTAATCTTTGAATGTCTGAGGGGCTCTTTGGTTTTGTCTAAATATAACCCTCTCACAATCACCTGTAATATACACACTTCCTCTGTGAATTTTAGTTAATGCAGTGGAAAGAATGGTCAGTGGTGTTTGAAAAATAAATTCAAGTTGTTCACCCAAATGTGTGGAAAATACAGGCAGGGAGTGCATTTAATAGCTGGTTCCATTGTCAGACAGTGTCTTTTTAAATGACTCCTCCTTGATTCTAATCGTGCATTACCCATTAAAAACTGGTTGCAATGATAAAGAAAACTTGGGCTTCTAGCATTGCTAGAAAAGAGTTAAATTTCTGCAGGTTTGAAGGAAGGATGTCTATATTCCTGTGCTTTGTAAAGAAGTTGCATTTCTAAGTCCACCTCCAGTGTACTCAAACCAGTAATAAAACTTCAATCTTTTCTAAGAACTGACTTCTGTGTCCATATCTTTAATAAAGGTTAGGTGTTCACTGGGGCCTGCTGATCTTCTAGTGCATATTCTGAATGAGTACAAAATGAAAGTTAAAGTTGACAGACCATGTTCATTTAGAGTTGGTAGTAGACTTCTACTAATTGCCTGCACAGAACAAATTAATTTTGGAATCTGTCAGTGTTATAATGCCCTTACTCAACTCTGTCAGCCAACAACAGTTATGCTATATACCCCTCTGTTTACTGCACCTAAAAAGGCTACTGTGCAGCTGGGAAGACAGTAGTCTGGGGAAACTGCACTACGATGCAAGGTTGCAATATCTGTGAGTGTTTAGCATACAAAAAGGCAAGTAAAATGAGACATGAGGTTTATGAAATTACACAGCAATAATGGAACCCTGGATTCATTGCCTGAAGCTGAATGCCACAAAATTTAAGGCAGACAAAAGTACTTTTTAACACATTATTTATGGAGCTTGCTGCTCAAAGAGATAGCAATAGCCAGCAATTTGTATGGCTTTAAAAGGGAATTAGGCAAATATGGCTATCAATTGCTGCTAGTAGTGATGGCTCTATATTACCGCTAGTCTCAGAGGCAGTCCATTGACGGAGGTCCTGTTGGTTGGCAGATCGAGCTTCGGAGAGGGTGAATTGAACCTTTTCCTGAACGGGGTTGCGCTCCCTCTTAGGGACAAGGTCTGCAGCTTGGGAGTGCTCCTCGACCCTGAGCTTTCACTGGAAGCTCAGGTAACAGCAGCGGCAAGGAGCGCTTTCCTCCAGCTTCGGCTGATTCATCAGCTGCACCCCTACCTGGAGTACGACTGCCTTGTGACAGTGACACATGCGCTGGTGACTTCCCGCCTTGACTTCTGTAACGCCCTCTATGTGGGGCTACCCTTGAAGACGGACCGGATACTTCAATTGGTTCAAAATAGAGCTGCCAGGCTGCTGACGGGGACTGGACGTTATGTTCACATGACTCCAGTCCTCCGTCAGCTTCACTGGCTTCCCATTGAAGTCCGGGCCCAATTCAAGGTGTTGGTGATGACCTATAAAGCCCTAAACGGCTTGGGTCCTGGTTACCTGAAGGAGCGCTTACATCCATATATGCCCAGCCACCCCCTGAGATCAGCGGGAGAGGCCCTTCTCTGGTAGCCCTCCGTGAAAGAAATTAGGAGGGTGGTTACTCGGAGGAGGGCTTTCTCAGCGGTGGCGCCTAAGTTATAGAATGAGCTCCCCAGAGAGGTCTGCCTGGCGCCGTCGTTATTTGTTTTTTGGCGCCAGGTGAAGACCTTTTTATTTAAGCAGCATTTTAAATGTTAATATTATTGAATTTTATCTGGCCAGGGTGGCTTATTTTATATTGTATATTTGTATTTTATTTTAATGTATATATTTTAAAATGTTATTTATGATTTAACTCATTGTTGTAAGCCGCCCCGAGGCTTCAGCGAATGGGGCAGCATAAAAATGTTTTAATAAATAAAATAATAAATTGCTGGGGAATACAAGCAAGAAGGCCACTGGAACAGCATGCAGGACAGAATTCAGCACCATTTTTCTGCAGTGAGAGGTTATCTGTCAGGGCATATTTTGCTATGTAAATAAGAGCACCCTCTCTCCAGTTCTGCCAGGGCAGTGCATACGATCACTCTTACAGTGGAAGAAGGAAAAGTGAGCCTTCCTAAAGCTCAGGAAATTATTCACAATTGAAGTAATGTCCTAGTCTTGCTTAAGAGTTTAAGAAGTTGGTAACTTTGCATAAAAAGTTGTGAGCTATTATTCTGTAGTAGAGGAAATCTGCTATTTCATGCATTCTTCACCAAATGCTATTTTAGAACTCATCATATACCTACGTATACCTCAAAAGGTTATTTCATTTTTATTTAGCTCTGGTTAAATATAAATTCCAGTTATTTCTAACTAAGTGCAACATAAAATGGGAAGAAAATTCAAGACGTGTTAAAATATCAAATATAATGCTTAGCTACTGTGACTAAATACTTCTGTTCTTAACAGTTATTTTCAGCATCCCTGTGCTCTAAAATTTACATATGGGTTCCACTCAGTTTCTATGGTTTAAATATCACCAGTTAAACAGAATAATAGTACTTAGACATATCTGAAGGTTTTACCAGCCTCATTCAGGAATTTAGAGGCAAACCAGCTATTTCAAGTTCATGATGGAAGATTGTCAAGATTTTTGATTAAGATATCTTAAATGTTGAACAAACACCTTAGAAATGATCCAGAATTAATTTATTGGCACACAATAAACTTCACTGATATCTTGGGCAATGTTTTTAAATTAACAACGTATCTGCTTCAGTTTATTTCAATTAGTAGCTAAAAGTATACAAATATTCAATAGTCTGTATCACATTTATTAATCACACAATTACAAAAGCTATGATTCAAGGCATGGGAGTTCAAAGACAAAAATAGTTGTTTTATTCTTTCTAGACATGCTGTATAAGATTCTGTTCCTGAAAACACATCCATTTCTGTCAGTCCACATAGTAACTGACAGATTAGATCTTAAAACTGTACACATAAAAAGTTGGTACACTGATCTCAAACTGTTTCAAGTGCTTTAAGCTGAGTTATAAAAGAACAGCAAGTTGCATAAATGCTCTTAATGTGTGCTTTTGACTTATTCTGACTAGCTATTTGACATCAATACTGATGCCTGAGCTCTGGAAATAGATAAAAGGGCTGGAATTCTAAATGAATAGTGAGAACACCTGATCCAGCTCTCCTAGGCATAAAGTTCAGTGTTTGTCTTTTCAAAGATTAGGGTCAAACAGTTGGGAAAAGGGATTAAAATTTTTTTTTACAGAGAAAAAAAACAGATCTGTTTCTGTCTCAGTCACCATGATCACTAAAAACTCAAGAGCTCACTTATAATACGTTTCCACAATGGGAGGCACAATATATATCTAGAACAAGAAAACTTGAGTGGCTGGTGAGACTGAAAGTGTGTTTCCACGGCTGGCACATTAGAACTATAAAAAAGAGAGGCCACTAGATTAGATAGTCATGTATGTCTTTACATGTGGTACTACAGGGAATCCATTAGATGGTTCTTTGTTCTGAAATCGATCAGAACAAAGCAAACTGTCCCTTCCACTTCATCCAACAAAGGGGTACATAGGCCACAAATCCCTTTGGATAATACTGCATGTGTTTGCCAACCACATCCTTTCCAAAGAATACCTTTGCATGCAATGCACGGGGCACAAAAAGCCTCTTTCTTCATTCTCATACTGCAGATGGCCATCTGAGAGAAATAAGCACCTAAAAGAAACCGCTGTATTTCCTCTAGGAAGGTTAGCAGTGCTGACTAGTAGTGATGTCGGTATGCGGCGCCAGGACTTGTGCCTTTCTCTATATGTTTAAGATGACACGAATGGCAAAGCAAATGTTCATCCAGTGGGTAACAATGATGTCCGTCTTCATCATTGAGTTCCATGCTACAGTCCTATGTGTATAAGAGAGGAGGAGACAGGAAACCCCTTATTTAAGTGGTGCAGTTATTCCCAAACAAGGCTTTCATCAAGGCTTTCCTACCAGCAGCTAGGCCTTCAGAGAGGTATTCCAACATTTTAGAATGGAAGAACAGCACAAAAGCCAAGAAACAGCAAACTATTGGTAGTTTGGGGGAAGGGCGTGGCCATCCAGGGAAACCCAAAGGGCAGATACAGCCTGAGGTTGCCCACCCTGAGCTATTGGGTTAGATCAAGATTTAGCCCACCTTGGGAGAAGATCCAACCTCTTGTGCATGCATGTCGTAGGGAAGAGGAAACCAAACCTTGCCTATTTTTACTACTTCCACTCTAGAAAATTCACTCAAATCCAAATTTGCTTTAGCTGGAAAATGCAATTCTTCCCTACAGTGGGCTTATTAAGTACAACCAGAACTGCTAGAGCTTCACAAATGTTACATGTGGCTCCACCTCTGAGTGACTATCCATGATGGCACCAGGAGTCAGTGGAGCACAGAATGACTTGGGTGGCTTCCCTACAAACTTTCAGCTGACAGTATTTGCTCAGAGGACCCTTTTAGATTAATCTAATCCTATTATCAAATGTAGATAATGTCCCCATGTTGGGTCAGAACACTAAACAGTGGGAGGAATTTAAATGTTTAAAGAGGTTTTATATTGCAGTGCTGGATATCCTCCAACTGAAGAGGGAAAACTTTTCAAACTGAAGGTATCCACATTTTCCAGATTCAGTTGGCCTCATTCTGTAATAGTACTTTATACAGTATCTATAAAGAGCCATTGGCCCACCTCACAGCGGTAACACTCCACATGGTAATCCTTGTCCATTGACACAACACGGATGGTCTCATCAGATCCCTGCAAATTTTATAAAAAAGGAAAACATTTTTAAAGGGGAGACAGACTGAAGTGCACTAATGAAGAGTTGGTCTGGCCAAGTGAAGCTTTCCTCTGGTAAATGCTGAACCAGCATATTTACAGTTTTGCTAGAAAAAGCAAAGACAATTTTTAAAAATTCTACAAATGGGATTTGTGCAAAGCTCTGGTAGCATCCTCAGCACTGACAAACCCAATGGTCATTGGACTTTTAACACTTATTTAAACTAAGACAAAATTGAGTGTGAGAAATGTTTTAGCATTTTAAGTATTTTGTTTGTTCATTCATTGTATTTCTATCCTGCCCATCAGCCTAAAGGCTCCCAGGACAGATTGTCCTCACTTGAAAAATTATGTTGGAAACAACTCAATTACAGTTTCATAACTCAGGAAGTAGTAAACAAGAAGAGCTAAGGCTCACATATTCCAAGTTCTGTGATGAGGAAATACAGGTTATGCAATAACATATGTGAGCATATGTACATGCATCTATTTAATGTGCCAAACTTACTTTGGTTTCAGGTTGAATTTTCTTTACAAAGACTTATAAAGAGAAAAGTTCACAGAAGAAAGAGAATGATTATGGATGCCATCCAAAAAGTATCAAGGGCACTCAAACCCCACAGAAGTCAATGTGACTTTCAGCATGAGTAGGTTCATTATGATCAAGTCCCACTGAGATCTGGGTGCCTTACTTCCTTGTAAGCACACTTAGGATTGCAGTCTAGGCCTTGGGTTTGTTCCTGAGTTGATTTCAGTAGGAGTTAGGTTCCACTAAATTTTATTGCATCTCATCCGTTGTACCTAAAACAAGCTAAAATTAGCTGTGACCAAGTCCCACTGAAGTGAAACAAAAGCTATGACCAATTTGCTAGTTTGTTTGTGGGTTTTTTTTTTTTTTTTTTTTTGCAGTTGCCTGCAAGATAGTTGGAATATTTTAACCTATGATGTTATTTGTAAATTGTTAAAATCTAGCTGGTCACTGACCATGATAAGTTGTTGTTGTTGTTGTTGTTGTTGTTGTCTATTCAAATTCCAAATCCATATTGCTCTCTTCAAGCAAAACCAGTTGAGTGTTAGGGTATCTTAAAAGCTAACAGATTTCTTTCAACAGGATCAGCTGCACAAAACATTATGCTTCAATAGATCTAGCTGAAAACCTGTTTCATCTACTACAAGACCCCTTGTTGTTTCACATCTAACCCTTCCTTTTGGAGTTGTTCACAGTCACTTTTAGCTTGACTGGGGCCTTGTAAGACATCAGGATTGTCCTGCTCCAACTTTTATTAACATGTTTAAATCAAGACTGCTGTAAAAAGCACCAACTGTATTCTTGAAAAATGAGGAGAACAAAAATATAATCACTTACTTCACTTGGGAGAATGGGGAGCCCACAAGCTGCACACTTTGGTGCCAAGACCCTTGTTGAAAAACATAAAAGAAAGTTACGAATATGCAAAAGAATCTGAACTGAAATCAGTTTGTACATTGATTTAATGTCATGCCTTTTCCAAGAACTGGAGCTGTTGTGACAATGCTGAAAACTCTACTATGTATTTCCACCTTCCTGGCAAATCATAAGTCTACACATGCAATAGCATGAAGCAGGAGTGAGGTGGCAGAGTTCATCTGTTTAGACAGTGAGCAATGGATCACATATCTTATGTTCTCCCACATTTAAAGCAAGCAAACAAAAAACTAAGTGGAATGCTAGCACAGTAGAAGTTGGGTCAGATTATAACCTGGTTCCTTGCTTTGCTGTCTTTTTTTCAGGGACTATTAAAATGATATAGCCCAAGCTTTAATCTGAAATGGTTCAGTCCCACCCAGTATTCTTCCAGCTCATTCTGCTGCATATGTAGACTATGAACCAAACCAGACATCGTGCTAATCACTGAAGTTTATCTTTCTCCTTTAGCATAAAGAGGCGTGACTCTGACTCGGATCAGAACCACCACACAGTGGGAAGGAAGATTTAACCCTACCCCTCCACCATTTGTTTCCTGAACTCTGAATCCAAATCAAGGCCACATGTGCTTACACTAAAGAAAATACTAATCCTCAGCTACATAATTTGCATAACATAATCATAGAATAGTAGAATTGGAAGGGGCCAATCAGGCCTTTGGGTCCAACCCTCTGATTAATGCAGACTAAGTTAAAGCATTCCTAAGAGATATCTGTCTAGCTGGATACTGAATGACTCTAGAGTGGGAGAGCCCATGGTCTCCCTAGGTAGCTTAGCTCTATGCCTACAAACCTAGAAAAGCCAAGCAGATAGGCTGATTCTCAAAGAAAGACCACGCCCGTTCAAGAATTTGGATCCCAGGTGCTGCTGGACTACATCTTCACTGGCTGTGCTGCCTGGGGCTGATGGAAACTGACATCTAACAGCATCTTGAAGCTAAATGTGCATTAACCACATCAGCAGTCTAATGAAAAATGTCCATCCAAGAGGATATAACTAGTTTTTCACTTTATCTAATTCTATATTACCCTGCATTTTTTTCCTGAAACCTTCTAAATTGTGCAACTCCTTGCTTTTTGGGCTTCAAGTCTATACTTGAGCTTGTTCTTATTGGGATCATATGCTACTGAATATGCTAGCAACTATTTTCACATAGAAATGTACACCAAATATATTTTATAGTTTGAAATGCACATTAAGGAATTGAAACACATTGGGTTGGATCCAGGATCTGCCTCCTGCAAAAGGAATGGCTTCACTCACAGAAAGTCCCTCTGTCCAATTTTTCATTCTTATTTCACTGGATCTTGCTTGCAGCTAAGTCTGTTTAGAAATTTCTCTGCATAGTCATCATTGTCCTTACTTGTGGTAATCTCGGACACAGTAGATTTTATTCTCATTGTCTACTGTGAACGGCACTCCATCCAGACATTCATTACATATCACACAACGGAAGCAGCCAGGATGGTATGACTTCCCCAAAGCCTGCAAAATCTGCAAAGACAGTTGGAAATTGCTTATCAGTAAGTATTTGATTATTTAAAAACACAGTACATAAGCAACCTACAAAAGTTTATATGGAATATACCAGGATTGCAACAAGGTAGGGTATTAGTGAATTGTTCCCTGAATCCTGGGCTGCTTCATAAAGCTACGCACTGCTACTTGGAATCTATCTGGGCAATTTCAGCAAGAAATAATGCCAGGAGATGGGAATTACTGTTAAAGAGCAAAGTATGATTGCTGTATTTCTGATGGAATGAGATTAACTTGAAGAACAGGTATAAACAGTGAAAATGAATGAGCAAGGACACACACAAAAAGAAGTTTTGAATAGCAGAAACAAGAGCTGCAACATAACCCAATAGCTTATCTTCAAGTAAGCATTAGGAATTCACATGGCTTGATTTTTGTAGCTTCCATGGCTGACCTGCACAGCTCCTAGTTAGATGTTACTTTCAGCTTCTCTACAATAGCTGTCCATGCAGCAACTAAAATAGGGAAAGGGGGTCTCAGCTGCAAAGAAAGCTTTCATTAAGTTCTGGGTGGCTTTTTAGCGTGTTTCTTCAGACAGTAAGGACACTTACCATGTCCATGATCAAATGGCCACATATGAAACATCTATCAGCTGACTGCTGGAAACCTGAATACTGTGGTTGGAGACCACGAGGAAGAAAGAAAAGTTGTTTTAAACTTTTGCAAGGGAATAAAACTTAAAGATTTTGACTCTTAATTAGGGTAAGACCAGCTAACAGTGACCAGCTATGGTCACTATAATGCACTAAGGCTTTAAAGCTTCCCGGTATAAAAAAGAGTGAACTTTCTGAGCTTCAGTGTAATGTAATTCCTGAGAGAGCCAACTGTGAAGTTCCAAGTTCAAACTTCATCTCAGTACTAAGACAAGGGCAGAGCGATCCAATGGCCTTCTAAATAGCATCTGCAGAACTATAGGATTTTTCAAATTTTTGATCCAAGGTCGGACGTCTAGATCTGAGGTCTCCACATCTAGGGATCTGTACTCAGTTCCCTCTCCAAGCTGGTGTGGAAATGATCATGCCAGCTGCTTCTCCAAGAGCACAACCATGGTCTCAGAGAAGGGGTTCAGGGAATGTTTCAGGGGGCAGCAAGGGGAATCGCATTGCCAAGTCACAGCATACCCTGGTGGCACCTCAGCCTCCCCCCAAAAACCCCACCACTACCACCACAGCAAGGTGGCGGGAATCAGCCCTCAGCCACTTTGCAAAGAGGCGACTTTCATTTTTGTGCTTTCCCACTATGCACAGGAAGCCCATCATCCTCTGAGTTCAGAGGTTTACAGGCATCCCTACTGGTGATGCCTCGGGTGGCCTTAAGCAAGCCATTTTATCTCAGTCTCACATCATCACCATCCAGAAAAGGGTGATAATTGCTCTTTACATGGTCAGTATGATATGATGACATAAGTAACTGAATAAGTGCATGAAAATTGCAGGCCAATAAATGTTATATCTATGGACTATATCAGGATTGCAACAGGGAAGGAAGTTAGTGAATTGTTCCCTGAATCCTAGGTTGCTTCATAAATCCATGTGTATACCTAGAACATATTCTTGCCCACAGACTTAAAGACAGGTAAGGCATATATAAAAATCTCAATGCTACAATTACGAAAAATAAGCAATACAGTTTGCTTCGATTACAGTCCTCTTATCTTGCAGTAAGGTGCCTAAGCAGGTGAGAAGAGATGCTCATTTACTCCTTATTTCACTGTCCTTTGAAAAACAAACACACCCCAATTTAGGCAGAGCTGCCCCTGAAGAATGACGCCCTGCCAGTGGGTGTTCTATTCTGCCATTCTTCCCTTGGGTAGTTCCCTTTTTGTTAAACTGCATTTGAGAGTTTTCTGTATGAGAAATACATGGAAGAGGCTACAGGAGACTCACCAGAAAGTCTTCTTCACAAAATACCTTCCCATTAACAAAATAAAAGGCTTTCCCTCTCAGCTTTCGACCTGGAAGGAAGGTAAAAAAGAATCAAAGACCAGCACAAAAAAATGTTTTGAATATGCACCCTTCATTTCTGGAAACCAGAAGTAAAGGAGCGATTTTAATGTAACTAAATGTAGTAGTACAGCCATCCCTTATCTGGTGCCATCGACATGGCAGGAAATGATGGGAGTTGTAGTCTAACACATCTGGAGGCACCAGACTGGAGAAGGCTGCTGTCAAGAGGCTATGGCATACGATCGTTACATTACATTTATACCCTGCCCCTTTTGCTCCTGTGAGGAACTCAATCCAGCTCACATAGTCCTCCTCCACTCCATTTAATCCTAATAACAACCCTGTGAAGTAGGTTAGGCTGAGAGTGACTATCTGGCCCAGTGAGCTTCATAGCAAACCCATCGGGGAAGCACTCCAGTGTCCCAATGGTAGACACATAAATGGCTGTTGCTTTGCCCTCTTTCTGGGTGCTTCCACTCCAGCCTTTGCCAATTTAGTAACCTCCAACTCCCGCCATGAAGAGGCAGCATGGAAGGCAACAGGTTGGGGATGGCTGTTTCACTCCATTTTCAGATGGGGACCTGAACCACTCTGGCCATGCAAGATGCTTGCATGCATGGTTCCCTGTAGCATAAAGGAACAATTACCATCATCCTGCATTTCCAATTTACACACAAGTCTAGGTGTGTAGACCTGTGTTGTCATTCTACCATACACATCTACACAATAGGATCTTACACTGTAGGCTTGAAGGCAAGAGCACTTTTACTACTAATATCTGTAACACCTAAATTAGATAACAAATGGGATAAAAACTCCCTGTCAAATATTAAAACAATATTTTTATTTAATCTTTTAAAATAGTAGTCTTTAATTTTGAAGGATGTAGGATTGGACTTTAACTCCAACCTGCAACATGGGAACCACAGAATATATTTTTAACCTGTACATTAGTCCATTTTACTCATCCTTAATTCATTTTTTGTTCTTTTCCTCTCTTATTTTTTCCTACTCTAACAGAACCTTTAAAGAAACAAAATGAAACAAAATGGTAGTGGTGTTGCTGATCACTAGCAGCTAGCGCAATCTACTTCAGCTATGGCCCTGACCAAGTCTGTTGGTTCAGCCCACCAGTCTAAACAATTAAAGACAGTGGTCTAAAGACCAGAAGTACAGAAAGCTAACCAGAGCAGATCACACAATTAAGCTCCCTTTTGCCAAACTCACTGCATTAACACCAGAGGGCGACTACAGACAAGATAGAAAATTTGTGTTTTGGAAGCTCTCAAATAAAGTGTCTGATATTTTTGGCAGCTTCACTAATATATCTTGCCAATACATGACCCAAATCTCATGATCCTAACAATGTTAAATAATGAAGTACTGTATTATGGGCATTTCACAATCCGTGATAAAATGGAAGCCCATTAGACAGGTAGGTTGTCCCAGAAATTAGACTAGTTGCATGTACACCAATTCTTCTAAGACATTTACAAGACTTTTGAGAAACTTAAGTCAGGAATCTTGTCATAAAATGCAAAAGGCAGCCCTGAAGGTGTTTTCATTTCCCCTTTTCCCTTTCTACACAAAAGCCTCCAGCACAAATGCACTGACAGTGCTGAAGTTTCTAAAAAGGGAGGCCCAGTAGCTCAATCCAGCTAAGAATTGGCATCCAGATAACCTGCCCCAGAATATATGCTGCAGTAGTTGTGATTAAGCTAAGTGGTAACTGGAGACAATGTCTTTTTGATGCTGGTATTCTGCTTGCAGAATGAATGCCTTCTCAGGGAAACTCACCCAGTGCCTAATTTGCTATCATTTTTAGTTCCAGGTAACATTTTTTCTACATTTCCAGGCTTTTAAACACTGCTAATGCTAAGTTTATAGTATTGTTCTGGCAGTACACAGCACTGCTGCCGCAGCACTTGGGCCCTTAAAGCAACCAGCGCCTGTTTTTATGGAAAATATGTAAGAAAAAACCCTTTAGAACTAATCCACACTATTGTCTAAATCACAAAATAAAATGCACTTCAGAAATCTAAGTTGTTTGGTATTTAGTTTAATGATTAAACAGTTCAAGTGGTTATAAAAACAAGCAAATGTCCAGAGGTTTTTTTTCCATCTACAGCAATTGTTTTCACATGAGTAAACAAAATGAGAAAGAGAAGAACAATCATAGAGTTACCTGAACTGCTCCCTCAATAACAGCTTTTCATCAGACCTTGGGGAGGATGAAGGTCCTAACTAGCATAAGTGACATAACTTGGATAGTTGCCACTATCAGTATGTGACAGACATAAATCATTCCATAGGAATTCTGCACTGTGTTGTGGTCCGTTTTTAGAACTTGGCAGCAGTGCTGGCTCTTGACAGGATGATACCATTTATAATATTTATTACATTGTTTATAAAAATAAAAAATATAAAGGCTTTGATGAAAAGTCATCTGTAGTTGAAGGTGTTCTACAGTACTGCCCACAGAAATATGCCTGCATGCAAAACACTAGAAAAAATTGGGGACAAAAGAGCTGCCAGTTTAAAAATGCTTGTCTACTCAGAAAGAAATCACATTGAGTTCACTGAGCCTTACTCTAGGAAAACAGGTGGAGGAGTTTGGCCTAGAGGAGATGTTATTGAACTGTGGAACACAAAGTGGGCTTATTTAAACAAATTATAAAAATAATGATTTAAAATAGTGAGAAGGAAGAGGTAGACTTAAATCATTCAGCAAAGTTTCTCACTAATGACTCCACACGTATTTTCTAAATAATGGTACAGGTATGAGCACTAAACCATGTTAATTTACAACAAAACAGAGTATGCCATACAATCTTTCATTCTTATGAACAGGCCTTGCATCTCTTTGTTGTACTATATGTTTTTTCCATGGTTTCCTTTTTGCCCAAACAAGAGGGTCTTGAAAATACTCCAGTACTGACAACTTGTGAGGTAAAGTATGGGAATATAGAAAAATGTGCATTGCGCACTTTTGTATTCCCTTCCTCTTTCCAGTGTTGGTCCTTTCTATTTCACACTGCCCACACACACAAAAAACCAAAGACTCAAACAAAAGTAAAATGCCACTGACTGACAGATGGAAACAAGGCACTGGGCAGCATAGAATAGATTACTTCCAAAGTATAAAAAACAAAAAGCTTATCAGCTGATTCCAGAAACAGTTATTTTTAGACTAGATCCAGCAAAATCAGTATGGCATTTATTCATCACTAATGTAAACTGCTCCTTCATGGATCACTGCCTTGTCGTGGCGAAGGGGCTTGCGTAGCTCAGTGAAGCTATGAACTATGCCGTGCAGGGTCACCCAAGACGGACAGGTCATAGCAGAGAGCTCTGACAAAACGTGATCCACTGGAGAAGGAAATGGCAACCCACTCCAGTATCTTTGCCATGAAAACCCCATGGACAGTACCAAAAGGCAAAAAGATATGACGCCAGAAGATGAGCCCCTCAGGTCGGAAGGTGTCCGATATGTTACTAGGGAAGAGCGGAGGACTAGTACTAGTAGCGCCAGAAAGAATGAAGCAACTGGGTCAAAGCCGAAAGGACACTCAGTTGCTGATGTATCTGGTGGTGAAAGGAGAGTCCAGTGCTGCAAAGATCTATACTCCACAGGAACCTGGAATGTAAGATCCATGAATCAAGGCAAGCTGGATGTGGTCAAACAAGAGATGACAAGACTGAACATCCACATCTTAGGAATCAGTAAACTAAAATGGACAGGAATGGGTGAATTTAATTCAGATGACCATCAGGTATACTACTATGGGCAAGAATCCCTCAGAAGAAATGGAGTAGCCTTCATAGTCAATAAAAGAGTACAAAAAGCAGTACTGGGATACAATCTCCAAATGACAGAATGATCTCAGTTCGAATCCAAGGCAAACTATTCAACACCACAATAGTCCAAGTCTATGCCCCAACCACTGGTGCTGAAGAGGCTGAAGTTGACCAGTTCTATGAAGGCCTACAACACCTTGTAGAATTAACTCCAAAAAATGATGTCCTTATCATCATGGGGGATTGGAATGCTAAAGTAGGAAGCCAAAAGATAACTGGAATAACAGGCAAGTTTGGCCTTG